AGATATCTTACAACTTAATGGGAGATTTTACATTCAGACCAAACTCCGGCATCAACAAACAGTCTTACCTTCCCTCCACCTTCCACTCCGTCCACTGACCAGTAGCAAACTTGTACTCAAACAGATCATTTTTGTTCTTGAGGTTGGAGTTTGAATAGATATCACCTGTGTAGCCACCTGAAACACAATGCAGGCAGTAATTTGCAATGCTTAAGGGAAAATCAAAACTACATATATCAAAAAAATTATTGCTCATTCTGCCCAACTATAACACCCATCAAGATAAAAAAGTGTTGTACTGCAGAAAAAGCATCCTCCACAAAATGTGACTCTTTAGCTCCGAGCCACAGTTGGTCACTAGTACCACCTGCTGGACAAAAAAAAAGTAATTCTGCAACCTTAAAACAGTGTCTCTCAGTCCTATCAAGGTACCGAGAACATGAAAGTTACACTAGAAACATAACCTGGGCTGAAATTTTGATCTGATCCCAAAAGCAACTCCTACACCTTTATCAAACTTTTTTTGTCCAGCAGCTTCATCAAATTCTGAGTTTAAGTCCAATAAAATTCTGACTGAAACTGACCCAAATTGAGTCGCCACCACTCAAAGTGCTGATTACAAAATGTAATCACGTAGTGATAATAACAGCAGTCTTTAGATTTTTTAATTATGACATTTAATACAATAAAATTAACTATAATAATCCAAAATTAAGTTTAAAGTGAGCTTTAACAAATTTATTCATCAAAGAATATTTTTGAAGAACATCCCAAATGTTTTTAATCTGAAAAGCCTTTTGGCTGCAGAAATTTGTGCTCTCTTAAATCAATTCCCTGCTTCATTACCTGTGTGGGCCCTGTGGACCTTTGTGTTAAATTCTGTCAACAACACAAATGGGTGACTCCAGCATATCATATGTTTAAGGTAATGAAAGTAGAGAGTAATAATAAAGTAAAAAGTAAATCTAAAGCATTGGAAAATGCAGGGTAAAGGTGGGCTGCAAACCTTCAAAAATATTTACATACTCCAGAACATGAAATCTGAACCAAGCCCAAGCCCAAAATGTATCCCTGAATGCAATGGAGGATGACGTAAAGTGAGTCCATGAGAATGTAAGAACACAGAAAAACGCAGAAGAAATACCTAAGGTATCATTTAAAACCAAAAAAATCAGGGAGTTAGGAGTTTAACCAGCACCTGCAATAAATAAAACCACCTACCAAACACAAACATGCTGCTTCCATAAACGACAGCAGAGTGGTGATATCGGGGTGCAGGTGGGGTGCCAGTAGTAAAGGCCCTGTTCAGTAAAAAACAGCAGTCAACAAACAAGAACAGGATGTGTCATATCTGTCAAAAAAGGGAGAAGGTTCTGGCTGCAGACATACACCCTCAGCCTGACATGCACTGCCAGCTTATTAATGACATCAGTGCACGCTCTGCCAGCGTTTAGTCAGTTTTACGAGGAAAAACAGCACACCGCGCAATGTTGGGCAACAACAGTTACACTGAACATACATTAACATTGTCATACTGATAATAAGGTAATTAAATATAGAAACTTTCAAAATAAAACCTACCATGACGATAAGACAATGTCTGGTTTATTCACAGAAAAAACAAACAGGCTACTGCTGAACCTAATAACAGCCACGCTGAAGACAATTAGAGCCATTAAGAATAAAACATGATGGTTTTGCTTTCCTAACAGAAATTGTCTTGATGGTTGCCATTAGAGACCATTAGAAAACGATCAAATATATCTAGAATCAGTCCCAATTAAATTATCTGAATCCTTTACGCTGTGACATCAACCAATCAGGAAAACTACAAATATGATTAGTGACTACTGAACACCTCCAGGAACCAACAGGCACTTTTTTCAACAGGGAGGTACATAAAATGGAATTCTCTAGCTGTGTTATGGCCGGAAAATGGATTAAGTGATGATATCACTAAGCAGAACCAGCCAAAAGTTAACGTGCCGTAGGGCCACTTCTGCCATGGTGGCAGAGAGTCCATGTGCACGTGACGTCACTGGGGCTGAGAGTGTCTGCAGCCAGACTCTATTGAAAAAAAAAAGGACTGTTAAGAATTAAATCAATTACACTCACCGACACCATGAACAGTCCTTCACGTCAAAACGAAGCAGGTCATTAAGCATGTTCTTCCTGCAAGAACAACAAAGGTAAGATTTTGGCAGGTGCAATTTCCGTCCATCATAAGAAGCAGCAGTGTCCAATTTCTTACCCATTGTCCCCTCCAAACACGTAGATGGCATCCCTGTATGCCACAACTGTGTGCTTGCTGCGTCTGAGAGGACAGATAGATATCACTCATTATTTAGTATTCAGTAACAACTGGATTGTGGCAGTATGCTTTCTGTCAGTGCTGTGTATCACACCAACAAGTGCATTATTCATTATTTTATCTTAAAGGGTCCATATGATGTACAACTGTTTTTCTTCACCTTGTTAAAACAAAAGTATTTGAAGTAGTAAATAAACAAAATGTATTTTTCACTCTCCAGTCCTTACAATCCATATATGGAAAGTATGCATGAAAGTATGGAAAATGGTCCACCTAAAACACAAAAGCCAAGACATTTACATACTCTGCCTACAGTAGTTTAGCTCCACTACTAACAGTGAAATTATAAGGAGTGTTTCAGCCAATAATTTTTTTTAACAAGGTGCAATACAGGGCAACCAATCAGAATGGATGTCATGTACATGCTTCAGTTTTAAAGGCACAGTGACACATACAGCTTGTCATTGTTTAAAGGACAATTCCACCAAATTTTCTACATTTCTCCACAAGACAATTTTAGGACATAAACAGTCATTCAGAGTGGTTTGGTGTGAAATGCTCCATTCCAGAGAAACTTAACCCATCAGAATTGCTCTCAGTGGTGGTGATAGGAACCAGATGCCTTAAAAGTTTAAACCCTCTAAAAGCTACATCTCAAAAGGTTGTAACATGAAATGATTATGAATATGCTGTCTGATGTCCAAAACATTGCTCTATGATAGTTTTGAGATAAACTTCAGGGTTACAATGTACTTTTAAAATCCATCAATGTTGGAGAGATACATGTAGGGTGTTATAAGGCAAAATTGAATAGTGAATAAAATGGCTATATTTGTGTTGTTAACATTGGGACTCTGGGTTCTGTCACCACCACTGTAAAGAAATCAGAATCTGTAAGTTTCTCTAAAATTAACCATTTCACAACAAACCACTCCGAATGACTGTTCACATCTTGATAATTGTATTACGAATACATTTAGAAAATTCGGTGGAATTCCCCTTAATGGGTTAAAGAGAGGTTGGAAAATGATAATGTAAAAATGAACTGTGACTGGTACATAAAACCATACAAACACCAAGTAGCCTTCCAGAGAGAGAGAGAGACAAAAAGGAAAAAAAATAAACCCAAATGAAATACAGAATATGGGCCCTTTAATGAGAAGCATAGAACTGACTATTCTGCATCTTTACATATACACTCGTATGTATGTCTTCTTGAAATCATACATTACTACCATGTTTGTACACTGTAAGTTACTGTAGACACGACTAATGTGAAACAGATTAATGAATGAATTTGGGGGTCCATAAAGTGACCCACCCTTACCTCGCACCCACAAACTCGTCGCACGGCGGAAGCCGCCTCCAGCGATGGACGGTCTCAAAGGGACCAAAGTTGAGTGTCAAATACTCAACGCTGTCCGAGCAGCTGTGGTCGAAGTCGACACTCGGGGCCACTTTGGATTTACAAGACATGGCTCCAGGAAACCATGACATTCAGTTTGTGCACAACACGGCGCTGTCTGACGGCCACGGGAGAAAAAAAGAGCCAGCTCGGCCTGTCTGTGTGGGTGGGTGGCTAATTGAAACCAAAGCTTGCAGCTAGCACACACACACACCCCTTTACGCTCATACGAGACTAATGCCCTCTGCATACAGCATCCTTAGCGCTAACGTTACCTTATACTGGAACAGCACCATTAGGGTTAGCTAGCTATGAGTTTGACAGTTAACGAGTTGTCATAGTTACCTACTCTGACCACACCACTCTGCTAGCTGGCTAGGTTAACTACCTTGCAAGTCAGTTGAACGAGTCCTTAAATGTAGCTTTCTTGGAGTCCAAGCGTCTTATATATGACCTAAACCTCACCATATGTTACATGGAACATGTCAAAGCAACCGAATTAGTCAGTTAGCTAACGAGTGGAAATGTTGTTTAGTGTCATCCGGCTACAGGAAAACAAGCGGCTTAGCTAACGTTACTTTCCTCATCGCTGCCATGGGCGGAGCCTCCGCAGCACTTGCCATGCGTGATTTCGCCGTTTCTGATTGGTTCACGCTCTCGCTTCACACAGAGCTGTATAGAGAGATAGATACGTCTCTCTATACGGCTCTCGCTTCACATATTTTCAGTTTTAACCCCTTTTTTTTAGTTTTTCTTTTTAGAACCAAAAGAGGACAATTCAGCCCAATAAACTTCAGTTTCAGTTGACAGATTCAATGTAGCACTTTTTTTCCAAATGTTTTTAAGGCACAGAGGGCTGTTTCATAAAACAACGGGAGCTCTCCAATAGACAGATTAGCTATATATAGTGAGGAATAAGGGACTATAAAGGACAAGTTTTCGTTAAATGCCCACCTCAGCCCCCGGTTTGCAAACACATTTTTTCTTCTTTATTGATGGGATGCAGATGTAACAACATAGGTGACCACAATAGGTAGATGAGTAAATTAATTAACCTGATAGAAGAAAAATAAACGTAGAAAAAGAACGAAAGGAAGAAGGGAAAAAGGAGAAATAAAAATAGTTTGTAAAATACCTCCCTGTATTATAAAGAGCTAATGACGTTTGGAAGCGCCGAGGTGTCTGTCCGCGCTCTGATTGGTCCAAACACGTAGAGAGGGCGGGGCCGTGCGCGCGGAAGCCGAGGGCGCTCGCGGCAAGCAAAGCAAAACGCGCCAAATTCGGACGCGGCTTCGGGCGCTTTGGATCAACTGAAAAGCGGCAATATTGGTTAAATTAGCGAGAAATGAATAGAAATTCACGATTATATGAGCTCTGATGCCAGCCAGCACATTGACATCGATAAGAAGACGCGATTCTGGGTCGTAGCGCCTGAAAACCCAGAGAAAAGTTGATGTAAAACACTTCAGCGCTGCGTTGGTAGTTAGCTGGATGTGGCTACGCTAACGGTGGTTGACAGGAGCAGCGTTAGCAGCGGCTTTAACTTTACCGGACACGAAACAAAAACAAGCTGAGCTAAACTTCTGTCCACCTCAGCACTTTGTTTCGGGTTCTTATTCCACGATGGTTCTGCAGAACAGCGGACGATATAGAGCAGACCGTGATGGAGGAGATCAGGACAACCAGCAGTAAGTTCTCAAAACAACAGGCCGAGTTTGATGCATAAACAGGGGTAGAGTAGCCTAACCCTACAGTCTTAAAAACGATGGTTCTTCAAGGGTTCTTTAGTAAAGTAATGATTCTGTTTAGAGCCATGAGTTCCATATAGAAGAGTTTCATGCTTCCATGGTTATTTGCATGGTGAAATCGTTCTTCAGATTGATAAGAGAATGTGTTGTAATTAGTTCTGTATGGCACCACAGAGGGTTCTGCTATTATCACAAGCCTGAAGAGCACTTTTAGGTGCTGTATAGCTGGAACTATTTTCTTAAAGGTTCTGTATAGAACAACACGCTCTGCATCAAAATACAACCCATACTCCATCAGTCTAAAGAACCTTCTCTATGCAAGGAACTATTCAAGCATGACTTGTAGAACCATCTTTTTTAAGTGTGTAGGGCTGGGCAGAATGACAATATTTATCATTATCGTGATCAGTTGTGTCCTGGTACAATATGCATTTCTGAACATATCGTGGTTATTATTGAATAAAAATACTGAATTAGAATTTAAATGTACCACTGCTGGTTACTGACTAAATCTGACAAGGTAAAATCTATCAGGGTAAAACTGTGAAAACTGTGCAAGTGGGTTTTAAGAAGATTTTCTTCGTAAGAACAATTGGTGAATGAGGCCCATTGTTTTATTGATACCATTATGTAATAATGTCATTGTTTTGCACATAGGGATGATGGACCTGGCCTGTCTGCTGTCAAGCGGCTTGAACGTAGTCAGTTCACAGATGGGATGGATGCGCGATTTGGCTTTGAAAGGATGAAGGAGCCTGGTGAAAAAACTGGATGGTTGATCAACATGCATCCGGTAAGATCAGGTCTTGGTTAAGTTGGTTAGGTATTCCATAATACTTCCAAAAGGGCTGGGCGGTATGACAATATATATTGTTATTTTAATAGATTTTGTCACAGTACTGTACAATATGCTTTTCTGAGCGTATCTTGGATATTGTCAGTATTTCCAAAACACAAATTCACTGCATAATTCATTATAAAGAGATCAGAATTAGCCATATTGAACTTGGTGCAGTGTTATATGAAACGCTCGATAAAAATCATTGGTAGTCAAATTTTTAATAGCTTTTTTTTAGATGTAGCACTACTGGTTCTTTTTTGCTTTTTTGCCTGTTCCATCATTTTAGATGTCAGAAAAAATAATATCATTATTTATCATGAGTCGTGAACATTTCTTGAAGTGTTATATTTTATTTCAACCATATTGCTCACCTATATATATAATCACCTATATATATATAATATAATGACATTGTATCGTGAAAATTACTAGAAGTATTGCAATATTGCATTTTGCCATATCGTCCACCTATAGTAGCAATTATTAATTTATTGAATTATTATTAATATCATTATTATTATTACTACTACTGTTATAGAATTTTAATCTCTGGCACTGCAGGTTCTAAGTTGTCTTTTCTGACTTCTCAAAAAATGAAATATAGTGATGCATATTGTGTATCGTGAAAACATCTTGAAATATCAAGAAATACAATTTTTTGCCATATCGCCCACCTGTAATTTTGCATTTATAAAAGAAGAAATTGAGTTTGTGAATCTGTATTTTGGCTACAGACAGGGAGGAAAATTGCTTTGCAGGTCACATGATGAGAGGGATACACTGGTTTTTGAATGTAACTTGGAGTCAAGACGGGGCCTGATCGTCTTGCTTTTTCATTTGCTCTGTAGTTGCGTGCATAGGAGTGTATTGTTTAGTGCAGGAAAGTTATGTTATCATAACTTTGCTGATACCTCTGTTATTGTTTCCTGTGATATCTCACTCCTTCCAGACTGAGATTCTGGACGATGACAAGAGGATGATCAGTGCTGTGGATTATTACTTCATTCAGGAGGATGGCAACAGATTTAAGGTGAAGAAAATAAAGCGTGTGAACCAACATTTTCTGCATTTTGCTTCTCTACTACAGCCGGTAACATAAATTAGGTTGCATTACCCTATAAGCCGTATTTCTACATAGCCACTAGAAAGGTGAGACCAAAGCTCTGACTACATTCTGTTTAATCACTGTGTGTTTAGGATATATTCAATATGACATTTGTATGGTATCTTTTGTCTAGAACTGTGATCGAGAAGTGATCTCCTTCTTGTCAAAGAAGTTTCAAGGAAAGGTGGCAAAGCTAGATATCGTCCCTAAGGAAGATCTAGATCTGGTAAGAACAAGCATTAATAAATGTTTAATGTATTTATTTTTAATTTTTTTTATCTGTTTGTAACTCAGTTGATTTTACATTGCATTTCATGGTTTGTCATTTACTTGTATGATGAAAAGTGCTTGTGAATCTAATTGTTTCAAAGTTTTACGGTGTTTATTGATGCATATTCACACCGTTTATAAGGATTCTGTTATTCTGCATTCCAGCCTAACCATTTGGTGGGTCTAAAGAGGAACTACATCAAACTCTCCTTTAACACCGTGGATGACCTCATCAAAGTAAAGCGAGAGATTTCACCCGCAGTTAGAAAGAACAGAGAGAGAGAGAAATCCAATGACGCCTACACCAATATGCTGTCCAGGTATTTGATATAATTCCTTGTGAAAAGTGATTTTGAATAAACAGTGGTTTTTAGCACTAAAATGTGTAGAGTATGTTTTTGGTAATAGTAGAATTGATGAAGTTTCAACTTGGAATTTTCTGTTGCATGCTGGCTACTGCATCAGTTTTAAAGACTGATGATCATTAAGTGTTATTTAAAAAATTTCAACAAATAAAGAAAGTTGTCAAATGTTGCATTTCCATATGAAAAAGCATTTAACGCTAATCTTTTAATCATAAACACATAAATTATAACTATAACTGCTCACCTCTTGTGGTTTCTTGTTTGTATGTGTGGTGTAGTGCACTTGTAGGTGGAGGTGTGATGATGGCCGATGAAGATGGCACGTCTAAGAAAATAGCCGACCAGCTGGACAATATTATGGATATGAGGGAGTATGATGTGCCTTACCATGTTAGGCTCTCCATCGACCTCAAGATCCATGTGGTAAGTACACACTCCGCAGATGTAAATTGAAAGGTTTGCAAGAATCAGCTGTTTTATAGAACAGATTTACAAGTGTTGATGTTATGCTAAACCAAGTCTCTGACATTTATAGTGTTAATAACCATCCTTTCCTGATTTCAGGCTCACTGGTATAATGTGCGCTACAGAGGCAGTGCTTACCCTCCTGAGATTGTGCGTCGAGATGACCTTGTAGAAAGACCGGTAAGTATCAGTGTGACAGAATTACCTCTGCCTTTTTTATGAGATGTTGAAGTTATGCCCAGAAGACTGTGAAGCACAGCGTGTGCTACCCTGGGATCAGGAAGGGTTCTGGAGGCAGAGTTGAAGGTTGCAGCCGGCATTTTACTTTAATTTTCACTCACAAAGGACCAACAAATCCAAACAAGAACTCAGAACCAAAGCTAGTGACTTTTCAGTGGCCTCTGAGCAAGCCTTTTCAGTCCTTTTATCAAAATCAAGCTTTTCAGCTCCTCAGCCTTTTTCTGCTGCTCGTCCCTCTTTCTCTCTCTCTTTCCCTCTCTGCTGTTTTTAAAATCTTTAAGGGCAATGTGAGCGCCTGAGCCAAAAGGGAAAGAGAGCTCGTTGCTCAGCCTCCCTGTCACCGCACCCGCTCCACGGCTCGGCCACTGGGATTGAACATAAAGTGGCTTTGCTGCTGGACTGGAGCCAGTGCCCATAAAGTCGGTTCAGAACTCATGCGCCATTCGCCACTCCTTCACGGTTCTCCTTCTCTCCCCACCATCCTCACAGGGTTTCATCCTTGTTCGGGCCCCGGCTCTCGCAGCTATTATCAGGGCTTGGGGGGTGGCCACATGCCGCATTTTGCAATATTTTTTACATTAAAATCATCCACGCTTATATGCATAGTCATAACTTTTTAAACTATTCTTTGGTATTCAGTTGTGATTAGTTCAAAAGACATCAGTACCTAATTCACAAAATGCATGCGATTTATTCATTGACACTGTGGCCTTGTCTTTTACAGGATCCAGTTGTGCTAGCGTTTGACATTGAGACCACTAAGCTTCCTCTGAAGTTCCCTGATGCAGAAACAGACCAAATAATGATGATCTCATACATGATTGATGGGCAGGTTGTTCATCATCTTTAAAACTTGAACAAATTTCTGATTGATAGTCTATGTGAAGCTCATTAGGGTTACATTTGTGTAACAGTTTAACCTTTTTTGTGTTAATAAACCTTTGCATGGAGAAAATGCTCATAAAGGGTTAGGTGTTTGACTGTTCTGTGTGCTGTGACTCACTTGCTCATTCTGTTCTGTGTTAGGGTTTTCTGATCACAAACCGGGAGATTGTCTCAGAGGACATTGAAGATTTTGAGTTCACTCCCAAACCGGAGTATGAGGGGCCCTTCACTGTGTTCAATGAACCTGATGAGGCAAGTGAGCGAACAAAGACTGGAGTTTTATCATCAGCTGCATTCTGTTCTTTTTTCACTTTCCTTTAGACTTTTTACTGACAAGGTTAACATTATCTGCTTTCAGGCTGCTCTTATTCAGAGATGGTTTGAGCACGTCCATGAAACGAAACCCAATATTTTTGTGACTTACAACGGAGACTTTTTTGACTGGTAAGCTCAAACATACAGTAAGAAAGTCAAATACTCTGTAAGCGCTTGCATGTGACTTACTGTGACTTCAAATTTTTTTCCTTCCATCAGGCCATTTATAGAGGCGCGTGCAGCCCAACATGGCCTCAGCATGCACCAAGAGATTGGCTTTCAGAAGGACAACCAGGGCGAATACAAAGCCAGCCAGGCCATTCACATGGACTGTCTAAGGTAGGAGGAGCCGAAGGCCAGTGAGATACAGCTGGGGGAGGTTTTAGCTTAATGTGAAGATAATTATATGCAAAACAGCCTTTTTTGTTTTATTCATAGATTTTTGTATCTAGTATCTATTTTTGTGCTATCAGTCAAGTCTTTATTGTCAATACTACAATATGTACAGGACATACAGAGTACTGAAATTGCATTACTCTCAGACCCCATGGTGTAGCAATAACATTAAATAGAAAGTAAACAGGAAAAGTGTGTATTTAAATAGACATTAAATAAACACTAATCGTAAAAATAAACACTAATTGTAGAAAAATAGAATAATAAAAAATATAAATATAGAAGGTCCTGAAATTAACACTAAAGTTACATAAGGCACATACAGATTAAGGTCTGTGGGTATAAATAGTGCAAATCTAAACAGTAGTGCAATTAGAGTGAGCTTATGGAGCTGTTAAAGTGATGATGGATGCGATCACTCTCTCTCCCTCTCTCATTCATTGTAGATGGGTAAAAAGAGACAGTTACCTGCCAGTAGGTAGCCATAACCTGAAGGCAGCAGCAAAGGCCAAGCTGAGTTATGACCCTGTTGAGTTGGACCCAGAGGAGATGTGCCGTATGGCTACTGAAGAACCACAGGTAGAGCTGAACTGATTTCATGCTCTCATGTTCATTTCAGCGACCGTGCTTACATGTTCATCTTGATTTAACGTATAGGGATGGAGTTACAAGCAGAAACAGCCAGACACATTGGCTTTGTTCATACAGTACTGTGCAAAACTCCACCCACTCATTTAATTTCAGCCATTAAGTTATTCATTTTTCATTTAGGAAAAAAAGCAAAAAAAATTAACAGAAAATTACATGAAAGCCTTTATGACTAAGTTTAGTATTAACTCTGTCAGCATTTAATTTGTCCAGGTTTTACTTTTGTACACTTTCCTGTCACTTTAACTTTAAAAACAATCAGTTACAGCTGTGTCCTCTCAACAAAAGCTGTTCCCAAAGGTATGACGGACATTGTTATCCTTTAAAGAGACTCTAATATTTCACGTAAGCAACTGCCCAAACACTCTTTAATTGCCTCGCAAACTAAAGGAGGAGGTTAGATATAAGTTAAAAGGAATTGAAACAGCTTCCAAAACTGTAGTTAAAAAAAGTGGTCAAAAGACACAGAGAAAACATGGAACATGGACAGGAACGCTTAAGATCTGAAGCAAGAGTGGAGCTTCAGATCTTAAGCGTTCCTGTCCATGTTCCAGGGTGGTGTCTGACTTCCGCGCAGTACTGTAGGTTTTGGTTATGCCCATTGGTACTGATTTCATGCATTTGTTTGTTTTTTTTTGTTTGTTTGTTTTGTTTATTTCTACAATTTTCTTTAATACCATGTCTTTTATATCATGTTTTTAATACTTTCACTTGATTTGTCTTTCAGACTTTGGCTACGTACTCAGTGTCTGACGCTGTGGCCACCTACTACCTCTACATGAAATACGTCCATCCCTTCATCTTTGCCTTGTGCACCATCATCCCCATGGAACCAGATGAGGTCTGTGGTGCCAAAAAATCCACAAAGGAGCACCAATAATTATTCAGAAGATTTTACTTTAGACTGCAGGAAAGATATTTAAGAAAGGTTTAGGTGGGACTCCTGGGTGGGAAGCCTACCTGTGTGTTTTCTTTTAAAAAATGTTTGTGGTCTTTCAGAATGCCCTGAGTTTTAATATATTCTGGTCAACATGGAAAAAAGGATGCCTGCAGTCAGGGCTCATTAAATTAACCATTTCTTCCATATTCCTCTGCATGACTGTATGTCTGTGGTATGTTTTCTCCCAGGTGTTACGTAAAGGTTCGGGGACGCTGTGTGAGGCGCTGTTGATGGTGCAGGCTTTCCATGCCAACATTGTTTTCCCTAATAAGCAGGAGCAAGTGTTTAATAAACTTACAGATGACGGCCATGTTCTGGACTCTGAGACCTATGTTGGTGGCCACGTTGAGGCTCTGGAGTCTGGAGTCTTTCGCAGTGACATCCCTTGCCGTTTCAAAATGGTACTTTTCTGTTGCTGTCTGTTCTGTGTTTCTGTGTTACCAAAGTGAGTTTAATGCAGAGCACGAAAGCTTAAAACTCACCTTTTTTTGCAGCAGCACTGTTCTTTAGAATAAAAAAGACTTTCCCAGAACTGCTTTTATGTCTTTTCAATGTTTTTCATTTTCTTTTTTCATTGTCTGTATCTGCGTCAACAGAATCCTGCAGCATTTGACTTCCTGCTTCAAAGAGTGGAGAGGACTCTTCGTCACGCAATTGAGGAAGAGGAGAAGATTCCACTGGAGCAGGTCACAAATTTTAACGAGGTTTGTAATCGAACAATTTTTTTAAAAGTATTTTGAAATGTCTAAGTGCATTTGATGGATCTGGGTCTGATAAAACCTGTTTTTTTCACTCAGGTCAGTAGCTGTGTTGAGCTTTTATAAAATATAATTTGTGTTCAGCTCATCCATTTGCTTTTCTTTTCCCCCAGGTTTGTGATGAGATCAAGAGGAAGTTGATTTCTCTGAAGGAAGTGCCAAACAGGATTGAGTGTCCTCTTATTTACCATCTAGATGTTGGGGCCATGTACCCCAACATCATTCTTACCAACAGACTACAGGTAAGTTACAGTAGACCATATATAAGATAAGCCAAGTAGTTCTTAGCATTTACAAATGTTTACATGTTCAGTGAACAGATGTTTACTTGTGTGAATAGATCAGTCATTCTCAATCACAGCCCTGGTGACCTGATCTGCTATCATGTATTTTCTGGCTCCAACACTTGATTTAACTCTTCAAGTAGTTATTAAGCTCTTAATGCACTGGTCAGGTATATTAGAACACAGACAACATAAATGTCCATAGCACGTCATGTTCAACCACAAGATTTGTTAAATACACCTTTTTAATTTGCCTTTTTACGTGCCTTCCCCCCCCAACCCTTATGCATTGCTTTCGTGCTTTCAGCCATCTGCCATGGTAGATGAAGCTACCTGTGCTGCATGTGATTTTAATAAGCCTGGCGCCAACTGCCAGCGGAGGATGGCCTGGCAGTGGAGAGGAGAGATCAGTAAGTGGTTTCCTGAGCAGACTCTGCTCAAGACTAACACAGTGGGCCTGCTTTCCAAATTAGTTTATAGAGTAAATTGTTTTTTCAATCAAATTCATTGGGCGTACTGATGGCAAGTCCATTCCATTCATTTGTGCTAGAATTGAGACTGAAGCCTTCGTAGGTAATAAGGGCTTCAGATTCCAAATGGAAAGTTTATTCCACATGAAAGGTGACACATCTTTTCTCATACCCTACAGTGCCGGCCAGTCGTAGTGAGTTCCATCGTATCCAGCAGCAGTTGGAGTCTGAGAAATTCCCACCTTTGTTTCCTAACGGGAACCCTCGTGCCTTCCACGAGCTCAACAGGGAGGAGCAGGCTCGCCACGAGAAGAAACGCCTGGGAGGTGATTGTCAGTTGCATGTCAGCCTAAATAAACCCATAACCAATCCTAAGACACCATAAGCACCGTTTATGTAGATGTCTCTGGTAACAGAATTGTAAGTTATAGTTTTTAACATTTGCCTGTCAAAGTGCACACCTGAATATGACTTGGGTAAGGCTAGGTCTTAGAAACCAGATCTGACAATTAAGATGAGGCTAAGATTTTCTTGTGTTATTTTCCAGACTACTGCAGGAAGGCCTACAAGAAGGTGCACTTGACCAGGCTGGAGGAGAGAGTCACCACGATCTGCCAGAGAGAGAACTCCTTCTACGTTGACACGGTCCGAGCGTTCCGTGATCGACGTTACGAGTTTAAAGGACTGCATAAGGTACTGGTTTCAAGCCCAAATAAAACTGGCCAAGCCAGTCCCCCAGTGCATGAGGTTAAGAATCTTCAGGATGAAACATGATCCCTTAGGGGAAAATGTTATTACTTTAATTAATGCTTTAAAATTTATTCTTCCCTCTCCCTCTCTCTCTCACTAGGTGTGGAAGAAAAAGCTATCTGCGGCTCAGGAGAGCGGTGATGCAGCTGAAATGAAGCGCTGTAAGAACATGGAGATCCTCTATGATTCTCTGCAGCTCGCACACAAGTGCATCCTTAACTCTTTCTACGGATACGTCATGAGAAAAGGGTGCGTACCTAACAGCACAGTGACGTAACTCACACAAAAAGCTTCACTGCCCTTCTGTAACTTTCCTTACAATAGTTTGTTGCTTCTAGAGTCAATACACAGTCAGTAGCCTAAAATATCTTGATTGCGGTCGCTTCAGACACACATCCATGTTTGCTCATTTTCTGTTTATGGTTCGAAATGTTCTGTAGGTTTTGGTGTCCTTGGTCCCTGAAAATAATCTAGTTTTGTACAGTAATAAAGAGACTGATGAATTGTCCAACCCGTTTTATGTTTGCAGAGCACGGTGGTACTCCATGGAAATGGCTGGTATTGTGTGTCACACAGGAGCCAACATCATCACTCAGGCCAGAGAACTGATCGAGCAGATTGGGTGAGGCTTCCATTCCCACACTAAATAATCTTCTGCTGCCAAACAGAATAACAAGCGTAAAGTATTATCAATTTACTAAGATTGTGATTTTAAAGTTTGCAAGCTTGTCAGCTTCTAGGCCTTGTATTGTCTCTGTCTGAATGCTTGCTTGTTGGTACAGGAGGCCTTTGGAGCTGGACACTGATGGTATCTGGTGTGTCCTCCCTAACACCTTCCCTGAGAACTTTGTCATCAAGGCCTCTAATGAGAAGAAACCCAAAGTCACTATAAGTTATCCTGGAGCCATGCTCAACATCATGGTCAAGGCAAGTTGACTTAATCCCTGTAAAGCGTTGAATAGAGAAAACCGTACAGGGTCCGGCACATTCTGGAACTGTCCCTAGATCTTAGACTAATTTTCCAGTCATGGAAAACACCTGTAAAATAAAGCAAATTGTGAAGTGTCCTAGAAGAGTTATGCTACAGAGATTGTGTATTTTAGCATATTTTTTGCTGCTAACGTCCAGTTTGTGTGTCCATTCTGACCTAATGTTTGAAATGCTGCAGTGTCGCACGTGGTTGCACGCTGTTTTGGAATACTTGGGAGAGCAGAGCTGCTTTAACACATGCCAACTTGCAGCCTGTAACATTTACTTCTAATATTTTAGTAGATCTTTTGATTGAAATGATGACTGGTTGACAAATCATTTGGGTGAGCATGTTGGTCAGTAAGTGATTGTTGTATTGCTGGTTTTAGTGTTAAAGCTGGTGGCAGTTGTGCATCGTTTTAAGATGGCTTTTTGCAAGCAACAGCTGTTGTGCATATGTCCTAGAATTTGTCCTGTGAAAGATCTGGAAAATGATTCCCTAAAAAGAGTGAGAACACTGACAGTGAAAATACTGTAAAATTATAGTTATGAAGGTTTCTACATCACCCAGCTTAAATTTTTATTTCTGTTTTATCTTCTACAGGAAGGTTTCACCAATCATCAGTACCAAGAACTGGTAGATCCGGCCTCTCTGACATATGAGACAAGAGCAGAGAACAGCATCTTCTTTGAGGTAGATGGACCATACCTGGCCATGATTCTGCCTGCCTCCAAAGAGGAGGGCAAGAAGCTAAAGAAGAGGTGAGAAAATTCCCCCATGTGTTACATTGCTGAAGCCTGAAAGATCAGGCATAATGCTATGAAGAATATTGCTGTCATCTTTCCAGCAGTGAACCTGATGAGCCCCCAGGGCACCCAAAAAAGGAAGCCGCTTGTTTAAATATGCCATCAGAGGAGGTATGCTGCGTGCATGTCCCTGCTGGCAACAGTAAAAGCATTTTATCAATTTCATCAAATAGAACCTGAGTTTTTTTTTTTTGTTTGTTTGTTTTTGTACTACCGTGTTTTCTATCACTATATACAACATTTAAAATAAGCCCAAGGCTTCCTTTCTTGTTGGATTGTTGGATGTTTTGGTTCTCTCCCTGAACAAGTGTGCAAGCTCATTAAGACCACAGTTCAGAGTAGAAAGCACATATTACTGATATGTATCAGAGTAAAGAAAAAGCACAACTGATAGGTGAATTACTTGCCTATTCATATGTTTTCTTGTTCACAATGGTAGTTTATGACACAAACCAAAAAAAAAAAAACAATCTCTGAATTATTTAACTTTGTTAGATCATGCTCTTTACATATCAAAGGCAGCAACAGTGTCCAGAAATCACATTATTAATGGAAAAGAGTAGGTAAAACAGCAGAAATAGCCATGTTTTTGCATCAGCCTGAAAGACTTAATGCTCTTTGGACAAATGTTATGATAACTGTGTTCGTAAATTATACATTTTTTGGAGGAATATTTGTTAATATTAAACAGTCTTTATTTGTGATGGCAGTCTAGAGTTACAATCCATGGTATCTTAGGCAGACAGTTCTTGTTGTCTGAGGTGATTTCATTCTAATGTTTGGGGTGTGTGTGTGTCTCTGTTCGGGCTGCCAGGTATGCTGTCTTTAATGAAGATGGTTCTCTGGCTGAGCTGAAAGGCTTCGAAGTGAAGAGGAGAGGAGAGCTCCAGCTCATTAAAATCTTTCAGTCTTCTGTATTCGAGGCTTTTCTCAAGGGCACCACTCTGGAGGAGGTCTATGCTTCTGTTGCTAAAGTGGCAGACTACTGGCTAGATGTGCTCTACAGCAAGGTAACGTGGTATATGAAAGCTGTTTTTTGGCAGCACTGTCAATGGTCAGTGGATGTTAAAATATTTTCTTCGGTTCACCATGATTTAAATTTTTGTTAGTACTGCCAGTGTTTGTTTTCACAAATTTTGTATTCAGTGAATGGTACTGCAATAGATCTATTTCAATTTTAAAAAATAAAAATGAATATTGCATGCCTTGACCCATTTTATTGTGAGTCAGAAAAATGCATATTTCTATATATATTTAAGAACGGAAAGGATGAAATTGTCTATGCCCTTTAATTGAAATTGAAAGCTTGATCCACATTGAGTCATCTCTCCCTGCGCTACAGGCGGCTAACATGCCAGATGCAGAGCTCTTTGAGCTCATCTCAGAGAACCGATCCATGTCCCGAAAGCTTGAGGACTATGGTGAACAGAAGTCCACCTCTATCAGCACAGCCAAGCGACTGGCTGAGTTTCTTGGTGACCAGATGGTGAAGGACGCTGGCCTGAGCTGCCGCTACGTCATCTCCCGAAAACCTGAAGGCTCACCTGTTACTGAAAGGTAAGGGAGAGTTTTCAGAATTATTTTATCACTAACATGAGGTTATGCATTATTTTATTTTTGGTGAGTTTACAAACCAAAGTCAGTTTTAGGCTCTTTTGGTTGCAAACAGTGTTAAAGCGTTTCCTTCAGAAATTCAGTGCATTCTCTCCTTTTCCTTGAAGGGCGATTCCTCTGGCCATATTCCAGGCTGAAGCAAGTGTAAAGAAGCATTTCCTGCGCAAATGGCTCAAGATGCCCAGCCTTCACGACCTGGACATTAGATCAGTATGTCTGTCTTCTGCATAAATGTCATTCGCTGATCTGTTGTCAGGCTTTTTGTCCGTAATGAATTACTTATATTGAAAATATTACTGTGTTATTGTCTTTGTGTCAGATCCTGGACTGGGGTTACTACATTGAGAGGCTTGGTAGTGCTATTCAAAAGATCATCACCATCCCAGCAGCATTACAACAGGTGAAGCCATGCTTATGCTTTCAGTTCAGGATTGGGATGTGGTTTATCATAGTTTATTAATGCTGTGTGTGTTTAATAATGTGTGTGTCTTTGCAAAGTCCTATTCTAGTTGTAGATTTTTCCATATGATATGTGCATGTCTGAGTGCACAGCTTAATTTGTTGTTTTCTCAGGTGAAAAACCCTGTGCCCAGAGTGCGCCATCCAGACTGGTTGCATAAGAAGCTTTTGGAAAAGAATGACATCTACAAACAGAAGAAAATCAGTGAGCTGTTCACTAGTGAAGGAAAGAGACAGGTACAAATAATGGTCGAATCTCAGAAAGTCCTTGAAGGGGAATGAACGTTAAGAAGTATAGCTGTACTTATTTTTGTAGAGCAGGAAACGCAGGTATCAGTTGCCGTCTTAAAGCTCGTAAATGTGGATGGAATTAAAATGTGTTATTTCACATGACGATTTCCGAAGTGGGATTTTATTTATGTGTATTGTCCTCCTAAAATCCATCCCTGGGTGCACAGCATTACATGTGAATGCACAGCTAGACTTTTGCTGCCTCTGTCTTTCATCACGCTTACATGTACTGTCATTCTTTTTCTTTTTGTCTTTGTTTTTCTTTTGTTCTTTCACTTTTTCTTTCACTCTTTCTTTTGCTCTTTTGTTCTTTTTTGTACTCTTTCATTCTTTCTTTTTCTCAGGTGACCCAACAGAAGCAGGACGGGGCTCCTGATATAGAAGATTTCGGGGTTCCACAGCGCCCCCTGCAACCTGCCATCCTCATCAGCACAAAGAGGAAGCGAGCATCTCAGGGTGAGGACAGCCAAACGGAGTCTCAGGAGCTGGAGCTTACTCAGTCTTGGAGAGAGATTCTGGGACCACCGCCACCTAGGGGCACAACACGGGTACTGCAGAAAAGTTTGCAAATACCATTTTAACAGATGCTAGCCTCTAGTGTGTGGACGCAATAGGTGCACATACTCATGTATGTACATAGAGCTATGGGAGTCCTTTTAGTGGATAAGGGCCGCTCTACTTTTAAGTATTCAGATGGTTTTGTGTTTGTACCATAAATTGCATAAACCAAACATACTCTCAACAGATGTTTGAGACAAGGAGAGAATTTCTCAAGAAGTGTCTCAGTTTCTTTAAATTAATCACTTAAAATAATCAGCAGATTTTATGTGCAGTCAACTAAGCTTGTGATGGCTACAGTGCTTAACTGACACTTTTATTCAGTATAAATTTAGACATGTAGAGACCGTACCTCAAAATATGGCACTATTAATTAAGTCAGGACAGTGGCAAATGAAAATGCCAATGTTTTCATCTAGTTGGCCTCCATCAAGATTAATGGTTTTGGTAAAATCTTTCATCTATGAAAATGTGTTTGTTTTTAGGAGGAGCGGTTGGTCTGGCTGCGCTACCATAAGAAAAAATGGGAGCTACAGATCCGTCAGAGAAAGGAGCGCAGGAAGAAACGCCGCTTGATTGACGGAGAGGCTCAGCCAACCGGAGGTGGAGTAATCAGGGGCGGACCAACCACAGGGCTGGGGAACTTCCTGCGCAGGACAGCCAGGAGCATTCTGGACATGCCTTGGCAGATTGTACAGGTGGGACAGTCTTCTGTGTTAATACCATATTTTAAGGTTTCTCAAATAGGAGGGTTAATCTAGGATACCATTACGCTCCTTTCTGCCAATCATGGTCTTAAAATGTTTTTTAAAAGATCAGCACATCTGCCTTTGTTAAACTAATTGTGTACAATGAACCTTCTGTTCCATAGGTCTTCAGATCTGTATTTTGAATCTAGATTCTGGTCCTGGATTTTGTAATTGTTGGAATGCATAACACAGTTTCAGTTAACTACCAGTTTTTACAAAATCTACAACCAGAAACTGTATTCAGTGTCTGGATGTAAAGACTTCTGTACTATGCTCATTATACAAGTGACTTTCCCCCCCCCCACAATATTTAAATATATTCTTATTTATTCTTATTTTTGTCTTTTAATCCTCTCTAGATTGCAGAGACAAGCCACCCAGGCCTGTATAAGCTGTGGGCAGTGATTGGCAGTGACCTGCACTGCATGAAGCTCAATATTCCGCGAGTGTTCTATGTCAATCAAAGAGTGCCCAAGCAAGAAGAAGGGGCCACATACAAAAAGGTCTGTAAGAGCAAGATGCTTTGTAGGTTACCTTTCTAGATGAACTATTTTATAGAGCTAATTAATAAATGATCGTCTTGTGAACGCACACGTCTGTAAAACTTGCCCATAAAAAGTTCTATATGTAAACATTTGAATGGAGTCATTCTTCTTTACAGGTGAACCGGATTTTGCCACGCTCCAACATAGTGTATTACCTGTACCAGTACTCTGTGCCTGAGGACATGTATCAAGAACATATCAATGAGATCAATGCAGACCTCTCTGCCCCGGACATAGAAGGAGTCTACGAGACACAGGTAATGGAATAGACAGGAGCCTTTTATTTGACAAGGCCTTTTAATTTGCATCCTATCCACAACTTATGATTTGAGAACACCATGTACACTACCATTCAAATGTTTGGAACTAATGTTTTTTTATTAATATAAGGATCTACTATAATCAGATAATCACAAAACATTATTCATCATTTACAAAGTTACTTGCTATTCCCAAAATCTCGAAAACCTCATCATATACCTGGTATCCAGCTTAAAGTATTTGTAGTTTCTGCACTGTACAAGGTATTGAATAAAGTAGTACGGTTGGGCGACATGGCCAAAAATGATTAAGAATTTTTGTATGAGTCGATATCAAGAATTATCATAAATGTCAAATCAGACGTTTACATCTTGTGGCTTTTGAATAGTCTCTTAAAACTGTAAAACACTGGCCAGGGGTTCCCGCACGTAGATGTTTTGTATAGATTTTCACGGCTGCCGAAGTACATTTGGTGACCCATTTTAATTACCACCACCTCAGAATCATGTTGAAGACCTCAAAAGTGCGCCCTCTTGTGGTGACAGCGGAGTAGTGTCGCTTTTCTTGCACTGGAAAATGCCACCAGGGCTGTCGCTAGAACACAGAAGTGTGAGAATGGGGTATGATATTGGACATTTATTGAACATTTCTTGTTTCTATTGAGGAAAGTTATATCACAATAATTATTGTTATTATTTTATGGCTTAGCCTAAAAAGTAGCAGCAATTATTAATGACAAGTGATTCCAAATTCCGATCCTCCAGAAATCTGCGATCTTGTGATCATGAGAATTCACACATTCAACTAGTGTTGACAGTATTTGCCAGAGCTCACAATTTTGTCCAGCCACTGCATTATTACCATAATAAACTTGTAAATCTATGACGGGCTTTTAAAATGAAGCATGCATCCTCTATGAATTGTGTCCTGGGAAGCCGCTATCTCTGCTGCTCTGCCCACGCTTTGATGTAACATCTGATATCTAAGCTTACTTAGCCACAATTATCATGATTTAGTCAGTTCCATTCTGATTGCCTATCTTTCTATTCCCTCTTCATAAAAACATTGAAGCAAGACATCTTTGCTCTCTGTTTATTGATGAAAAATTAATCAGCTGCTGGGTTCATGTTAGTTCAGAGTCGCAGTGCTGCTGGATGCTCTTAGTAGATTTATTTTAGTAAGTTTCCTTAGATTTCCTGAATATTTGGAGAGTTTATTTAGAGACTGTTCTTATTCCATCAGTACTTTGTAGTTGTAGCCAATTTTCATCACAGAATTTTGAAAAAAATGAATACTTTTTTCAGACTTTAAAACAGTTTTATCATTTTTTCACTTTGTTGCTTTGCATGCTTTTGGTTTTCAGAGGTACTCTTAGTTTTCTTAATGTCCTTTTTGTTTTGAAAGAAACTAACAAAGCAACTAACTACTAAACAAGTTAACAAATATCAGACTCATCCTTAATAATTTTTACTTTTTTTTTTCTTTTTTAGTATTTTATTTATAATTTTACATTTATAACATAAACAGAAACATTCTGAATACACTCCCATATCCCACCCCAATCCAACATCCAGACCAAAAAGAAAAAATAAATAAATAAATAAATAAAAATAAATAAATAAATAAAAGGAGGGAGAGGATGAAAGAAAAACACAACTAAGGTCCTTTTAACTTGTCCAAGAACTTATTCCACATCAAATGAAAATGTCTCTGAGCTTTTTTTATCACAGCATCTCAGTCTCTCCATCTGGACAATGTGTGTCATCTCAGACAGCCATCTTTTAAAACAAGGGGCTGAGGATGATTTCCAGTTAAGAAGAATGACCTTTTTGGCAGCGACCATACTGGTTATTAGAACCTGCTGCTGAATTCGGGAAAAATCAACCATAGACTCACAACAGCCACAAAACGCAACAACAGGGTCAGGAGACACTTGGATGTCAAGTGGATTAGAAAGAAATAAAAATATATTGGACCAAAAATCATGTAAGACTGGACAGAACCAAAACTGATGAGCCAAGGTGCCATCTGCAATCTCACACCTGTCACAAAGTGAAGACAATGATCCGCAGATCCTAAATAGCTTAGACTTTGAGTAATGGAGTCTGTACAGGACCTTGAACTGTATCAGCCTGTACTTTGAATTGCTAGAGCAGTTGGCGATTCTGGACAGACTCTCCTCCCAGACCTCCTTGGACAAAGAAGTGCCAATATCTGCAGCCCATGCCTCCCTGAAGCGGTCAGTGTCCGCAGAGGAAAATAAGAGTGAAACAAACTTAGATATTAGGTGCTGAGAGTAAGGGTTAATAAAAAAAAAAAATAAAAAAATGGATGATCTGTTGGTTTATAAATGTAATTTGGAATGTTTTTTTGTACATAATTTCTGACCTGCAAATAACGAAAGAAGTGTGTATGAGGAAGACCATATTTATCTCTCAACTGTGGAAATGATGCAAGTTTATTTTCTATATATAGATCACCAATACTAGATAACCCTTTATCAGCCCAGGTGGAAAATGCATGATCCATAACAGAAGGCGGAAAAAGATGATTAAGGAAGAGAGGAGTATGAATGGAGGTTGCAGGAGATTTGAGGAAGTCCTTAATTTGGTTCAATATTTTAAGTGAATTCCTCAATATGAAATTCTGCCAATCAGCCCACGAGCAGACCTTATGTTTGAAGACAAAAAAACTAGCAAAGAAAATCCTGTAATTGATTTAACTTCCAGATCAACCCAACATTGCCTATCCTTTGACACTAGACTGTACGAAGATCCCAATTTCCAAAACATAAGAGCTCTAGCATTTGCAGCCCATTAATAATGTTTAAGCACTGGTAAGGCCAATCCTCCATCTGAATAGGGCTTTTGTAGATGAATCTTAGAAATACATGCTGTTTTATAACCCCATACAAATTGCATTATTATTGAATCCAATCGGTTAAAGAATGTAGCAGGCACAAAAAAGGGAGGTTTGGAAAAATATACATAAATTTTGGTTGTATCACCATTTTTACATTTTTATTGCATTGACTCGGCCTATCATAGACAAAGGAAGCAGACGCCAACGTTCAATGTCTGCCTTAAGTTTATCTACCATGCTTAAGAAATTTAACTTAAACAACAATTTGGGATTGTTTGGCACTGTAAGGCCAAGATAAGTTAAATATTCATCAACCACTTTAAATGGTAGCGCATTTAAGAAAAGAGGCCCAGTTGATAGTATATAGTAATTTTTACTTTTAAGTAGTCGTTAAAAATGGCTGTGAAATCCTAGTGAGTGCACATTTTTGAACAGTAGTGTACGTGCTTCACTTGACAATTGCTGTACACTATCATTGGCCACAATAGAAGTATAAAACTCCACTGATAGTAAGCAAATAAATAAACCATTTAGAATCATGAGTGTAGTGGTTTCCTTAGGACAAATCTTAATATCTGAAATACATTTCAGTGTTCATTTATGTGCTTAATGGTTCCATTAGCAGATGTCTGATGTCTCTAATTTTCCATTAATTTTCCTTTATGTGAAGCTTAATTTAATTTGGAGGTTGACAAAACATCACACTCATTTTTGTTTGTCTCTGGAAAACGGACTAATCAGAATTGTCTGCGCTGCAATGTTCTGTAATGGTATATTGTTAACAGTGTTTTGCTGTTTTGTACAGTCTTTTTCTTCCATTTGTCAAAAGCATGAATGTAAATGTACCCATTTGTTCTTCTCCTGTGTAGAAATACATTCAAAATGTATTTTGTTTTGAATGTCAGTGGTATTTTGAAGAAACCTTGTAGACATTGTACAGAAACAGAGATTTTCTGAGGGGCTGAACATCTGATTCATTCTTTCACTGCTATAGTTCATCTAGTGCCTGAACTCCCTGATTGACCGAGCGAGTTCGTGTGTCCATCCTGCAGGTGCCGCTGCTGTTCCGGGCGCTGGTGCAGCTGGGCTGTGTATGTATGGTAAACAAGCAGGTGGTAAGGGAGCTTGCCGGCCGCGAAGCAGATACCTTCGACCTGGAGCACCTGGACATGCGGTCCCTCGCCCAGTTCAGCTACCTGGAGCCAGGTAACACTTGAAACTACACCCAGTGCTGGGAACATTAGTATGAACCCACGCATCACATTCACATTCAAGGTTATGAGACAAATCAACCCCTAATCACTTTTCCTCTCTTGTTCATTTACTAGCAGGTTGTTTTCACTTTTCAGCCACTTGTCATAGGTGCTTTTGTTTTGTGGCCTTGAAAGTAACTTGCAAAGTCTTTGTATTGCAGGAAGTGTGAGGCACATGTACCTGTACCATCACAGTCAGGGCCACAAGGCTCTGTTTGGCCTCTTTATCCCCTCTCAGCGTAAAGCCAACGTCTTCGTCCTTGACACGGTTAGTACCACTGTGTTTTGTTTTTTTTTTGTGTGTTTTTTATTTTTCTTCCTCATGATGACTGTTAACTGTTTTTTGAGCCTGAAAAGAACTAAAACATAATTTTTTATTTTTATTTGTCTGTTTAAACAAATTTGCTCTCCTAAATGCAGAATTGATTCTGGTCATTTTTGTTGCTTTATTTGTAAGATAAAATGTCATGCAGTCATTTGGCTAATATATACAGTGCCCTCCACAAATAGCAGCACCCCTGGTAAACATGAGCAAAACAGGCTGTAAAAATATTCTTTAATGCCTAAAAAAAATTAAAAATCTCATCAGGAAGTATTATTTTTCTCAAATGTTTCAACCACGATTATTGGCACCCCTTCATTTTAATACTCTGCGCAACAGCTCGGTATCTTCTCCTATAATGCTTAATGAGACTGGGGATCACATGGCAAAGGATCTGAGACCATTCCTCCTTACAGAACTTCTTCAGAACCTTTAGATTCCGGGATCCACACTGTGGACCCACATCTTCAGCTTATTCCTCAGGGTTCAGGTCAGGGGACTGTGGTGGCCATGGCAAAACTTTAGGTCTGTGGTCAGTGTACTATTTTTCTGTTTATTTGGAGGTGTGTTTTGGATCAGTGTCCTGCTGGAAGATCCAAACTATATGGCCCAGTTTAAGCTTTGTGGCTGAGGCAGTCAAGTTTTGATTTTATTTCTGCTGGAGAAGAAAATAAACCCCACAACATCACCACCATACTTCACATCATTGCTGACAATTTAAGTGTTCCTTATCACAGGTGAACATAAACACAAGATATGAATAGAAATACATTTCACTTAGATTTCACTCTTAAAAGTTTCAATAATTGCTGATAATTGTGGCTCACTAGAAAAAAACTACATTTTTTTTCATAAGAATTTAGTTTTTTTTTCTTTTTTTTCTATAACTTAAAGGGGTTTTGTTAAAATATTTTAAATGAAAGATCAAAAAGCTCAAAGCTCCTTTTGCTCATGCTTACCAGAGGTGGCAATATTTGTGGAGGGCACTGTATGTATTTAATTTTATTTATGGATTTTTATTTTTTTTTTACACTCTTACTTTTTATTGTTCATTTTAAAAATTACAATATAATTACTACAATAATTTTATTCCTAAAAATAACTTATCCCTCATTCTCTTTTCTAACCTTCTGGCACCCCCGACAGGTTCGGAGTAACCAGATGCCAAACCTGAGTACAATGTATGGAGCAGAGCGCACCGCCCTCCTGGAGAAAACCTCTGAGGAACTGCTGCCACCTGAGAAGCACCTGTTTGAAGTGCGCGCTGAGAACGATGTGAAGGCCATATACCGTGCCCTGCAGCGCATTCTGCTCAGCTACAAGGTATAAACACTCATCTTGGTGGCTTTACACACACATATATTGCTATAATGTGCTCTAATTTGCTATAATGACTCTGTGAGTGGTCAGTGTGTTTTTTTTTTTGTTTTTTTTTGTTTTGTTTTTTTTTGTTTGTTTTTTTTTTCATATTTTTTTATTGTACACTATAATGAAAGAATGCAGTGTGAAAGGGCTAAAAGAGAATTTTTACTATGATGCACATAATTTTAATTAAATGTATCATTTTCACTCTACAAGTTTAAAAACTATATAATTAAAATATATTAAGTTGCATAATACAGTATATTTGTGATTTAATTTCAGCTCTAGTGTTTCAAGTGATGGGAAAATAATCTAGTGTGTATATTTGTGTGTGCGTTTTTAGGAAGAACGTCGTGGTCCAACTCTCATCGCCGTGCAGTCTAACTGGGAACTGCGGCGGCTGGTGTCCGGCATGGCTGTGCTGGAGGAGTTCCCAGTGGTCCCGGTGCACGTGACAGATGAAATTAGTTACAATGTGCTAGACTGGCAGCGACACGGTGCCCGACGTATGATCAAACACTACTTAAATCTGGACAGCTGCCTGTCACAAGCCTTTGACATGGCCAGGTACAACACATAATCCACTGAGAGATGATGATCTTTAGGGCTGATTTGGACCCAGCTTCCCAAAATTTAAAAGATAAAAGGCAGAAATGAATTAGCAGGAGGCTATTTTGAGCATCTCTGAGTGATCTTGTATTGTAGGTGTGGCAAAGACTTTTTAAAAAAAGAAATTAGAACCTAAAGGATACTTTAATGAACATAGATGATGCCTGGGCTAAATGATGCTGTTTCTAGGTCTCTGTCATAATACTATAATCTTAGGCTTGATGGCCAGTCCTTTAGACTAGAAGTTAAATGCTTTTTATGCCTACCTTCAGCTTTTTAACATTGCATGTCATTTTTTTCATGTCATTTCCTTTTTTTCCCCCACTTCTTCATAATTCCTTATGTTCCTCCACTCTGCAGGTATTATCACCTGCCCGTGGGGAACCTACCTGAGGACATCTCCATTTTTGGCTCAGACCTATTTCTGGCCCGTCACCTGCGGAAGCACAACCACCTGCTGTGGCTTTCTCCCACAGCAAGACCTGACCTTGGGGGCAAGGAGGCAGATGACAGCCGCCTGGTGATGGAGAGTGATGAGCGTGGTTCTGTGGAGATCAACATGCAGGGCTGCTTCTCCACAGGTACACTGCATTCTATATGGATTAGCAGAACTCATTAGCCCTTAGTTGATTGTCCTGGGTTGAATAAAGTAAAATTAGCAATCAGTTTCACTATAAAGCCCAGTTTTCTACCATGTCTAACAGTGCTGTGATTTTATTTTACTGAAATATGAGAGAATGCACTCAGTGGCTATTCTTTATACTTACGTGTGGGGCTTCTTTCAGTGTGTGTGGAGTTGGACATTCAGAGCTTGGCAGTGAACACCATCCTCCAGTCTCAGCATGTGAATGACATGGAGGGTGGGGCCAGTCTGGGTGTTAGCTTTGATGTCATCCAGCATGCTTCACTGGAGGAAATGATGTCAGGGAACCAGGGGGCAAGCGCTGTGGCCAGCTATGATGAGACTGCCCTCTGCTCCAACACCTTCAGGTGTGTGTCTGCGTGTGTATGTGTTTGGTTTTTTTCCTCTAAGGACATCTTTAGTGTATATCACTTTGGTAATGTAAATAAATAAATAAATAAAGTGATTAAGACATGTTGTAAACTTTGTGATATTGATAACATGTTGAAAACATGTTCTTCTTTGAAATTGTGTGTGTGTGTGCGTAGGATCCTGAAGAGTATGGTGGTTGGCTGGGTGCGGGAGATCACGCAGTACCATAATGTTTATGCTGATAACCAGGTGATGCACTTCTATCGTTGGCTGCGCTCCCCCAGCTCTCTGCTGTATGACCCAGCACTGCACCGCACACTTCTCAACATGATGAAGAAGCTATTTTTGCAGTAAGTGACAAAATCCAGACAAAAAGCATTTGGGAAGGGTGCAAGCTAAAGCTGACAATACAGTATGACCTCTTTGAGGATTTTTTTGCCATAATGTTACTCAGCATGAATTTCTAATGATGTGGTTCATCTGACAGATATTGTCTCAAGAAATTGACTCTGTTTCTCTGTTTCTCACTCAGACTGGTTGCTGAGTTTAAGAGGCTTGGTTCCTCTGTTGTCTATGGGAACTTTAACCGTATCATCCTCAGTACCAAGAAGCGGCGCATTGACGATGCCATTGCATACGTGGAGTACATCACCAACAGGTGAGACCTAATTTTCCCCCTTAACAGTGCCAGTGGTTGTCTATCCCTTTCATCCCACTGCATATTTTTCCCTACTGAGATACCAGATTCAGTTTGTAAAGGACATTGCATGATGAAGAAAAGCACAATTATATTGTGCACTTCCATGTAAAAGTTTAGTTGAATAACAAATTTCATGGCATTATATGATTGTAGTATGACATGAATGGCACAAAGGTTAATGTCAAAAGGTTTACGTCATTGTCTACCCATGTTTATGGGGCAATATGATCATTTTTAAGGCCGAGCAGTGTTATAAAATCTGATCCCAGCTCTGATTAACAGTTGACAGTCCATGTTAGTTGCTAATCTGTACAGAGCAGGTGTTTATCACAAGTATTTGTAGTTTATCCTCAGGCTAAACATAAAACTTAATTGAAAGAATAAAACGACAATAAAAATAATAAGAGTAATTATTTTGCCCCACTTCAAAAGGTTGTAAGTAGCCAAGCCTTCAAGAGTGGAGTGATCTATGAAAATTCCTCGTATTTGATTCTCACATTGCAGTATCCATTCCCGGGAGATCTTCCACTCTCTGTCTATCACATTTTCTCGATGCTGGGAGTTCCTACTGTGGATGGATCCTGCCAACTATGGAGGAGTCAAGGGGAAACTGCCTTCCAGTATTATGTACGGAGAGGTATGTCATGATTCACTTACATTTTGCATGTGCGTAGTAGTCAACAAGCACAAAGGCACAATGCTTCTGTATTTATATCCGACATGTTGAAATCATACGTAAAGAGAACCGGTCGTTTTGTTACGTAGTCTTCCCATTTTGGAGTTGCTCAACTGTTTCTTGCCCATCAAAATTAGAAAACATCAATTCGATTGCTCATTTGCTTTTTTTGAAAATGAAACAAGAATGGCATGGAAAAGAGGAAAGGAAAGAAGGAAGGAGAAGATGAGGACAGTGATGATGAGGACGAAGAGGCTGATGAACAGGAAGATGAAGAGCAAGATGGGGATGAAGAGGTTGAGGACCTGATTGAAAGCAACTGGAACATCATGCAGTATCTGCCTCAGACAGCTTCATGTCAGAAATACTTCCTCATGATCATCTCAGGTGGGTTGTTTTTTAAATACATTTCATTGAAATATTAATATTTCAGCGCTATACTTTGATAATTGCAATTTTCAAACACCCATTTGTACCGTCAAAATTATTTGTTGGTAATTTATTTTGAACCATTTAAACACAGCCCCCCCCCCAACATGCTTCTCACAGAACTTTAAGCCTTTTATTTAGTGACATAATTTTCCTGCTTCTGTCTTGTCTCTGTACAGCTTATATAGCTGCTGTGTATCACAGCATGAAGGAGGAGCTTAGACGGAATGCTCCTGGAGCCACGCCTATAAAGAGGCGGGGTGGGAGCCAAATAACCCAACAACCTGCTGGTGATGTCAGTGCACTTCCTGGTAAGAACTGCATATAATGTATTTTAATTACACCCCTTTTCATTTCTTTGCATGAGTAGACAAAGTAAAAGATGTTAAGTGTGGTGAATAACTTTACTTAATGTTCTGTGACTTAGTAAGGCTAAACAAAAAAAACTGCACACCAGCGAACACCATGAATTAACAATGTAATTTTTATTTCATTTTTATTGTTTTTAAAATCATCTCTTAGAATTATATTTGGTAAATCACTGGATGAGTGAAGGTGTAACACCTGTATTCTCTTTCTAGGTTTGTTTAGCTTGTTTCTCTGTGTTGTCTGCAGGCATGATCACATTCTCTCAGGAGTATGTGTCCAGTGAGCTTACCCAGAACTTCTTCACCATCACACAAAAGATTCAGAAGAAGGTGTCTGGAACGCGCAGCGTGACTCTGCCCTCTGAAATGTTCCCTGTGCTGCCTGGATCACACCTGCCCCTCAACAATCCGTCTCTGGAGTTCATCAAATACGTCTGCCAGGTGAGACACAGTACTTTGCTTCTCGGCTTGGGCCGTTCATGGTCTAGCTTGGTAGATGCACAATAATTTTAGGAGTTTTTTTATTCAAAAATTTTATTCAAGTTTGTATGTGTAAAACAAGTTCCAGTATAGCTTGTCTAAACTTTAATGCATCTTTGTTTGTGTGTATTCAGGTCCTCTCTCTGGATTCTAACATTGTAAATCAAGTGAATAAGTTAAAGCGAGACCTCCTGCGTTTGGTGGACGTTGGGGAGTTTTCCGAGGAAGCTCAGTTCCATGACCCCTGCAACTCTTACGTCTTGCCAGAGGTCATCTGCCACCACTGCAACTTCTGTCGTGACCTTGACCTTTGCAAGGACCCTTCCGTAGCCCAGGTTAGTACTCAAATCCATGTTCACCACAAACCTGAAAGTTAAGTTGAACTGCTATAGGAAATGATCAAGAAGCCATTGGTGTACTTAAAATAGCTTTTTTTTCCTGTACTTTTCCAGTGCTATATAACGTTATTATTTTTAGCTCATCCAGCTCACTCTCTCCTCTTCTCTGGCTTTCCTCCTGTGTAGGATGGGTCGGTTTTACCTCAGTGGTTCTGCTCTAACTGCCAGGCCCCGTATGACACTGACTCAATAGAAATGGCTTTAGTGGAGGCTCTGCAGAAGAAACTGATGAGTTACACCCTGCAGGACCTGGTAAGTGGCAGCCATATACTGTTACTTCTAAGACGAAGACTGCTGATCTACAATATATTGTAATAAATGTAATTATTTCCGCATAATAATTTATGGACTTACTAACCAAAGATGTAGTACCATTTAAATGGGACAGTCTTATTGCTGCACATTAAGGTTGAATGGGAAATATTCCAGTGACATATTAGAGCCAGAAAATGCTGAACTGTGTATTTGTGCCCTACATAATCAGTTAGATGGTAGAACACAGTGTTCATGCACGGTCTCTCTGTGATCTAGACCTTTTGCACCTACCTAAATTTGCTTTTAGTTGGCTCACAGAGTGTGGTGATCATGCTTTTATCTGGTTACAGGAGTGTGCCAAATGCCAAGGGGTGAAGGAAGCCAACATGCCCCTGTACTGCACCTGTGCTGGAGACTTTAAACTCACCTTCACCATAAAGGTATGACCAAAATGAGGTTTACTCATGCAGTAGTGAATAAGGGTGTAAAAATGTGTAAGAATGTATGTGTTTATGTATGTATTGAATTATATGTTGGTCATTGTACAGCAAAAAATACATTTCCTTCATGGACAGTAAAGCAAATCTAATTTAATTTAATTAAGGCAGGGTTGTTGAGCAATTTTGCAAGATTCATAATTTGGTCCCAATTTATCAATGATTATTTCACATCTTAGATAAAATATTAGATAATAGATAATTATCTGTAGATGGTTTGTTATTTAAAGGTATTACACTAAGTAGTTTAAAACCATACAAAATATAAGACAAGGAGGACATGAAGAAACACAGAACAGTTTTTAAAATATTAATTTGTTTATTTAAAAGGTTTTACCATGCCTATATCATACGTGTGAAAAAGTAAATGCACCTAAACTTAACCTTCAACTTTAGCAGCAACAACTACAACTTCCTAAAACTGGAGATCTTCCTAAGATTGGAGTCTCACGCATTGCTGTGGAGCATTTATGGCTCAGTTTGCGGAATTGCTATTAATTAATTCAGCCATGTTGTTCCGAGCATGAACTGCCTGTTTAAGGTCCTGCTACAGCGTCACAATTAGTTTGAAGTCAGGATTTGATTAGGCCACTCCAGAACTATAATTGGTTGTTGTTGTTTAGTGACAGATTTGCCCTTGTGTTTCAAACAAAGGTAAATTTGCCATGGACAGTAAAGCTAATGTAATGTAATTTAATCTAATTAGGGATGGGATGATAAGCAATTATGAAAAATCAAATAAAAAATAAATTTGAAAAATAAATTGAAGCAAAATTAAAAATTATTTCAGATTTTTGATAATAGTTGCGTAGCACATGTTTAATTATTTAAAACAGATTTGCATTATTTCACATACAAAAAGCGAGTGGTTGCTTCTGTGTTGTCAACAACAAAACATTAAAATGTGATTAAGAGTGAAAAATACTGTTTCTAAAGGCAGGCAACCACATCATGGTGAATTTTGAGATTTCATGATGCATTGACTCTTTTTCCTGAGCAGTTATAATTAAATCTGATTGTTCTGAGGTCAGAGATTTATACCCCCATCATCTAATGTTTCATTTAATGCTCTTACAGTGCTCTTAAGGGTCTGTTTAATGTGGGTTTTATGGTTTTCTTTTACATTATTCTGCACTCAGAACTTCACAGAGCAGGTCACCGTGTTCAGGAATATCGCTGCCCACTACAACATGCACTTCCTGCTAGAGACCATCGACTGGATCCTGAGGATGAACACTTAAGAGTGGGTGTGTGTGTGTGTGTGTCTGTGTAAATGTATGTTTATCTGTATAAAGTATCTCTTTTGACCAGAATACATCAAAATGTATTTTGGATCTGTTTTATAATTATCACTGTGCTTGAAATTATGTGCAAAGGATTATGAAAGATTTTTGTACAGATCTTGATTCAGCATCATTTTCTGTAAACATGTTGTACCAGGATGTGTTGGAAACACAGTGGTGTGTATCTAAACAGTAATAATTGACATGATATTCTGTATTTGAATTAAATATTTTTGTACTTCAGCAATAAAATGTTCCAGCTAAGGGAAAAGGGCTGATCATTTGGCTTAATGAATGAATCATGAAAGTGTTGTCAGTTACAGTACTCATGTGTAAGTGAGAGGTTTTGCCCATCGTGCTTATTACACACACATCTATCTAGATATTGTTTCTGTTTCAAATTCATGCCTTGGTTTCTCAGAAAACATCAATTTATGACTGCACAAACCCTCCATAGAGCCATTTAAGGGGACAATCACCAACATCCTTTTGCAACAATCAGCTAATGAGACCTATACAATATAACAGTGCCACTTTTCCATTATCACATTACGAGTTAATTTCTAAAGCTTCTCATCTAAGGCAGGGTTTGGTTTCTGCCTCTGCTCAATCTGAAAAGCATCAATGCATATAACTTACTGGAGTTCAAGCCTATCAGTGTGAATCAGTTCTACAGTAACTCAGCCTCACTCTCCCAACATAACCTTGTTTTCCCTCCAGATGAGAGTGGGGCCATAAGATGAGTCATGCTGTAGGTTTCGCTGATGGGTCTGCCTGAATGTAATTCAAGTAATATAACCTGTCAGAGAAGCTTTGTTTCGGATAGTGGTTCAGTTGGGCTTACGTGGCTTGCTTAGGTTGTATGGTGCTGGAGTTTTGTGGTGGGTTCTCATGTTCAACCCAGTCCATCAGCCTAAAGCAGTTGATGTCTGGGGTCATCAGTTACAGTTCTGGAGGTTGGAGTCTGGCACAGTGTAGTGATTTCCCTGTTCAGATAATCCTTATTTACGTATTACCAGGTTTAGTTAGTGTGTGAAATTCACCAAACCATGCTGATCTGTAGACTCCAGCACCAGAATTGATGAACTCTTGTCTATACAAAAAGAATTTGAGAATATTGATGGTTCTGGCTTTAATATTTCAGTTTGTATTTATCTGTTCATTGCTCTGTTTTAGATGGAGGCCTGTGAAGTCAAGTAAGGTTTTGTAGAAACCATACCCAGCAGAAAGCTCTGTCTCTCTGTCTTCATCTCAGATCTGGTTTCAGGCTCCTGCCATGTCTAGAGAGGTGTGGTTATTAAAGTAATCTCTTAGGAGGCTGGTCCATAAACCTCAAAAGTGTGAGCAGTAGAAATCGATGGGTTGCTATTAATCTCAGCGAGGAAGGGCCTGGGAGGATGCAGTCTCCCTCCCCCTCAATCTCATTATGAAAGCCCATCTTGCAGGAAGAGTCGTCATTATCACATTATGGCCCACAGAGTGGTTCTCCAATGAGAAGCCGCGTCTTTATCTTCCTGTCTACGACAGCGCTTCTCGGAAGAGAACGATGCTGGCTTGGGAATATGACTGGTTGTGGTTTAATCTTGCTGTTGCCTTTTTTTGCCATGGAACCCGAGGGAAAATGATGAGCTGATTTTTGAATATCATGCCCTGTTTGGCTTGTGAAAGTTTTATCTATGTTGTTTTTCCAGTACACCTACTGTACAGGTGCACTTTCTAGAGATACAATTACTGTAGCCCATCTGTTGCTGCACAATATCAGGCCAACTCTACTTTGTCCAGCATGGCAAAGGAACCGCCACAGGACCGTCAGTCACCAGAAATGATTTGGGTGGTGGATCTTTCTCATTATAGCAGTGGTACCACCATGGTACTAGCATGGTAGTATTTGTTGTGCAGGTGTAAGTAAATCAGCAAACAGTGGTCCTATGGTCAGACACAGGCCACTGCTGAAGGGCTAGAGGATCTCTAGCACTAATTATGCATGGCCAAGATGAGCTGTCGTCTCTAACTGTACATCAGTGAGGGGGTACCAACAAGGTAGATGGGTGTTTCTAATAAAGTGGTCAGCAAGCCTAGAGCAACAGTAGCTCATTTGTTGGCTGGCTGAGTCATACATGCAACATGATCAATACATAGTCAATATGTAATGTTTATTAGAGTTAATATGAACTGAAATGTAGATTTGGATGCTGTAGCTTAAAGCCAGAATGAGCAGAAGCTTTTTCAGGATGCTGCTTTATGTTTATGTCCATTTTTTATATAGTATTTTTTTCCCCAGAGGTTAATTTTTCAGTCATTTTGCCAGTCCTTTACATAAAAATATTCTTCGTAGTTGTTTTTCCATGTCGCTGTCAGGACGTTCTGCGTGGGATGATTACTCAGAGCAAAAAGGGGGTGGAGCCTCAGAGTGGGATGCCATCTGAAAGGTCAGAGTGGGTGGAGCCAAAGCTTGTGAGGGTGATCTCTGTTACTGTTGGTGGGTTGGGCTCTTTAGATGCCTGCGGTTTAAGGTTGAAAAAGAACATTATGTTGGTGATGTCATTAGGTACAAAGAGAAATGTTACACTGAAGGTCAAAGCAGTGCCTATTCTGAGTAGTTTTGTGCTTGCTTATGTACAAATAATAATAATAATAATAATTATTATTATTATTATTATTATTATTATTATTATTATTATTTATTATGTCCATCCAAAATTAATAGGGTTTTTATTAAATAAAAGCTATTGATTAGTAATGTATGTGTATTAGTAATATAGTGGATGGCTGAAAATAATACCAGGTTAAAATGATAGTTTGGGATGAAAAGTTACAGTACTAGGCAAAAGTCAGAGACCCCTGCTTATTTGTTCAATTCTGGTCAAGATCGCTATTAAGTTAGTTATGCATTTTCTAGGGGATATTTCTGAGGAGATTAGATATAACACGATCCACTTGCATACAGTTCGAAACTGTCACTGGGGCAGTACCCCTTTTGTCACTGGGGTGGTACCCTCAAGGGTACATCTCAGTACCTTTAGTCAGGGAACATAATTGTATCATAATTCATTGAAATTATATTTTCTAAGTTGTATTGACTCCACACACCCCGTCTCGTCTCCAGGCTTTTATTTTATTGTTCTGTTTTAAAACATTTGGTGCAAATACATACTTTTCACCTGGGAAAACCTATTTAAGGTACACAATTGGACCTTAAAACCACTGTTGTACTTTTGAGTATACATTTACATTGTTTGTACCTTGATGAATAAAAAACGTATCTGCACAGAACATTTATTATTATTACAAGATATTGACAATATGGCCTATTAAAACTGTAAAACTATTAAAACTGTCAGCATAAGATAAACAGTACTTAAAGCTTTCATATTTGAGAGAGAGAGGAAAAACAAACTCCTCTCTTGCTTCAGATCTGAATAAAATAACAAGTGTTTCTGTCCGTCTTTCCTCTGTGGAAATGATGTTTTTTGGACTGATGAGTGTAAATTTGTAACTGGGATTATTTGGATCATAAGAAGTAGAATATGCAACAAACTAAGACTGAATTTTGGAGGTGTGGAAAAATTCTTAAATGTAGAATTCTTAAAAAGCTGATTGTCTCATGAAAAAATGGAAGCTGTATTAAAGGGCAGAGGGTGGATACACTAAATACTAAAAATCTGATATTATATTTAGTTGTTGAGGCTTCTGTGTAATTTTCTGTTAATGCTATGTTAATGTAATGTTATGTTTTCTGTTTTTTTTTCCTCCCACTGAAAAATGAATAACTTGGACTACTTGATGACACTTGGACTTGATAAATAAATGAAGGGTGGTCTGTGATGGTCTATGACTTTTGCATAGAGCTGTATCTAACAAGTGTGAGATGAACTGGGCATGCAGTGTGCACAGTGTTCCATATCACTGCCCTGAAGTCTCTGTGCTTCGTATTGTATGGGTTCAACTTACATCATCAAACTTCCTCTCGCTGTAGACCTCGTTCTTATCAATAAATGTTAGCATGATCCAGTCACAGATGATGGAGCACTGATAGAGAGAGCAAGTATGGTTAACGTCCGAAAATTCCAGTTCTCACCAAGTATGCCTACATAAGCTAGAGTTTTCAAAAGTTTGTGGACACCCCTTCACCCTTGTCACAGGAGTGCAAATGCACACACAGGTGGTATAGTCTCCATAGAAAATGTGTTGACATTAGAACAGGATGGTCTGGAGTAGCTGCATGTGAGCCTAAGGTCACCATGTCCAATGCCAAGTGTAGGCGAGAGGGGTATGAAGCCCCCCCAGCGTTGAGCTGTGGAGTAGTGAAACTACGTTCTCTAGAGTGATTAAGCACTAACCAATACCTTAGGGATGAGCTGGAGTGGCATTTGTGTTCAAGAACTAATCATCCAACATCAATTCCTGATCTCACTAGTGCTCCCGCTGCTGGATGCAATCAAAACCTCACAGGAATATTCCAACATTTAGTGTAAAGCCTTCCCTGAAGAGTAGAGACAGCTACTACAGCAGAGGGGGACAAGCTCCTTTACAGTACTCTTGATTTTGGAAGAAATACTGGATGAGCAGGTGTCTGCAAACTTTTGGCCATATAGTGTATGTTAATTAGCCAAAAAATCCAATACTTACTATTCCCACTGATGTCATGGCTGTGACTGTATTAATGATTGTCGGAATAAGACTAAATTTTCCTGCCTGGAAAAATAGAAGAAGTTATGATTACTTGAACATAACTGTAATGGAGGCATTGGCAATGAACACATGTCTAACATGTCTAAAACAATTTATTTAATCAGTATGATCTTACCTGTCCATGTACAATAACATCCAGACGAATGCCATAAGCTTTTATAAGCGTTCTGTACTCCTGACCGTCCTTGTTGTAGTACTTGGCAAACCTGAATATACGTATATATTAAAAAAATAAATATATAATTATAAGAGACAAAAAAGAGTCATATTAAGCAAAAAAGGAATATATCAAGTTTGCTCAAACTAGGCATCTTCATAGACATGGAGGCTCAGATATTGTAAATTAACTGCATGCTCATACAATAGAGCAATACACTGATACTAATACATTACATTATATACAATATAGCACAAGCATAGTTGAGTCGAAAATAAAAGTATTATCATTTGAGAAGTACAAATCCATCAAATTTATTCTATAACATCCAAATAACTACCTGCTTCTGGTTCTGTAACATATAACAATATATTTAATGAATATGAAACAGTAAGAATCCTCTCTACCTGTAGTGATACCCAGAACTGGGCAGATTCTTCCTGAGGTCCAGCCTCCTGAAGGAATAGCTGGGAATGCATTCTGATGGATCCACATCAAAGTCACATTTCCAGTTGATGAACACTCCGATCACTCCACCCTAAAAAAGAGTCAGTCATGCTGTAACCTGTTTTACTCTCAGTAAACAAAGATATACACCAAAACTGAACTGCATTACATATTAGCTGTTATACTGGATATGACTCAAGTTACTCCTGAGTCAATATAATTACTGAAGTAACTGTTTTACAAGGATGCCCACACTCAGCATCCACTTTGTTAGAAACACATACTTTGTACTTCCACTCACTGGCCACTTTATTAGAAACTCCTATCTTGTACTTCCTCTTACTGGCTACTTTATTAGAAACACCTACTTTTACTTCCACTCACTGGCCACTTTATTAGAAACACCTACCTTGTACTTCAACTTACTGGCCACTTTATTAGAAACTCCTACATTGTACTTCCGCTCACTGGCCACTTTATTAGAAACACCTATCTTGTACTTCCACTGATTGGGTGCTTAACTAGAAACACCTACCTTGCGCTTTAACTTGCTGACCACTTTATTAGAAACACCTACCTTTTACTTCCTCTTACTGGCCACTTTATTAGAAACACGTACTTTGTACTTCCACTCACTGGCCACTTTATTAGAAACTCCTATATTGTACTTCCTCTTGCTGGCCTCTTTATTAGAAACACCTATCTTGTACTTCCACTCAGTGACCACTTTATTAGAAACACCTATCTTGTACTTCCACTCACTGGACACTTAATTACAAACACCTAGTTAGGGCCTAGAAACAGCTAGTTAGGATCACAGACCAGATATTATTTGGGTGGTGGACCATTCTCAGCACAGCCGTGACACTGACATAATAGTTGCATAGTAGTGTTTGTGCAGCTGGTATGAGGGTATCAAACACTGTGGTATCCATTGTTAGGTAGAAAGTGCTCCATCACCCAAAAATATCCAGCCAAGAGCAGCTTTGTGGTCAGAAATTGACCAGTGGTAAAGGGCTAGAGGATGGCTAGCAAACTTTGCATCAACAGATGAGCTACAGTCTCTAACTGTACACCAGCAAGGTGGAGCTATAAGGCAGGGGTTTCTAATAAAGTGGCAGGTGAGCCAGTTATGGTGCTAAGTGTTTTCTCTTAAGCCTGTGTGAGGTTTGGTGTACAGTAAACTTGTATAAAAACTCACAGTTCGGCACAGTTCACTGAACTTCTCTCTGGCCTGCTCAGCGATGTAGCCCAGTCTGAACACGGGGCAGTAAGGGTTGGTATCTGGGTGATAATTACACTTCAGGAGCTTCTTCGGCTTCCTCGGCTTGATGTTCCCCCTGGAATGATAGAAGAAAGAGAAGATACTTTTGCATAAAATAAAATCTTATTTACTGTAATAACCACTTTTAATGTATTCTAAAATCATCCACCTTAATATTTGATCACTGTTTGCAAATACGAGGTATATGGGATATTTATTGTATTATAGCTACATTCTTGGTGCTATAGAGTAATTTTAGAATCGCCATTTGTTCATTGCTCTGGACATAAGTATATTTTCAGCAGAGCTTCCTATAAATTAAACCTGTGACGCTGTATAGTATTGACATCATATTAGAATCTTTTAAACGTGTCTGTAACAAAAATGGTTATATATTATTGAAAACAATGATTTCAAACGAGCAGAATTGCATAGGTTTATGAATATTGACTGCATTTACATGAGCAGCTGAAAGTCCATTTATTATCTGCTGATCACCTACTGACTGTACAAAAGTCCAGAACAACCCTCATTTATTTAATTTCCCAAAACAGTCATAAGATATAAGTTATTCATTTTTCAGCATCAGAAAAAAAGCATAAACGTAACAGAAAATTACACAGAAGCCTCAACAGCTTAATATACGGTTGTATGCACAAGTTTGAACCAAGTCAAATTACACCGATCAGGCATAACATTATGACCACCTCCTTGTTTCTACGCTCAATGTCCATTTTATCAGCTCCACTTACTATATAGGTGCACTTCGTAGTTCTACAATTACAGACTGTAGTCCATCTGTTTCTCTGTATACTTGCAGCAGCAGATGAGCTATCGTCTCTGACTTTACATCTACAAGGTGGACTGACAAGGTAGGAGTGTCTAATAGAGTGGACAGTGAGTGGACACAGTGTTTAAAAACTCCAGCAGCACTGCTTTGTCTGATCCACTCAGACCAGTGCAACACACACTAACACACCACCACGTCAGTGTTACTGCAGTGCTGAGAATGATCCACCACCCAAATAGTACCTGTTCTGTGAGGGTCCATGGGGGTCCTGACCATTGAAGAACAGGGTAAAAGGGGGCTAACAAAGTATGCAGAGAAACAGATGGACTACAGTCTGTAATTGTAGAACTACACAGTGCACCTATATAGTAAGTGGAGCTGATAAAATGGACATTGAGCGTAGAAACAAGGAGGTGGTCATAATGTTATGCCTGATCGGTGTATATGTTTTGTCAAGATTTGTTAACAGGGAGCAAACTTTAATACAACAAATTTTGGGGCATGATTTCAATGTATTAAATGTGCAGAAGGGTGTTCTCTGTTTACTTATTTTCACTTTGAAAATCAACAAAATGTCATTTGACCAATCTTTTGCATAAGTAATGTAATTGATTGTAATTTCAAAAATGTCAGTATTTCATGTGTACAACCTTTTAGTTTATCAAAGAAAACTGCAGGAATATTTTTCCACATTTTCAAAGTTCCGTCGTAGAAATTGGTTGCATTTTCTGCTTCTCACAATCCAAGGACTACCAAACACATCGAATGATGTTGAGGTCTGGACTCTAGGTTGGTCAGTCCATTTTTCTGAAGACACCAGCAGCTCCTCTGTTTGATTAGCAAATTCTTTAATTTGCTTCTTTGTCTATTTCCTCTTTTCAGTGAGGTCTTTTTGACAGCTACACATCCTTTCAGACTCATAGCGCTGAGTTGTCTTCACACAGTGAAAGGATTTTTTCAGATCTGAATCAAGAGTGGAGCTTGATTTTCTCCTCTCTCTCAAAGATGAGAACTTTAAGTGCTGTTTAACTGATGGGGACAGTTTTGTTGGTCTATTGGGTCTTGCACAGTTGTTAGGACTTCTCTTTTGGAAGCTTCTGTTTTCCTTCTTTCCTCTTCCTCATGCAACTGGATAATTTTACATCTAATCAATTAATTTTTTATCTCCCGCTTAAATAAATAAAGGACCTTTGTACTGTACTGTGTACCATTTGATCAAACACTTGAAGTAATGGACTCACCTGAGCACTTTAAACTTTGGGAAGTGGATGGCATTCTTAATGAAGACTGTGAAATTGACGGCTTCCACCAATGGTGGCTCCCTATGAGGAACAGAGAACATGGAACTGAAAAAATCTACTCTTTAACAACAGTCTCCTTAAAGGAACAGCTTAACCAAACTTGCTAATGTGACTAACAGTGAATGGAAGCTAGTAGCCACCAATTAGCATTGTATCATGTGTGTGATGCTAATTGGAGGCTGTTCATCTTCAATGTATTGTTAGCAATAGAATCTTTTTGACTGAACTATAACTTTTACCCTTTTATTATCTTTAGGGTCAGTTTAACCCCATTCACTGTTTTAATGTCTCTAAATAAATGATTGACGTCAATTTTTTCTTCATATTTAATGACTTTTCCTAATTTACTGGGGACAGCTGAGTAAACATAACGTTAACATGATGATATGTTGTCAGTGTCCTGTACACATTTTGAACGCATTTGTGTTCAGGCTGTTTTAGCTGTATAAAACATGAGAAATATCAGGAGGGTTGATCACCTCACTGCCGCAAACTCCTCAATGGGGCACCAGCTTCTGATCTCGCAGGTTTTGAAGGTGTAGTTGTAGTAAGGCACACACCGTCCTGTTTTCTGACCTGTTAGAGAAGATATCTGTCATATATTGAGCTCTGTTCAGATGAGCCAGTGGACAGTGATGATTTCCCTTAGCATTTGAAGACAGTTCCAAATTTTTTCACTACTTTTTCAGTATGTACATTTCTTATTTGCCCTTACCGTGACCATCAAAATCCATCTCGCCCTTAACACAGTCAGCATCTGTTGTGCAGTTTGCATTGGGGATGTTGTAATGCTGAATAAACAGACAAAAAAACAGTTCTACTGAACTCAAACAGCGACAGCATTAGACAGCATTAGAGCCAACAGTACCTCAAACGTAGGTGATCGGGCAAGAAATGTTTCACGTCTGAATACAACATTAATGTAATTAACAAACACTGTAAGTCAATAGTCACCCAAATCTTTTCCGTAAATACATCTCTAAAACTTCATTCAACCTGCTCAAAACCTGTATCCAGGTCTTCATTAGGGCTGCGCAGTCATGTCAGTGTGGATCAGAACACCATATGAAGTGCTGTGTGCTATAAAAGTAAACAAAACTTGGCTGTGTAACTGAACACTGAGGACTGCCCACAGGTGTAGTGACTACCCTCTGACTACCCTTTGTGTGCATGAAGGTATATGGGCTCTGCAGGTTATCTTTGAAATTTGTCATTTCTTTTTAGAAATAAGTGTTGACCTTGAATTTTTGACCAGAAGATTTATGCTTATAAATATAAACAACAGAAATTGCGAACGTAATCTGTGCATGCAAAAGATTCTGCTGTTGTCTAAAGTGGCCTGCCTGTAAGTCACACAGGCAAGTCTGCATGGCCTGAATGTAGACCTGGATGTGGTTTGAGCGAGTTTTGGGGATGTATTTACAGAAAAGATTTGGGTGACTACTGACTTCTAGTGTTTGTTAGCAACATTAAACGGAAGAAGCAGAATTTGGACACCAAACATGACTTTGTTTCTAAGAGAAATCAAAATTGTGACTTTTAAGACGATGATGGCGTATGTCATTTCATAGTTTTGATGTTTTCTGTTATTATCTTTAAGTGTGCAAAACACGTAAAAATACAGAAATCTTGAAGGACTAGATTTTAGCTGACAACATATATACAGTCGTATGCAGATGTTTGAACACCAATGGTCAAATGACATGTTTTACTGATGTTATAAGTGAAAAAAAGTTACACATCCTCTACAGAGAACACATTTAAGTGTGGTATTTTTCTGCAAATAATAGTGAACGATTTCTATTTATTAGCTGAGTTTAACATATTGGAGAAAAAAAATTAATTATAAAATGTACTATAACTTTTTCACAGGTCACATTTTATGTAGCATTTTTTCCCCAATATGTGAAATTCAGCACATAAACAGTACTTTTGCATAAAACTGTGCAGAAGTGTGTTCTCTATAGAAGATGTGTTCACTTATTTTCACTCAGAAAATCACAACACATATAATTTGACCAGGAGCACCTAAGCGTTTGCATATAACTGTACATGACGAATCTGCATGTGTGTGGGTGAACTGACCTCAGCACATGTGCCCTGGGTCTGGTTGTGTGTCACCTCCCTCCTTAGTATTGTGCTGATGACATCACCACCCTGGGAATTGAACACAAAGGTGTGAGACAGGTCAGCTGGGTTACAGGCCTCTACAGTGTCCAGCATTAACATTAAACTATTAACATTAAAACAGTTTACCTTTTTCCCCAAACTAATATTAAGGTCAACCTCAAACCAAAACCTTTTTTACTTCGTTATTTCATGTTTCTGTTCATATTAAGCAAAGTTCATCATACCAGACCCTTTAAAAGGCAAAATTCTTGTTGCCCGCCTCTAAGACGAGTCATAGCTCACTGTGCACCAAAATAATATTAATCAATAATATTATGTTTCACCTCCCCCTCCCATCACCCCTGTAATCGAGTGAAAACACTCAGCTAGCTCAGAAACGCCCCTCAATACTGTGTTCCACTAGAATATGTCCCAGTATAGAAGGAAAAGTTGTAATGAATTGCAGTTTGTGTTAAGAATGCCTTAATTAGCATACATGCAGTAAACCAGTCTGTGTACTTGCTTTTCTAAGGCAATGAACTGTAGAAGATTCTTTTTGCATTTTACGGTACTGTTTTTTTTTCCTTTAATAGCTCCCTCAGATGGTCTCACCTCAGACGGTCTGACATACTCGGTGGTGTCTCGTATGCTGTCCCCCAGTATGCCCACCCCTCTCATCTCAGTGTAAACTGAACTCTCAGGCCGTGTCTCAATGTCTTGATACGCCTTCTGGCTGATAAACACATACCTGCACAGGGGATAGAAAAAACAGCACAACATATGATCCCATATGATACGCTGGCAGTAGAATGGGTTGTGACAAAGAGCTTAGTGACTTTTAATGTGGCATTGTTATATGATGCCACCTTTCAGGTCAGTTAGTCAAATTTCTACCCTGCTAGAGCTGCCCCAGTCAACTTTGAGCACTATTATTTTAAGTAGAGCAACAACAGTCAAAGCAGTGGGCCACACATGCTCTCTGGATTGGGTTTCCATGGACAAGCAGCCACACACAAGCCAATGATCACCATATGCAATGCCAAGTGTCGGCTGGAGCGGTGTAAAACGTCCCGCCGCTGGACTCTAGAGCACTGGAAATGCAACCATTGGAGTGATGAATCGCACTTCACTATCTGGCTGTCTGACAGACGAATCTGGGTTTGGTGGATGCCAGGAGAAGCCTACCTGCCCAGCAGCGTAGTGCAAGCTCTAGCAAGATGGTTGAAGAGGAATAATTATCTAGAGCTGTTTTGCATGATTTGGGCCACTTAGGCCCAATCCCATTTCTTCTTTTTACCCCTACCCCTTGTTTTCGAGTGTCACCCTAACCCCTTGGAACTGAGTTACAAGAGGTAGTGGTTAAAAACGTGCCCTACGAAATGGGACAACCCTCAAGAAACAAACAAAACATCGCTTCATTAACAACCTACTAGCGCTGCTCTGCAGGCGACCCAGTGCGTCTTCAGTGATAGCAGAGACGGGAAACGTTCAGCAACTTCGCTGCTGGGCTTTAGTTACATTTAGAGCATCATATCCTTTCAAAGAGGGTGATAAGACAATTATTTATTATCACCCACTCCAATTCTCACTCATCTTGCCAGTTTTTCATATTTTTTTCATAACACTCTGTTTGGAGTGAGCCTCTGAAAAATCTCCGTTTGGAGGGCCATGTAGCCCTAACACTTCGCCCTACCCCTCTATCTCAACTAAAACTGGGACACCCTTACCCTAGACGTGAACGGGCAAAACAGAGGGCTAAGGGCTAAGTGGTAGGGGCAAGGGGTGAAATGGGATTGGGCCTTAGTTCCAGTAAAGGGGAATCTTAATGCTACAACTTATAGTGAATGTGTGCTGCCAACTTTGTGGGAAGAGTTTGGATAAAGCCCTTTCTCTTTTGCGCATGGCAAAGCTCCATGCACAAAAAGAAGTCATAAAGATATGGGTTGGCAAGTTTGATGAGGAAGACTAACCTGACCCCACTAATGTACTTGTAACTGAATTGACACAAATCCCTTCAGTTATGCGCCAAAATCTAGTGAAACGACTGAAAGAACAGTGGAAGCTTATAAAACACATGATTTAACATCATGAAGCACAGATTGAGTCAAACTGAGTACTGGATCGTAACTACAAATAATACTGGGCTTCTTTGAGGAAATGATTAAACAATGACATTGACATATGTAAAATCACTACATTATTGAATTAATGTTATTTGTATTTATTCTAATATAAGTGTATTTCTGAGCAAATCAATGCTTACTGCCCAGATAAATAGTTTTTTAAATCTAATTTACTCAAGTGCCTTAAACTTATACACAATACTGTATATCTTCAGTTCAGGGAATTTTACCCATATTGATGTGGTCCAGAGGTTCTTATGTCTATGTATGTGAGCTGAGTTATATATGAGCAAAGAGAATCACTCACTCTCAGACTAATGGCTGTCAGAAGATCTCCACTGTAAGTGGATTTATCCACTGAATTGCTTTCTCACAGCGTTTTTATTTCATCCATCATAGCAGCACTGAATAACTTCTCCTGTCTATTTAAAGCATTGCCAGCCATTAATACATCAATGCTCTTGTAGAGAAAGTACCTTGGACGCTGTCGGACAAGGCCTGCTACTCAAAAACCTCAAAAGGCTGTCCTGAGGTCACCTCATTCATTTCGAAATTAACATCTGCAATCCTACTGTATTAACATTGGCCAAAAACAAAATAAAATTTTCTATTTTATATTCCAAATGAAAAGTAGGGATGCACTGAAGGGGGAATTGTGGGGATGATAATGATGACACATAAATATTTATTAAATGGATTTACACAACAGAGAATTATAACATTTATTTGTATAGAGTTACAAATGCAGTATACCGATATGATTGATATCAATGTGCATCCCTAATGAAAATGCAGAATAATGATAAGAAATAATGTCTAAATTTCTACATCTTAAACTAATTGTGACGGTACTCATAATCCTCGTGACTTAACTTACAAAATCAGCTCGATTCGTTTCCACTCACTCAGAATTCAGTATTATTATTCAGAATATCACTCAGCTATTTAACTGCAGCTTTAGGTACTCTGTTTAAAAATAACCCTCTGTATTTTCTCATTTTTCAACATAGATAGTATTTTTAGATTCACAGTACCTCATGAACCTTTTTGTAACTCACTCACTCACATTTATCACACTGAAGATTCTCCACAAGGGGGCGTTATTAGCACTCAAGTGGTGCTTCACATCAGTGACAATGTGTGACATTTATGAGTAATGAGTTTAGGGGTAAAATGAGACATTAAATTGTGAAGACCTCCATTTCTGGAGAAAACAAGTAATTAGACAATTAAGCATGATCTTTAATAAAATTGCCTTTTAATTTTTATGAGTCAATGACTGCCTGGAGTCTGTGAACCGTAGACATGACCAGAGGTTGGGCATCTTCCCTGGTTTTGCCTGTTAGGCCTGTAATGAAACTGTGTTCAGTTATTTTTGGCTCGTTTCAGGGCAAACGTGACCAAAATGAGTACTGGAAACCTGATCATTAATAATTTACTTAGATAATGGACTGAATCTGGTGAGCGAGATGCATAGTGTGTGGTACACCAGGACTGGCTTTGACTGAGAATGCCTTCAGTCTCGTTTTATGCCTTCAATCTTATTTTCAATACACAGAGTGCTTAGAGAGTTTAGCCTCATTGACATTAAGTCTTACTGACTCTGAAACCTCCAAAATATATTACGTTCCTTATGCAGCTTGTTGTTGTTGTTGTTGGGTCAGTGTTCTGTTTCAAGGTGAGGCACTGTCCCGTTCATTTTTAGGCATTCGTTTGGATCTGAGCAGTTTAAATGTTTCTGTGCCCTTCAGAATTTAGTCAGCAGTCATCAGTAAAGATGAGTAAATTAATACCACTCTAGCCATACATGTTCATAACAACGTATTATACATATGAGGTCAAACACTTTGGATTGTGAGCCGCTCCTTTTCTCTACCACCACCTAAAATTAATCTGACTCAGCCAAATCTATTAACTCTAGACTTTTCATTAGCGCTTTCATTCTGTGGGTGAACTAATGACACAAAGACAAAAAGCTGGCCAAATAACAACTGAGATTACTGTTGTTCCCAGAAATGAACAGATGTAAATACCTTCAAGTTCAGTTTTACTTTAACCTCATAGTCATTGTTTTATTTCAAATCCAATGTGTTGGAGAATACAGCAAAAACAGCAGAAGTTACAATTATGCTCACCTTTATATTATGCCTCTTCTGTTTTCTTTGTTGATGATAATATTAATGAAATACAATACCCATTGTAAAATATGCATAGTAATGGAATTCGTAGAGGACATGCAAATACCTACCAAATGAAATATGTGATGACCAGAAACTGTACGATTCTGTATATGACGCCCAGTGTCCTGTTCTTCACTACCATAATCTTTGGAGTCTCATAGTCCCAGAAACCCAAGAAGAACTCCCTGAAGAACTCCATCAGTCCCATATTGAATACAGCCACAAGTATTCCTACAGAGGAGATACCAATCTTCTTGTGTACCTTGAGTTGCTATTCTGACAAGCTGCTGAAAGTCTCTCTCTCTCTCTTTCTCTCTCTCTCTCTCTCTCTCTCTCTCTGTCCCCCCACCTCCCCACCTCCCCTCGTCAAGCTTCAAGCATAGCTTTCATCTAATTATGTGTTTCATCTGTACATCAGTGTTTGTCATTAATGCCATTTTGAGGAAATAACTGTGAGATAATCAACACGGAAATGAAAAAATCAATAAACAATACAGTTTACATAAAATTGCAATTGTCTCTTTCCTACTTTGCTTTATTAGCTCTGAATATACAGACATCCAGACAACTATACGCATTGTACATATGTACTTTTTTATTATAGTTGTACACAACTTTGTCCCTTAAAATGTAACTGTAACACTCGTTGCACATCTTTTTCTAGAATGTATGTTGAACCAAGAGAGATTCCGAGCAAACACAAGTGAAAGAGCAGAGAAGCCCTCAAAAATAAACAGTACTCTACCAAAGTCAGAGACCGCTCTTCATTTATTTACAGTCAAAAAAGCCTTTAAGTACATGTTCATTTTTCAGCGAATGGGAAAAAGCTAAAAACATATATTTACACATGAAATTACACAGAAGCCTCAACAGCTACATATAGCCTTTTTAGTATTTAGTGTGTCCACTCTTTGCCTTTGTTACAGCTTCCATTCTTTACAGGAGACTCACTTTAAGTTTTTTTTAAAGAGGGATATTTTTCCACACTTGCAAAGCTCAGTCTTTCGGTTGGTTGCGTTTTCTGCTTCTCTCAGTGGAAGGATGGACAGAACCACCTGTGGATGTTTTCAGATCTGAATCAAGAGTGGAGCTTTATTTTCTCCTCTCTCTCAAAGATGAAAGCTTTAAGTGCTGTTTATCTGATGGGGACAGTTTTGGTGTCTAACAGTTTTAGAATCTGATCATGAATAAAATAAGACAGGTTAACACATTAATAAATAAATTATATATATATATATATATATATATATATATATATATATATATATATACATATATATTATCCCATATAAATAAAAAATAATGCATGGCCACGACTTAGTAAGGCGTGGGAACAAGATCATGCCTTACTAAGTCATGGCCACGACTTATCTTGTTCCCACGCCTTACTAAGTTGTGGCCACGCATTATTTTCATTTACACAGGACGTCACAAGAAGGCCTCCGTACCACAGACATCCCATATTGCCTTAATAATAATGCATGGCCACGACTTAGTAAGGCGTGGGAATATGTTAATTAAGCCTTGACCACAGCTTAATAAGGCAGGATTTTGTTCTCACGCCTTACTAAGTCATGGCCACACATTAGGATGTCGTTCCCACGTGTTAATATGGCATGGCCGCATTATCTTTATTTACTCCTTAGTAAAGAAATAAAGTACGGAGCCCCACTGGTGACATCTTGTATAAATAAAAATAGGTCGTGGCCACAACTTAGTGAGGCATGGGAATGAGATGATTAAGTCGTGGCCACGACTTAGTAAAGCGTGGGAACGAGATCCTAATGCGGGGCCATGACTTAGTAAGCTGTGATCTTGTTCCCACGACTTAGTAAGGCGTTAATAAGGCATGGCTACGCCTTATTTTTATTTATACAGGATGTTATCATCAGGGCTCCGTAAGAAAGTACGGAGCCCCGCTGGTGACATCCTATATAAATTAAAAAATAATGCGTGGCCATGCCTTATTAACGTGTGGGAACAAGATCCTAATGCGTGGCTGCAACTTAGTAAGGCGTAGGAACGAGATGATTAAATCGTGGCCAACGAGATCACGGCTTACTGAGTTGTGGCCACGCATTAGGATTTCATTCCCATGCCTTACTAAGTCGTGGCCACGCATTATTTTTATTTATACAGGATGTCACCAGTGGGGCTCTGTAAAAAAGAAAGAAAGAGAGAAAGAAAGAAAAAAAGGAACAAAATCCATGGTAGCATGTGTAAAGAAATAAAGAAAGAACAAACGAACAAAAAGCGTAAATGTTGAAAAACTAAGAATGAAATGAAGAGCTAAAGAAAAACTACATTAAAAGCAGGTTAAAAAAAAAGAAAGATTTTTGATTTTTATTCAGGCGGCTCTCCGGCCTCTCTGTCAGACACGGGGGTCCTCCGGACTCAGCTGAGTGACGTCACGCCGCAGCACACGTGTGGAGGGAGCCGTGAGGAGAAACGGAGGAGCTGAAAACTCTGCACATTTAAACCTCAGCGCTTTGTGGCGCAGCCTGTGGTCCGAGACCTTTCCGTCCCGCAATGGGAGGCTTACAGAAGAAGAAGGTGAGTGAAACACTGATGTTGGGCCTTTGGAGGTTCAGACCAGCTCTGGTTTTCGGCTCAGTGCAGCGCTGGGCCGACACGACGCTACAGCACCACAGGCACGAGATTAAACACATAACGCTATATATACATCAGCCACAACATTAAACCTCCTCCTTCTACGCTCTTTGTCCATTTTATCAGCTCCACTTACCGTATAGGAGCACTTTGTAGTTCTACAATTACAGACTGTAGTCCATCTGTTTCTCTGCACACTTTGTTTGCCCCCTTTTACCCTGTTCTTCAGTGGACAGGACCCACATGGACCCTCACAGAGCAGGTACTATTTGGGTGGTGGATCATTCTCAGCACTGCAGTAACACTGACATGGTGGTGGTGTGTTAGTGTGTGTCGTGCTGGTCTGAATGGATCAGACACAGCAGTGCTGCTGAAGTTTTTAAACACTGTCCACTCACTGTCCACTCTATTAGACACTCCTACCTTGTCAGTCCACCTTGTAGATGTAAAGTCAGAGACAGCAGCTCCTCTTTTGCTGCATAGTTTGTATTGATCTTCCTTCATCTGTGGTCACAGGATGCAGTTGGTGGACTGTTCTCAGTCCAGCAGTGACACTGAGGTGTTTAAAAATTCCAGCAGCACTGCTGTGTCTGATCCGCTCAGACCAGCACAACACACTAACACATCACCACCATGTCAGTGTCGCTGCAGTGCTGAGAATGATCCACCTCCCAAATAGTACCTGCTCTATGGGGACCCTGTGGGGCTCCTGACCATTAAAGAACAGGGTAAAAGGTTCTTTAAACCCCCTCCTGCCCTGAAATCAATGGGGTTACTAGGGAGTTTGACCCAATTTTGCAGTAGTTAACAGCCTTTCTTCTTCTTGGAAGACACCAGAATTTGGAACATTGTTGTGAGGATTTGATTGCATTCAGCCACAGAGACATTAGTGGGGTCACTAAGCTAACAGTGTCTGGATTGTAGATGTGTTTAGTGAAGCTCTGTCGCTCCAGAGAACGCAGTTCCAGGGCATGGTGACTTTAGGTTCAGTTGTGGCTGCTCCAGAGTGTCCCGTTTTGTTGGTCAATGCTTTTTTTAATGGAGATTATAAAAGTTCTGTACACAGCTGGACACATTTGTCAGCAGATAGTAAAAGTAGTTGAACCAAGTAGAAGGCGTGTCTGTATACTTTTGGACATTATAGTGTATCTTATTTCCTCAAGTCTTGGTTTAGCTTGTATGCCTTACTATCTGATAGGTGAATGTTAATTGTCTAACTTTTCCTCTCTCCCTGCAGTATGAGAGTGGGTCAGCCACCAACTACATCAGCAGAAACAAGGCCCGCAAGAAGCTGAGCCTGAGCCTGGCTGATTTCAGGTCAGTTCTGGACAGGGATAGCGCCATCTGATGCCAACCAGCAGGGTCTCTTGACTAGAAGATGTGGTGCTCAAGATTAACTGTTGTTTTTTTCCCCAAGACCTTCTGACAATATAAATTTATTAATGTGCTTTTTAAAATTAATGGTCCAGGAATTTTCCTGAAAAACGCGTTCTCATTTTTAGAGAGTTTTAAAAATATTTTAAAGATTTTTTTTGTGTATGAATTGCCTGCTTCTAAAAATGTAGCTCAATAGGCTCCTTCAGGGCACAGAATGGGAATATACCACTAATACAGCAGTGCAGTGTTCTCTATCAGTGAATATGTTTACATGCACAAAATAATCCTGTAACCGCAGAAAATTAGATTTTGCCAGTACTTTATTCAACATGTTTACAAGCACTGATCTGGTAATGAGAAAACTCCAGGTTTACATCTGTCAACAAGTTTCTTTCTAAATACAGGATTTGCACCTTTATAGTTGCCTAACTCACCAGTGAACCCACCAAAGAAGTGCAGCGCATGATGTAAAATTCTTGCAGCATTTGCCTTTTTTTAACTGGTAAATATTTTATGTATTTGGGAATTTTTCTGGCTTCAAATTGGGCACAATGCGGTTGTTGCCATTTTCCAGATCAGTGCATTGAGGTAAGAGTTTAGTGTTTACTGTTTCCAGACAGCTCTTGTCTGTCTGACTCTTCTTCTTCATGTGCGCAGATGTAGAAATAATGAAAGGAAGTCATAGTAAGAAATCAAACTCTGCTGTTTACATTACTACTTGAATAATCAGGTAACTGCAAAAATCCTGTAATCATCGTATTATTGGTGCATGGAAATGCACTCTGTGCTCTTATGTCCATCTCATGGTAAGACGTGTAACTGACCTGGACTGCTTTACTAGCCACACTTGTTTGAATCTTGTTGGGTAGCAATGCTTTCCACTTTTCCTCCTCTCAGGCTTACAAACACAGGTAACTGACGTTAATGCTGGCTGTTAAGCTAATAGGTAGATAACACTTTTTGCTAAATAGGTTTTAATACTCAAGCCTGAGGGTGTCAGACGTTTTGCTTGTGGTTGATCAAGACCAGGCTGGGTGCAGTTCTGTGCCTCATGGAGTTCATTGTTTGGCTATGCTTTATTTAAGAAGCAGGCACTTCATTGAATTTTAGAAACAAACCCTGAACTATTTCTTTAGGTTTGTTTGATTGTATCTGTTCTGTGTGTTCACTGACATGCTGGCAGTGTATTTATTTTACAATTATTATTATTATATAATATTATAATATAAAAATATCTGTTGTTTTTCCTCTGTGCAGACGATTATGCATATTGAAAGGAATTTACCCACATGAACCCAAACACAAGAAGAAGGTCAATAAAGGCTCCACAGCTCAGAAGACCTTCTACCTGCTCAAGGACATTCGCTTCCTGTTGCATGAGCCCATCGTCGGCAAGTTCAGGGAGTACAAGGTGAGTGCGTCAGTTGAAGCAGCTTTGTATAAATGATAGATCATTTAATGTGTATTCAGAACATTTCTTTGAATGGCTTGCAACATATTATTAAAAAGTCCATATACTATTTTTTGATATTTTATTTTTTCTCCTGACATCTACTTATAATGCTTGTGTTTTTTTATTTATCCAGAACAATCATAACTCATTTCTGCATGACTATCAGAGAGTTAAATCCACCTGCCAACTTCTTTTTATGCCTTAGAATTAAATGGGCTGTTTTTGTTAGTTTGTCTTTAAGACTGATATATGTGAATTATCTTGTTCTGATTGGCCATCCTGTCTTATCCCTCATTCTAAAAACAGTCTGGGCAGAAACATGGCTTATAACTTCAGCGTGAATGGGTGGGGCTAAACTGCTGTAGGCTGAATAGGAACATATATGTAAATGCAATGGTTTTCATGACATCACAAAAACAGGAGACTTAAAAGGGCTGTTTTTGCAGCTTAGTAAGGACTGTGGCGCTAATGGTACATTTTAAAACAACAGTGTTTACATAGTACACCAAACTCCCTTTCTTCAGCAAAAAAATTGAGGAAAATTCAGTTTACTGTAATATTAGCCCTTCAATTTCTGTCTTCATGCAGATTGTGTTAAGGTGATTTGTTTTATATAAGCCTACTTTTCTGGTATGAATGGTGTTTCTTGTTGTGTCCCATCCTTAGAGAATGTAAAGAATACGAGTGTTTGTGTTTTTGTGTTCTCCTGACAGATATTTGTGCGTAAGCTGCGTAAAGCCTATGGTAAAGGAGAATGGGGAGGAGTGGAGAAGCTGAGAGAGAATAAGCCTGCATACAAACTGGACCACATTGTGAAGGAGAGGTGAGGAAATTCACGGTACCTCCTTAAAACAGTAGAGGGCACACTTCTATTTTATTTTGTGGGTTACAGACTTGGGTCCTTGGGCCTCAGTTATAAACGATGCGTACACACATTCCAGACCCGTCTATGTCCGTACACACCTCTCACAGAAAACGGGATTTATAAAGAAATACTCGGTGTGACAACAGAAGTACATCATCAGAGGCTTTGACGCTTGCTTATGCCCATAAAAACATTTGGGAGAGAGCAGGAATTGGTGACACCCTGTGGTAAAATAGAGAATTGCAGCTAAATGTGTAAACCATCATCCTCGTATGTACCAGCTCGTTGTAAATTAAGCTCCTTAACAGGCCACAAAGTCATGAAAGTAATTCATACCTAAGCATTGTTTTGTTTGATTTGGTTACTGATTTTATTTGGCTTTAATGAATTTATTTATTGCTCCAAACAACCACTTGCGTCTTCCAATGTTCTTGTTCCCCACTCCAAAAGAAATTGTAGAACGTTGTGGGCTGGTGATAGTGGCAGAAAATCACATGCCTAAACAACTGTAATTTCACACATTCACAGATTTTATTTTTTTTTTCTTTTGTTCCACCATTGTCACCGGAATCCCACTCAGCTATTAATGGGACACCCCATATTTAAGCATTCGTGAGGTGATTTGCATGGACCTTTTATGGATAATTGTGGGCAGTAAGGAGGTGGAACTTAAGGCTCGTTTTCCTGCGTATTGATCAGAAGATTGTGGTTTATGAAGAGAAAAATGAGAGCCACAGCCCTGCAGAGTGTTTTTCCCTCTTTTGACACACAAAACCCAACCTCTGAAGGCCGTGGTCATTAGTGCATGAGTTGAATGAGTGTTAGGCGCTCGATGAGTGCTGAGTGCTAAACTCACCCCTGTTTTAGAGGCTTCATGATGGTACATGACAGCAAGTTATTTATTTGCCTACATTGTCTCACTTGCACATGATATATGCAACAGCTGGGTGTGTCGAAGTTTTGCTCTCCCAACAATTTTATTGCTATTCTTTCCAAAAATTCATGACATTGTGCTTAGTGAAAGCTCAAATTCCAAAATGATACAGATTAATTTTTAAAATGCACTACATTAACAACTGTGCGTTCTGTTTACAGAGTAGTGCAACATAGATTAAAAAAAAATGCTGAGATATGTATTGCAGAAGAATTAATGTGTATAATGCAAAATATTATTATAATCAGTGTAATCCTCTACATAGAGGTGTCACAGTGTGCATGTTAATATTAATTTTATTTCCTAGTTCTTGAGGTGGTACACGCTGTGAATTAAATACAGTTAGATTCGTGCTATAAAACGTGACAATGGGAGTAGTTTGTATAGTTCCATTTAACACGGTCCATGATATTCCTAAAACAGATAACCACAGACTTACCAAAAAAAAAACTCCACTGCACAGCTCTTAGAACTCGAATAAAAATGGTTTGGTTAGCCTACCAACTTCAGCCTTGTGGAGAAATCACGAGTCTCAGCAGCTACTTCTCCCCACAGGATTCAAGTGGCCGCTAAGTGCCGATTATGAATGGGCGAAACTAATAACTCTCATTAGGGATGTTAATAGCCACCAATTTGCACCTCTGTTTGGTTGTAGAGTCCATCTCTTGTGGATTCCGCAGCTTGCAGGGAGAGATTGAGCCACGTTAGAAAATCCCCTCACTCATTTTAAAGGAAAAGCCACACTTTATATTGTTTTCCAAAAAAAATACTTGTGCCAGTTATGCCTTCAGCAAGCACTGCTGTCTTTTAGGGACAACAGTGGATATTACAAAAAAAGTGTTTTGAGAATTACCAAAATATAAATAAATACATGTTTAACTTATGTTAGCATTTCTTTTCTAAGTCTATTTTGGAAATGTATGGTATCGTGATATAATATGTGTTGTCATTTTTGCATTGTGAAAGTTTTATGTATTGTTAACAGCTCTAATTCTGCAGAATCATTATGGCTGAACGGGCAGCTTCGGATTGATGCATCAGTGCATTTGTACACCCCTGCTGTTGGCCCCTTACGGGACGTAGACTTACCAAAAAACCTATGAGTGGCCTGATGAATCATTTTCAATGTTTCTAACAGATATCCAACGTTCGTTGATGCTCTTCGGGACACTGATGATGCTCTGTCGATGTGCTTCCTGTTCTCTACGTTCGCTCGCACGGGAAAGTGCCACGTTGAGGCGATCCAGTTGTGCCGTAGACTCAGTGTGGAGTGGATGAACTATATCATCGCCTCGCGCTCACTCAGGAAGGTAACAGATCCAGAGATTCTGCTCCCTGGGCTGCAGACACACTGCTTCTCGCATCATACAAACAGTATTAACTGTGTTAATAGCTGTCCTTTTTGTAATAAGAGACGTTTATGGAAAGGGCTTTTGTAATAAGCGACGTTTAGGATTAAGGTAGACCAAGTTAGTGTTTGTCTCAGTGCTGATGTTTTGAATCATATCTCGCTACAGATGGTTACCAGCAAGCAGTGCAGGTAGATTTAACTCTCTGATTGTTTTTTTGCCATGGTGAAGTGGTGTTTGCCTATGAAAGCAAATTAAGACCATGTCATGTACATTGTTCACTGAATGGATTGTCCTTTGAAAAGCTATTGAATTACTGAATGCCAGCTGTCCTAATCAGGCAAGTGATTTTCCGTGCTGTTTCAATTCTTTTCCAAGTGTTTTACTTGCCCCAGGCAGTGATTAATGACGGATCCTGCTTTATTCTGTACAGATCGGCCAGTCAAATCTAATAATGAAATAAATCCAGCTCCAGTAGAGCTTAAATATTGATGCATTCAGCTTGTGCATTTTCACTCAGGTTTCCTGTGAATCCTTAAAAAACTTAAGTCTTAAGAAAATTTAAAAAAAGGTCGTAAAATGTCTGAACATAATTTTTACTGTTAGCTGTATTACATTTTAGGATAGTGCCTAAAGACCAGCGGCCGCTTGCATAAAAACCTTAGGCTTAAGTGTTGAAACCTCCACTTTTCCACAGCTTTCTTAAGACAAAGACCAAAATTCACTTAAGATGCTTTGTGCAAGTGCCCCAGGTTAGAGTCTTCACATATATTAGACTAATTACGAATATCCAAAAATATCCAAAGAACAGTTGTCAGAAAACGGATAGAATGTCAGAACTCATGAAGTCAAAAGCACACAGAAAACACTGTGAAAGTAAGAGGAGAAAGCAGTGAGTGGAAAATGAAAAGAGGGCTTATGGCTAGTGACCGTACGTCATCCATATATTTGCAAGAGTATATCTGTATTTGATGTTTCAGCCATTTATTTGAATGAAATAGATATTAATACATGGTATGTTTGCATGTCAGTTGTGCCTGTTGAAACAATCAGCCTGCTTATATCAGTCTTCTCTTCCTTTGCCAGATCTTTCTGTCCATCAAGGGAATTTATTACCAGGCTGAAGTGCTGGGACAGACCATCACCTGGCTGGTACCATATCAGTTTGCTCATGATGTGAGTATAGAGTCTGTGTTTTAACGTGTGTACACAACTAACAGGCGGTGTGTCATGTTATCTGTATGGTTTATGCCAAATGCTGTTTTAAGTCAAGGCCCACCTCCACAAAGCAAGGCACTGTTAAGATCAGCAAAGGAGCATTCTGGCGTAAACTTAGACTTCATTATGTTATTTGTTGTGTTATGCACTGTTCTGTAGCTCAGCATTATATTCCTCAGCTTCGTCGGTTAGACGGAATTCACGATTTTATGTCTTAAGGTTTTTATTCATTAATGTTTCGTCACTATAATGTCCAGCATGCGTTACACAAACACATAATACAGCCATTAGTAGAGATGGAAGAACCAATTGGCTGTGTATCAGTATCGGCCGATTTTCGACATGTGGCCGGCGTTTGGCCGATATCTCTCTAACTTAGCTGATTCTGAGAGCTCATTGACGTAAAACATATGAGTCGTGTTTGTCAGACCCTAGAATGTAACTGCTGCACCAGGTGGAATTGGCGAACAGAAAGCCAACTTCACCCTCGTCATATCTTTTTCACTAAAGACTTTTTTTCTGAAGTATTTTATATATTTGGCTTGTATTTCACTGTAAACTCACTGTGTGAACATGTAGAGCTGTAATTAACGCTGTTTGCTGTCAAAGCTTTGGGGATTCGTTTCTGTTAGCATGTTAGCGTCTAGTAGCATCTAGAGTGCTAATGTTAGTTTAGCCTACACTGCACTAGCTTTATGGCCTACAGCTTTGACAGGGACTGAAAATAAAAATAAGACTCAGAACTGCAAAAGCGATTGTGTGTCAGCCCATTTTTATTGGCTGTTTAGAAATCCATCCATCCATGAAGCAGATGGACTGTTTTGTCCTGTTAGCTGTGCTGGTTGTGTAGACTGGTTATTTCAATGGCTACGCTCGCCTGAGGCACCAGAATGTAACTGCTGCACCATTTAAGGTGGAATGGGAAAATTCGAACCAATTCGAAGCTGGTGGAAAAAGAAGCTGACTTCATCTTTTTTGAGAGTTGAAAGGCATGAAAACGGATGAGGGGGTTGCTTTGTTTCTGCTGGACAGGTGGGCAACATTAACTTAATTTTGCTGTTTCACAGAACCAATAGGTCAATATGGTTTTGTCCTGTTTGCTAATATTTGTGATGGCTAATCCCAACTGTTTAGCTTCACAGTAGAAACTGTTTCAACAGTTTGCTAACAGTTTTTTGTCTGTACAGTGTTTGTGAAGGGTTTTATAGCTGTGAAGATTTAAAAAAAAAAAGTGTTGTTCGCCTTGGCAGTGCCTGTCTATGAGTTTGGGGTCGAAGCTTCTGAAGAGAGGGGTGTATTTGTTTTGCTGTTTAGTTCCAATATCAATGTTCGTTCTCCAGAATTGCTTACTGCACTTTTGAACAAGGCATCCATCCCCGCCTTTCATCTGTATCGGCTATCGGCCGACTGTGCTGAAAGGCATCTGGCTGTCAGTGATCGGCAGCGGCCCTGAAAACACAGATGGTCCACCTTCAGCCATTAGAAATCCCTGTGGTATCAACCAGTCATGACTGCTAGCCTCGCTGCTGATCTGTAGACCAATAAATGCAACCAAGCTAGCAGTAGTGGAACTTTGACTTTAGTTGTCGAATAAAATCATAACAAAGTTGATTGCAGAAAGAAGTTTTTTTATACTTTTAGCCAAAGAAAAGATGCCAATCTGCTGTAACATATCTAGATAGCCAGGTAACTTCACTGTTCACTTGTTTCCTCCTCATTGACAAGTCATTACAATGGACACATTACAGTGGAAGATTCAGTTTCCATTGATTTGCACACAGTTGCTACAGCTACATGGCTGTAATGAGAGATCGGGCTTTATAGCAGTAACATTAGCTATCGGCCTTCCTTCATCATTCGCCAGAAAAATCTGCCCAGAGCAGTTTTAGTTTTTTTAAAAGTTCCTCATACATCAAGATACATAATCAGAAGTGGGTTTTCCTAGTTTTCTTTAGTAAATATTAGTTGTATTATTAAATATTACTTTCGGCGGTAAATATTCCTGCCAACATTTAACACTTTGTGATGCAATACTTCTGAAAGACTTCAGAAAGAAAATATGACCAACAGTCCTTCAAAAAGTGGGATGAATCTGAGAAATAATGTATTCTGCTGTTTGAACGGGCGCTGTAATCTCTGTTATGATACATTTGCGTTACTTTGGTGTAACTGTGAAAGAGAGCCTTTTAAAACACACCAGTGCACCAGAAAGGACAGTCTGTCTTTACCTGTTGACTTTACATCGATCTGTCTTCACTCTCTACCTTTACGTCAGACGCATTTGCAGTTGATTGAGTCTAAATGGAACTAAGTCAACATGAGACTTTAGCGGGGAAAGGCAGAGAGGGAGAGGGGGAGGCAGGAGAGGCTGTGAGAGGGAAGGAGAGAGAGATGTCATCATGGTAAAGGTGAAATTTGGTAAACATCCACCAGCTGTAAAAGGTTAATGGACACTGTGTTTTATAGAGTTGGCAGGCAGTGGTGTCCATGTTTTTTGAGGCACATTGATAAGGATACTGCCTTTAGTGCCGTAAATGCCTCTGCATCTCTTTCTCAAGCTTTCCAATTAGGGATATTTGCTGCTTTCCTATCCAGAGGTCAGTTAACTTTTTCCACAGCTTCCACAGAGTTTTGTTTTTAAAAACTTTTTTTCAAATATAAATAAGTGCACATACACAAGTGTCTTTAAGACTATTAATTTATTTTTAAAATAAAAGCTGCTGTTTATTATTATTATTATTATTATTATTATTATTAATGTGTCATATAGCCATTGTCAGAACAAAACCTTTTATCTCCGTTTTTATTGTTTTTAAAACAAATTATGTACACATAATTGTATACATGTATATATGTGTATATATGTGTATATATGTGTGTGTGTGTGTGTGAATGAATATATATATATATATATATATATATATATGTGTATATATATATATATGTATATGTGTGTATATATTTATTTTTTTTTATTTTTTATTTTTTTCATTGACTTTTTTTCCTTCTCATGTAAAGTTTTTGGAGATAAAGTTTTGTTCTGGCATGATATGTGAGATTTTCACTTTTACTCTTTGGTTACAAAACAGTCATGCCATAACAAAGCAAGCTATCTAGGCACTTGTGCTTCACATTTTCAGAAACTTTTTGGTGGTCATTTTTACTGTGTGTGTGTGTGTCTCGGTTTGCCTTTTGTGCTGGTGTTTAATGTCTTTCTGCAGGCCCCCTAATGACCATTAAAGCCAGCGGAATGGAAATCAACTCAGATTTTTTAATTATATAATTAAACAAAATGTTTTTCCTACTAACTCATCAGATTAACTAGGTGCTGTTGGCTCTCTGTGTGTGAAATATTGTGACTGTTGAGCTGCTGGTGAGCAATAATGGGTGAAAGGGGAGGGGTGAGAACATCCTGTGAAAATAATTCACACCTCTCCACAAAGACAGCCGTGCTGAGGCAAAACAGCAGCTTTCGTAATATCTAATAATCTTGCACGACTAATACAATTTAGAAAAAAGCGTTTAAACACAAAAAAAGTACTTTTTTGGTTGACCGTCAGTTTGCATCATTGAACATGCGATTTTGACGCTGCTGTTCTGAGTTAGTCCTCTAACTCTGGGTCACCTGAATAGCCTGTGCCATGTTCTAAGCCGTAATCGGCTAAATCTAGCGGCTGGCAGAAGATCGTATTCACCTTACATGAACTCTGATTGTTAGATCATAAATTCACACCTCTTGGTCATGTAAGGCAAACCTAACAGATTAGATTCAGAACAAACTCGGCTTTTCAGTAATTTACTTCATTTAATTCATTTACTTATTTACAGAAATTTATTGACACCAGCATTTCAATATTTAAGATGACTATTAGTATGCAAATGCATAAAACACAAGTGGAAATTCCTTTTTAACATTTTTGCTAAAAAACATTTGTACATTCTTAAAAATGGTTCTTCAAAGATTCTTTAGTGAAGAAAATGGTTCTATATTTAGAACCATGAACACTCAAAGAACCTGCAGGATAAAAGGGCTCTTTGCTTCGTGAAAGCATTATTCAGATTGATGGAGAATGTGCTGTAGATGGTTCTGTATAGAACTTTTTTGAAAAGCGTTCTATGTAGCACCAAAAAGGGTTCTTCTGTTGTTACGATGTCAGGCTTGTTACAATAGAAGAACCCTTTTTGGTGCTATATTGAACCCTTTTCAAAAAAGTTCTATATAGAACCATCTACCGCACATTTTCCATTGATCTGTAGAACGCTTTAATGATGCATCACGCAAAGGGTTCTTTGAGTGTTCATGGTTCTATATAGGACCGTTTTCTTTACTAAAGAACCCTTGAAGAACCATCATTTTTAAGAGTAGTGTTTCAGCTCCAGCCTCTTCTTGTTTTTGTTTTTGTTTTGTTTTTGTTTTGAAGTGTTCAAAGTTGAGTTTGCTAGTTGTTTTTGAGGTCACTGTTGCTATGTGTGTGTGGTCACTTCTTCAAAACGAAATCATAATGCGGTGTGAGAGGGTCTCTAAAGCTTAAACACTGTGTTGATTGGATATACTGGATGGAGTATTTAATCCTCTGATTGGCTACCAAGCGATAACGACAATGACGAGTGAAATGCCCATCATACTTCACATGTCATAGATGTCGAATGTTTGATCTCATGACAACTTTTGTCCAACATGACCACAAACATTATGGCATCTGTCATGACAGTTACCAGTGTGGGTAACTTGACACCGCTGTATTACTGGACGTAGTCTATTTTGACAGCTCATGACGACATATGAAATCTGCCATGACTTGTTTGGGGCATGGTTATGTTGCTATTATGTAACTGGGTTCAAGTAAATGTCAGCAGGGTGACCTCTGTACGTTGATCTGTATACACTGTAATCTAAAGAGTGGGCTAACAGCTGACTGACTGGCTGACTGGCAGATGTAGCATAGATCAGGCCTGGCATTTCAGAGAGATATACAACACAGGACACCACATATTGTCAAAAAGCCCAGCTTCTCTAGTTCAATATGGAGTTTGTAGTTTGCTGATATTTCAGACATTTTAAGTTTAAACGCAGTGTTGTTGAATGTGTTGACAGTGATTCGTCCAGTTTTGCATTTAAAGAAGAATAACAGGACTTTCATTAGAAAATGATGTATTTCACTGTGTTCTAATGCATGTGTTCGTCTGCTTCTGTCCTCTTCAGCACCCCACAGATGTGGACTACAGAGTTATGGCCACTTTTACAGAGTTCTACACCACACTGCTCGGCTTTGTCAACTTCCGCCTCTACCAGACCCTCAACCTTGTCTACCCCCCTAAGGTAACGTCCACATACACAATAGAGATGCAGCCAGCCATGATTCTTTTATTGCTGATTCCAATTTTGATTATTTTACATCCACATATGTACTTTTTTTTTGGTCTGATTTTTATCAGACTTTTTCTTATGGAAATCTGTTTACATGCACACTACAAGTAATCTGATCCAAAATAATGCGCATACGTAGAGTAACACTCAATGTGGACATTACCATGACAACGAGCATCACGTGAGTCCAGTCAGAGTGAGACGAGCAGCAGTGAGCAGTGCTTGTGTTTTTAATCATTTTAAAATGATGTCAGACTCAGGAAAACGTCCTTCACATGTCCTTATTAAAGAAGGCCGAGAGGAAGACGTCGTGTTCTGAGACACATAAGATGGACGTCCGTCCCACAGCCGTCTTTTAAAGATCAGAGCATAAACTTCATCTCCTCTGCAGACCAGTTTCTGCTCCATGTTGAACATTATAAACTTTCAATATGATGTGACGCGCATGATCAGAACGTACTTAAACTTTCTGATTGGGAATGTAATCAGATACAGGCGTTTACATGGTTATTATTCTTCTGTTTAACAGATTATTTACAGGATCACCCACCTCGTTCAGTCAGATAGAAATTGTATTCCGAATAGCCTCAATAGGACTAGACTATTCCGATTGAGGTGTTTGCATGGACGTATTCTATTCTGATTGAGCTATTAGTCGGATTATTAATGGATTACTAGGCTGCATGTAAACGTGGCTCTTGTGGACTCCTTTCTAGTACTTTTCAACTTTCTATTTGCCGAAGTTACAATAAACATAACATTATTTGCCCTTTAAAGAGCTGAAGTGACAATTAAGGTCTGACAGAAAAAATCATTATATAACATTGATCAGGTAAAGTGCTACATCGAAAGTAAGATGCAATTGGCTGTTTAGTAGGAATGAAAATCTCTAGGTACCTCACATTTTGATTTGATTTTGATTCAGGGTGTCATGATGTGATTACGGATTCTAGAGCTACTTTTTGTTCTGCTTTTTTATCATTAACTTATTTAAAAATCTTTTTTGAGAGTTATATATTGAATTATATAATACTGAGTGACAGAACATACTTTGAAAACTATCCCTGCTCTCGTTCTCTAAAATGAAGCACACAAAAGGGGCTTGCATTGCTAAAAGTGAACCGTGCTGAAGAAACTTTAAGCTGCTTAATGGGCTCTACTCAAGTTCCATAAAGTTCCAAAGCCATGTCCACATTGTTCACATCTTAAAAAAATAAGATAATGATATCAAATTGAAAATGCTGAGAATTTTCTTTAGATGTCACACTCTGTGAAACAGCATGTTTTACTTTTTATGCTGTAACTTCACAGTTAATCATGCACTAAATGTTTAACTGAAAGCCTAACTCTGATTGTCACTATTGGTAACTGGTTGTTAGAAAAATCCATGTTCTCATGTAGGTTTTAGGTCTTTTGCTTCCTGTACATGTTTGCATCTTTGAGATCCTGCAATTTTTTGTCTCCTCCAAGCTGGGCTGCACAAAAGTATTCTACTGTGTTTATTGAACAGTTCAGGAAACTCTGAGCGGAACTAAAAATCGGGTTGAGATTTTTGTGAATTATTTTGCGATTTTTCAAGAGAGAACTGTGCTGCATCTAAAAATGTGTTATTTTTCCCACCACGGGAAATCTTGGCCTATTTTGTTTGTGCATCCAGTGTGCACACACTTTCTCTAGATTGATGTCCTTTGCCTGCAGAGTTAATTTTGGTTTGGTTTATTATTTAGAGATGTATATCTGACCTTACAGTGATTCAATTTGATTTCAATTCTGGAGGAAATTCTGTGATTTCATCCCATAATTTTTGTTTGATCTTTAATTATTTTTTAAAATATTCTTAATAAACAAATGTGACTGGGAGAACATACACCAGGCGCGTCGTCCTGGGCCACAGCTCTGCAGAGATTAGTGTTTTCCCTTTTCGAACACTCTGAATTCAACTCACGCAGGCCTTGTTAATCAGCTGATGGTTGAATCAGGGATGGAACGCTGAAGTCTGCAGTGGAGTGATCTGGCAGGATTTGAGACCCCTGATTTACAATGTAATTGAAATAACACGGCAGCATTTTCTTTTAGGTTTGGAGAGGGCCTGCGATATTTATTTTGGCTGAAAATGCCTCTATTTTCCCTGTCTTTCTATACCCCATTTGCATTTTTCATTTGGATTTGAATGAACGTGCTGTAGCTGCACATTTGCAATAATCTCCTATTTTTCCGCTCTGTGTTTTAGCTTGATGGGAAGGGAGAGACAGAGCTCAAAGCTGAATTTGAAGAGGACTACGCCATGGGTTCAGAAAGCTATTTGGAGGTTTGAACTCTTTCAACCCATAATCCTTCTTTTATCCACAGTTGTAATGATTTCCTCATGATAATTTTAACTGTTTTAGTAAGGCTGATCTTTCTCTTTCTGGTAGAAATTGTCTGCGCTAAGTGCCAGTCTTGCCCGTGTCATGTCTTCAGCTGAAGATGAGGAAGCAGAGCTGGACCACTTTCCTGTAGAAGGGGTGAGACAATGATATTCTTAGCAAAAATGGATTCTATATGTATCACCAAAAAGGTTTTATTATTTGTGCCAATAGTGGAAGTTTTTTTTTATTTAAATTATTATTATTTTTTTAATTAATTAATTTTTTTTTGGGGGGTGGCTCCTGAGTGGCACAACCGTCTAAGCATTGGCCCTATCATCAGGAGATCGCAAGTTCGATCCCTGGTGATGCTACAGCCGTCCGTAGCCGGGAGTCCAAGAGAGCACAATTGGCCTCGCTCTCTCTGGGTGGGTAGGATGGCCCCTACTTCTCCCCCCATCACTCAGCGCGATGCTAGTCAGCGCAGGCGTCTGTTAGCTGACGTAACAGAACTGGCGGTTGCTGCTTTCCTCCGAGCGCGTTCGGCTGTCCAATGATGTTGCGTGAGCGGCAGTTTGAAGAGATGCGGTGGCGCTTCACAGGTTTTGGAGGAAGCCTGTGTTAGCCTTCACCCTCCTAGCGTTGTTAGCATCGTGTGACTGGGGGAGTCCTAACTGGCGGGTGGAATTGGCGACGGCTAAATTGGGGAGATAATTGGGTTAAAATCCCAAAAAACTACAATTTTTTTTTTAATTCTATAATAATAATATATCTACTAATAATAGTAGTAGTAGTAGTAGTAATATTAATAATAATTGCATAGAATATAATAGATTGCTATAGCGTAATTAGAATCACACACATAAAAAGAACTAAACTGCTAAAATAAAAACCTTTCAACAAGCGTTCAAATAATACTTTGTTGATCATTTAATGATATTGGGATTGCAGACAATTGAGGCATATTGTAATTGATCCAGTAGCAGCTATATTAAGCCTGATTCTGATCCAGCAGCAGTGAGGCATGAACAGTGCTGAGAGTCATCAACACAGAACCAGCGTGCGTATCGTCATTAAAAACAATGGTTTCTATTTTTTGGATGCTGTGCAGCACAACGCAGCTGATCTTCAGCGGCAGTACATGTTAAACTTTTATATATTGATACAGATATGAACTTTTAAGACTCCTGCCTAGTAATACTTGAGTGGCACAGGTCACTACATAGTCAGACTTTCTGCCAGGGGACACCCCAATACATCTGCCACAATTCAAACCCTGCTGGTAGCAAAATCATCAGGTAGGTCAGTCAAATTTGTTTATAAGGAAGTATTAAATGCACTATAAAATGATCATTTAATCAACAAAAAATCGAAACATATCAGTCCAGATTGTCACATTACGTACATACAAGTGAAGTAATTTTACTGTAGTGTGAGATTTAAGCCTAGCATAGCTTACCTAATGATGTGGCTTTATTATCTATGAAAACACAGATAACAGACAGATTATTAGCAGGCAAAAATCATTAACCAGCCATTTTTAAGCCTGAACACTCAAACAGACGACAGGATGTTCTGGAGAAACACTGCCAGATAGTCGTCAGAAACAACTTGATGGCCCTTAATAATAATAGTAATAATGATGATAACACACACACACACACACTTTCTAGGCCGCTTATCCTTCTGGGTCGCGGTGGGGTGCTGGAGCTTATCCCAGCGGTCATTGGGCGGAAGGTAGAATACACCCTGGGCAGGCCACCAGTCCAGCACAAGGAATAATCATAATAATAATCATAATAATAATCATAATAATAATCATAATAATAATCATAATAATGTGTTTTGGAAAGAACCTCCCTTTGACAGTCTAAACCAGCTTATTTCACTATTCAGCTACAGTAGAAGCTGGAACTTTCCAGAATGAACAAGCATTAGCGTGTACTGGCTTTGTTTTGAATGAGTACTTGCCAGTGCTAATTGCTCACGGACCCTCCTTGATTTCACACTGTCTCTTACAGGTGTTGCACTTGAGACCTGGTCGCTATGGTTACCCAGTCAAGATATTAACAAACAGTCATCTAATGCAATCTCTTGCTGTTTTTCACTGGGGTCTGTTTTTTTTTTTTCTGTCTTTGTCTCTCCAACCTCAGGATGATATGGAGAAGATGGAGGCGAGGGAGAAGGCTCAGCAGGAGCAGGACAGACAGAAGAAGCTCTTTGAAGGACTGAAGTTCTTTCTGAACAGAGAAGTGCCCAGAGAATCACTGGCCTTCGTTCTAAGGTGTGGGGGGGTTATAATCAATTAATTGGTTCATTAAACAATTACCAACAGTGTCAGTCATCAGAGACAAGACAATGCAAATTTATGTATATCACATATTTCAAACACAATTCAAGGAGCTTTGATCTGATAGTAAATTCCAAAGACAATGTAGAAAATAAGCACAAAAAATAAAAAGGAAAAACAGAGGGAAAACAGCGCTTTGCAGCAGTTCTCATTAACAAAGTAATCCCAAACACATTCAGTGATATTGATGTCTGGACTCTGGGGTGGTCAGTTTATTGTTCCAAGAAAACCAGCAGATTCTTTGATTGCTTTTCAAATGTTCTTCTTTCTTCCCCCCGCCACCCTTCATTGCTTTAATTTCCAGGCAAAACGACCACTGAGTGCAGCTTATTAATTTTCAGATGTTCCTGAGGAGATTATATATAAGAAAGGAGGTAGAAGGTCCAAGGAAAAACGTGGGGGGAATAAACAGGGATTTTAACAAGACAACACTGGGTCTGGAAAGATGTGTAGCTGTTGAGAAGCTGATACTGTGGGGGGAAAAAAGAAGAACATTTGAAAAGCAATCAAAGAATCTGCTGGTTTTCTCGGAACAATAAACTGACCACCCCAGAGTCCAGACATCAATATCACTGAATGTGTTTGGGATTACTTTGTTAATGAGAAGCAAAACTGCAACCAACTTCTAATCTTTGAAACTTTTGAAAAATGTCCCTGCAGATTTCCTTGAAAACCTGAAAGCAAGACAGAGCTGTAATAGAGACAAAAGAGGACACGTTACATTTTGATGTCAAATTTAGTTGTTGGGGCATCCGTATAATTTTCTTTGAAATATGTTTTCTGCTTTTTTTCCCCTGATGCTACAAAATTAATAGCACAGTTTTGACTGTAAATAAATGGAATATTAAATAAATGCATGATGGTCTCTGACTTTTGCACAGTACTATACAAGTACTCTAAATTAATATAGTTACATAAAAAAAAAAGTTTTTAAACTTTTTAAACTTCATTTTTCAGGTTGTGCTGGTGTTTTGAAGCATTGGTAACAATCAATATCACAATATTTTATCACATCACTGTATCAAATGAGATTTAGGTTTGCATTAATCCAGTTAATGAGCCTGTGATTCATGAGTACTTTTACTCTGTGCTAAAAAAGTGTCTTACCAACCTGATATAGCTTGTTTTGTTTAGACTTTTTTTGTTCCCTTCTCGCCAAAAGGAACCCTATATAGTGCTGTGTAAACGTTAACCTGATTAAAAAAAAAAAACATTTCCACGAATGGAAACTTGGTGTGCTGAACTGATATCGTCTCATAATGAGGTCTCAAAATGCAAAGACATTCAAGTATGTTTGTGTAAAGCTCTCTATCTCTTTACAGGTGTTTTGGTGCTCAGGTTTCCTGGGATAAATCTCTGTGTATCGGCAGCACATACGACATCACTGACGAAACGATCACACATCATATAGTGGACAGACCCAGCCTGGACAAACAGTACATGAACAGGTCAGCCATACACTGTACAGGTCCTGCTGTCTGCTGCTTTAATCAGTTCCCAGAACCATCAGTAGGCATTTGTGACTTTTTATTTGTTTACTTGATCGTCTCTGGATGTCATTTGAATGTGCTCTTGAACTTTTTTTGCTATTGCACAAAGCAACATTTATACAGCTTTAATTACCACATGCTTCCATATGGTGTCATGTTATACACATTTAATCATACACAAGGCAGTTTGGTAGTGAAACTGTTATTTTATGTTAGTTTTCTCTTGCCCAAAGTGGTTTGAATAGCGCAAAGTGGTTTGAATAACTTCATAATTTTAGGGCTGCAACTTTCAGATAACTACATTTCGAATATTTCATTGAATATCTCAGCTATGATTTAAGAAAAGCTCAAGGCATTCCCTTAAATAACTAAACGTAAGGAAAACTATTTTTCTTCTTCCCCTTATTATTATTTTTCACTGTTTCTTAAATTCCGTTTATTTATTTTTCTTTTTAATAAAACTTACTAAAAAATACTCAAAGGTAATGGAAAAACACTAAATAATTTTCTTCATAGCAAGTTGCAGAAAATTCTTGGTGACCCTGAACAGGTTTCTTGCTCAGTTTGAACCGCGGTGAGCAGTGAGGCAGGAAATCAATGTCTTAAACATGAAAACAACTTTTTGGCTAACTTTTTATCATTGAATGGGGGAGTGATCAAGATTTTTAAGCTGCTTAAAACAGGTTTTATACTGGATTATTAAGCCAGATGTAAGAGTAAAAACACACTGCTGCTGCTTCTCACACCAACACATGCGTGACTAGCTTCTTCACTGTGAGTCAAGCTAGGTTTATACTTGATGCATTGTAAGCGGCGTGAGGGTCCGCACGGCAGAAATGATGCAGACGCAGCACTTCCAACCCCTGACGCGGTTCGTGGTCATGGACGTCCAAATTTTTCTAACTTGGTGCTTGTTAGAAAATGAATGAATTTGAAGAGAAATTGCTGTGCAGGTTTGCCTTCACAGGCACGTGTGAGATACCTCTATCGTACCATGTCCTAGAGAAACTGCAGCGACGGAAACACTACGATAAACGCTAATGTGTTCACTTCAGGCTGCACCACGGTGGCTAAACAAACATCACATGCAGTAGTTACATTAAGAAATGACTGAGGTACTCTCATTGATTGGATTTTATACAGTTCTTATTGAACTCTGGGTACTCAAAGTTTTGACTCTTGTTCCTAAATGCTGTAAAAACTGCATCAAAAGTCACTGACATTGCAGATTTGAACGGGACTTAAATCACTGAGAAACTTTGGTAGCCTAATAAATACACCATGTAAATCTAATCCCTCTTAAACTGAACTTAACATTTACGGCATTTAGCAGATGCTCTTCTTTAGAACGACTTACAAAAGTGCTTTGTTGTCTTCTCAGAGAATGTATCTTAACTTGGACACAGTGTAAGTGCAATACAAAATTTACTTAGATAAGTGATCACTTAAGTGCTGTAGAAAGAGATGGGTCTTCGGTCTGCGTTTAAAGACCGCAAGAGTCTGCTGTTCGGACAGCCGTTGGAAGTTCATTCCACCACCTCGGTGCCAGGACAGACCTTCAGTCAGATAACTCATTTCACAGCTTATGTAAATATCTCTTTGTTATTGGTAACTCATTTGATTTTTAGCTTAACGTAGTAAAATGGAGGAAAGCAGTGTCCACCTAATTATGATGTGCATGCATGCACAACGCGTCTGTGTTATGATAAGATGTTAAACCACTCTTAACAAATAAAACCGATGGACGTGTCGGCACATGAGAATGTAGAATGTGTAGGCTCTGAAATTATGAAACGTTAATGTATTGAGCAGAATGTCAGACCCGTTCTCTGACATCAGAGTGTTGAACCTGGTGCAGATATCCGTACATGGGTCAGATTTCATTCCATTTAAACTGCATTTTGACTAATAATAATTTTTGGCAAATAATATATTTAAATATTGAATATATTTATAGATAACTTAGGTTTTTTTCCCTCTCTGAACAGCTGTTTATATATTAAATTAGTGCTGGGCGGATACTGATAAAATTCAATAGCATGGCATTTAGAAACATATCACAGTATCTTGCTATCAGGTTATATTAAAGTTAAACATTGATGAGGTTAATGAACTCATGCTTCCTGACTTTCCTTGTTTTTTTGGATTTTAAGCAAATAAGTTAAATGTATGCCATGAAGGAGGGCAGCACGGTGGCGCAGTGGGTAGCGCAGTCGCCTAACAGCAAGAAGAGCCTGGGTTCAGTTGACCAGGGTCCTTTCTGTGTGGAGTTTGCATGTTCTCCCCATGTGTATGTGTGGGTTTCCTCGCACAGTCCAAAGACATGCAGTCAGGCCAACTGGACATGCTAAATTGCCCCTGTGTGTGTGTGTGTGTGTGTGTGTGTGTGTGGATGGATGGATGGATGTATATGTCTATCTGTCTGCCCTGTGATGGACTGGCAACCTGTCCAGGATGTATCCTGCCTTCTGCCCAGTGACTGCTGGGATAGGCTCCAGCACCCCAGTGTGACCCAGAAGGATGAGCGGTTTAGAAAATTGGTGTGTGTGAGTGTGTAAACTGCATACCACGCGTAAAGTGAACAACAATAAATGCTCCTTATCCATCAAATATATCACTAAAAAGACCACTGAATCAGGGAATGGTATGTCTGTATCACGGTATACCAGTGTAGATGATATATCGCCCAGCACTATGCTAAATATTTGGCATGGAACTTTAATTTTATGTCATGGAACAGTCCTGGAATTCCACTGTTTGAAAAGTGTACAAACCCTGGTTAGAGAATGGAGTTTTAAAAGCTGTGCAAAATCTCCAATGAGTCATTTTTGCCGAATTGGCAACTGCATGCTACTTGCGTTACGCTAAGCTAGTACATTTGTTTCCACATGGAAGTGTGTGGGTTCATAAAAGTGGAAAGTGTGTCCGTTATTCAAATTATTTTAAATTTTTTTAATATTTTAATGACCAAATTGATCCAATATTGTCAAATATTTGTTGCTGCTCTAAATATTTCATACTTTTTCATAATATTTTCCTCTTATGGGGAGTCACTTCTGGGGCTGAGAATTTTTTCCCCACAATACAATGACTTTGATAATGATTCCTGAAAATTTTTTATACTGTCTTTTAAATTACAAACTAAAAGGGGATGTGGCTTAAACCAGAAATGAGTGTGAGGTCCTGGTCGTGGGTACATTTACTGACTGAAATGGATTATAGAGGAATCAAGAAGTACTAAAGTTAATAATATGCATACAGAATGTAATTTAAACAGCCAATCAACAGTCTAGGTTTTGGAATAAACATGCCAATTCTGTCACAGATGCTAAAACTGACTATTTAGACATTAAAATCTGGTATTGAATCACATGGAATTTATCAGTGCTCAGTCGATACCATAAAAATAATGAATCTTGATATGCAGTCCTAGTCACTTAAAAACAAGCCAGTAATTTGTTCTCTATATTTAAAACAGCTTAAGCCTTATCAGTGGTAAAATACACTCATTGAGCATTTCATTAGGTACACATACCTTGTATCTACACCCATTGTCCATTTTATCAGCTCCACTCACCATATAGGAGCACTTTGTAGTTCTCCAATTACAGACTGTAGTCCATCTGTTCCTCTGCATACTCTGTTAGACCCCTTTCACCTTGTTCTTCAATGGTCAGGACCCACACAGGACCCTCTCAGAGCAGGCATTATTTGGGTGGTGGATCATTCTCAGCACTGCAGTGATGGTGGTGTGTTAGTGTCTGTTGTGCTGGTGTGTGTGGATCAGACACAGCAGTGCTGCTGGAGTTTTTAAACACCTCAGTGTCACTGCTGGACTGAGAATAGTCCACCAACCGAAAATATCCAGCCAACAGCATCCTTTGGCCGCTGATGAAGGACTAGAGGATGACTAACATAAACTGTGCAGCACCAGATGAGCTTCTGTCTCTGACTTTACATCTACAAAGTGGACCAACAAGTTAGGAGTGTCTAATAGAGTGGACAGTGAGTGGACACAGTGTTTAAAAACTCCAGCAGCACTGCTTTGTCTGATCCACTTGTACCAGCACAACGTACACTAACACACCACCACCAAAATGGACAGTGTAGATACAAGGTAGGTAAATAATAAAGTGCTTAGTGAGTGTAGATGGCAGATACAATTATATTTCACCAAAATAAATAACTAGATTGCATTTGCAGATTGAATCTTGCCGTTTTCAGGGTTCATCCTCTGCACTTTATGGGCTTCAAAAAGCTCAGATTTCAAAACGATGCAGTTTGAATGTGGGGAGTGTGTGCATTTTGCAGAGTCCTCACATCCTGAAGTCTGCCTCGAAGATGAGAGTTGGCCCACAATGCTGTTCTTTCAGGCTGGGCGCCCCTCTTTGCCTCTCAAAGCCCCTCTTTTATGCATTTCCTGTGGGTGTGTTAGCGACAGCAGAGAGTGTGTTGTGATGTCTATTTTTGAATTCCTTTTGCTCTGTTCACATCACATGATCTGCAGATGGTCACAGTACATACGTGACACGCCTGCACACATTCATGATTCCACATAGCGCACAGTACAGTCCAGCAGCCTTCTGTATGCACATTGTTCCTATTACAGTGACTTACTGTTCTGCATATGACCACTGTCAGCATTAACACCATATGAAAACTTGGGTGAATATTTCCTGATTAGTGGCATAATAGAAAAAGATCAAATTTATGTGGATTAAATTATTGTCCTGTTAACATATGTTGATGTTAAACATTATATTTTACCCATTGGCAAACAGTGACTGTTAGAGCTAGACCTTCAGTTTGGGCCATAAATGTCAGAGTGAGAAATAAATGCTAAAATAAGGCCAATTTCTGCCATTATGGGATTTCTAATAGTATGTTAGTGGACATACTGAAGCTTGTAAAACACATTCCATGTTTTTTTAGACATTGTAACAGACCTATTTGCATACCTACCTTGTATGTAGCAGTTTTTCATGTCATACAGCTGCCGCCAGAGTTTTCCATACCTAACAACTAACTGAAACCCACAGGTTAGATTACAGGTTCTGTTTGCTGTCAGTAACATATATGAAAGTGTTCTTATCTGGAAATGTCTCTCAACATTATAATGGCAACAATGTTTCATATATATATATATATATATATATATATATATATATATATTGTGTGTGTGTGTGTGTATAGTGTTCAATCCACTGTATAATTGGGTAAATGCTGTGAATATTCTATGAATTATACATTGAGGTACACTTCTAATTTCAATTGCTGAGGTTTGTGGACCTTGAATTTGTTATCCATGTGTGTCTCTGGGACTATTCAGTAACATTCTGCTAAGCTTGCTGTGATTGCTTGGACCCTGCAGGTACTATATTCAGCCTCAGTGGGTGTACGACTCTGTGAACGCCAAGATGCTTCTGCCTGTGGAGGATTACTTTTTGGGGGTGACTCTGCCCCCTCACCTGTCACCATTCGTGGAGGAGAAGGAAGGCGATTATGTTCCTCCAGAGAGGCTCAAACTCCTCGCTCTCCAGAAAGGAGAGAGACCTGGTGAGTAGCACTGACCCATGAGGCTGTGTGTTAGGGGTGCAAATTGTCTTAGGATTATGTCTTTATTTAACTTTTATCATTTATTTCATTCTAAATATGCAGATGTGAATTACGGAACTATTTATACAGTAATGGGATATGGACAAAACCAGTACACCAAGTTTTTGTGTTGGATTTTTACATTTGGAAATAGCAAAAAATGTGTGCATGCAGTATTATTCAGTATTATTATCAGAGATATTAGTGCGGTTGAATTGTCATTCAGCAGTGTGCCCATTTGTTTACTTGCACCCACTGATATGATGACCATGCTCTCCCTTCCAGTTACAGAGCAGGATGAGGATGAAGAAGAGGATGAGGAAGAGGAAGAAGATGAAGATGATGATGATGATGATGATGGGGAGGAGGAGGAAGAGGAGGAGGCAGAGGCAGAGGATGAGGCTAAGCTTAAGGATATGGAAGAGAAGAGAACTCAGGGCAAGGTAAGAGTTTTTCAACGTAATGAAACGGAGTGAAATGAGACTAATTGTGGGAAGAAAACTATACATATTAAAACAACCAGATCACGTTTGTCCATCGCATTTTGATTCACCTCTAAGCGACTATACAGGTTAAGGAGGAAGTAAGAAACTTAATTTTCCCTCAAGTGTGGAGGTTGAGTTGTGGTGCTGTCATAGAGTTGTTTTATTGTGGGAATACTCTGTTATACAACAGCTATCAGTGTATAGTTAATTGTGGAGCAAAAATATTTGTGTAATCTTATCAACACAATATAACTGAAAGTGTAAGGCTGGTTTACAAACAGTAAAAATTCAAGTGGGGTGATTACAGTCACGTGATTAGACTCGGTTCCCAAATTTGCTGGCTTTATCTGCATTTGTTGTCACTCATGTACAGTCAGGCAGATACGGTTCGTTGTTAGCTGGGCAGAGTGCAAACAACTATTATTTCTCCTAAAGCAACAGACCTGTGAAAAAGAAGAAAGTCATGCATGCACACACACACACACACACACACACACACACACACACACACACACACATATATGTGTATAATGTTGTCATTTTGGAAAGTATAGTGGCTTATTATATAAACATGTTTCAAGCTAATATCTGTCATACGCCTTTTTGGCCTTTTCAGCATGATTGAGAGCTTTGGCTCGGCTTACTTGGTTCTCAGAAATGCTACCTGAGACCGTGACTTGACAACTGAAGGTGAAGACATGAGACTAACTTGTGACTTTTAGTACACATGCTTTTTAAGCCAGACTTAAACGGGCCTGTTATGGTCTCAAAGTGTTTGAAATTGCCATTTAGTTGTCACAGATGGTCAGTTTTTGTGTCTGGAGCTCTGCGAGTTCCAGTTTGGTCAGTATATTTCAAGCCTCTTATTTGGCAAGCCAACGAGACTTTGTTTGTTTTATGGTTAACCATTGGCCCTTTGTAGGTAAATGTGAATTAATTAGCCCTGGTTCCAGATGAATGGACATATTTGGGACCCATGGCCTGAGGAAAACATTTTCACAGTGCAGCAGAACTGCTTTGTTTGGTTTTAACGTTTGTGGATTATTTAATTTCAGGTTGTATTCTATTCTACTCTGTACCGTTCCACCTAATTAAAACCACAGAATCCTTTATGCTGTCATTATTGTTCAGCATTGCAAAATCCAGGACCTCGACTCCAATTTAGCTAGAATAATCCAGCAGTGACCGTGAAGCACTTCTGATAGATAGTATGACTGAACAAGTTTGTGATCCAGCTAGCAGCCACATCCATTTCGATCTTTTGCTTTATACAGTAATGTGCAAAGGTCTTAGGCCAGGAAAGAACAATAACATTATAATAATATAATAATAATATAATAATAATAATAACAAATAAGCAACACATTGTAATTTGATGTCTGTCAGTGTGCTAGCCATTTCCAAAGCTCTGCTTGTTAAAGCCCGGTATTTAGTCAACATTCAGTTCCTAGTTTATCTAATAAATCCTTAATTAAATAAAATCAGATGTGCTAACAAATCCATGCAATGGCTGGAATGCAGCAAGAAGTCAAAGACCAAACTTATGCTTTTCTAACTGTAATTTTCCAACCAAAATGTTAATAACGTATTGTTACATTTTATTGTATTGATGTTGATTTGTATTTATTCTAGTGGTGTTCACACTGATAGTGGGCAGTATGGGCAAAAATTCATATCACAGTATAGTTAAGATTACTGACTTTTTTGGTATATATGTCACGGTATAGTGTTTTTATGGTTCTTTTTTTCAAATAGAACTATTTTGGATGCTCAAGTAAACCTGTTTTTGTGGATTAACAATGGCGTATTATACTAGATGTCCCTTCACTTTTAATGAGAACCATATTTAACAACTGAAGTAAATTTAATATTATTTTTATTGGATAAAATAGTTAAAAAAGAGGTAATATATAGACCGTCGTCAGTATTGCTTTCTAACCCTAATGTGATACAGGCGAGTGTATGTAAAGCTCACAGCAGCTTCTCTAAGCATGGAAGAACGATACAAGACTGAAATCAGCTTCTTATTCGTCAGCTTCTTGTTTGAATTTTTCTGTTCCATGTTAAATGGTGCAGCAGTTACATTCTGGAATTGAACCGCTGCACCATTTAAAGTGGTTTTGACGGTAATTATTTTAATTGTTTGACAGCTATAATTTATTCTAAAGCTGTGTAGAGTTTTTACTGGTAAAAACACCCAGCAGGGAAAAATAGTTTTAAACTATTTTCATCACTGCCTAAGACTTGTGCGCAGTGCTGTGCATGTATATTTGTAGTTGTGTTTGTAGGTAGAGGAGATGTGGAGTATATTTACCTGCTATCAGGAATGGGGGGGGAAGCTGGCTGATGTCTGATTGGGTATGGCGTCTGATTGTTCTCCTTCAGGCCTTATCAGTGAAGGTGACCCCTGGGAAGGCCAAGCAAGAGAACCGCCAGAGACTGGAGCAGGAGGAGAAGGCTGAGGAGAAGAGGCTAGCCATCATGATGATGAAGAAGAAGGACAAATACCTCTACGATAAGATCATGTTTGGCAAGAAGAGGAAAGTCAGAGAGGTAGGAGGCAAACGCAGCATGTGTTGTTTTCACGCTCATTCTCTAGTGCCTTCTGACCAATTGAAATGGCTGATTATTGTTAATAGATGATGTATTTTGGTACATACAGTGACACATTCTGAATGTTGAGCCAGCCTATATAAAATTGAAGTTAACCAGTCATGCAAATTATATTTGCTTTTACTGTTATGTGTCTAACGTGTGCTGCCAAAACATCAATATTTAAGTTAGAACAAAGAGTGAAAAATGCTTTCAGGTTAATAATTGAAGAATTGTGTTTTTTTTCCACCTGAAGCTTGTAGAGTAGCCAGTGAAGTCTTGTTTGAGCTCTTGACCCTGATTGAACTCATCATTGAAGCTTCAGTAGCCTGGATGCTCCTCTGCTGTTCATTAACCTAATGTACCTTCTCCCCTCAGGCTAACAAAATGGCAGCCAAGAGAAAAGCTCTGGACGAGGCAAGCAAATCTGACAGAAAGAAGAAGAAGTTGAAGAAATAATAGGATGGAGATGCAAAAGACTGTTATTTTGTATCTATTAAAACAATTCTCTCTGTTTATTCTCTCCAACAGTGTGATGGGTCTCTTCTCTAAAACAATGTTAATGCAAATAAGTGGAATATTTGTACAATATTTTTTTGTCCATTTTTAATCCAGTGTGTTCAAGTCAAACTAACTCGCGATAATATTAAAATTATCAAATTTAATCAATCTCAACTTTCTTTTTTGTGTATGCTTTCTTTATTCAGTAGAAATGAAAGTATGGTTTTAGCATCATCACCATTAGTTGGATCATATTTGAAAATTGGACCATATTCAGTTTCATGCGCTCAGGTTTCACTCTTCATTGTGGCAGGGGTGAAGATATTGATCATTCTGCCTGGGTTTCAAGTTTGTAATGAATTCCCCTTTGTCTCATTACTTATGAGTGTATGGAGTCAGATTGACCAGGCTTCAGCCGTCTGTCTGAATAATTCATCCGTCGAACTGCTCAGTGTCCGTTTCAGTCTTTAATGAAGAACGTGAGCCGTTTTGGGTCGTGAACGAACACAAATTCAAGGTCGTGGATAGCCTTGTGGCAGTGCGGTGCCTAAGCAAGGGCTCGTGGAGACTAGGCTGGAGGAGGCTCTTTGACATATATTGAACATAAAGCCTCAACATAATACCTCCAAATTATATTGTGAAAAAGGCCTCCTAATCACTGTTCCTGAATATTAGGAGTGCTGTATAGAACACTTAATGGACGCAGATTCAGGCAGTTCAAGTACAGTTTTGTACGTTAGTGTTACACTGGATTACTCCTTACTTTGCGACAATAGTCACATTGGCACATATGATGCTGGCTGTGAATTGTGGCCATTTCAAATCTGTTAGACCTGTTTCACACATACGTATGTAAAAGTTTGAACCCACAGAGTCAAATGATGTCTTTTTTCTAAGTGAAAATAAGGTAACATCCTCTACAGAGAACACATTAAGTAAGGCATTTCCCTGCAAATTTTAGAGCACAATTTCTGTTTATTTGCTAAGTCATGGGCTGGAGGTTAGGGAACCAGCCCTGTGACCGAAAGGTTGCCGGTTCGATCCCCCGAGCCGATGGTACGTCACTGAAGTGCCCTTGAGCAAGACACCTAATCCCCAACTGCTCCCCGGGCGCCTTGGATAGGGCTGTCCACCGCTCCGGGCAAGTGTGCTCACTGCCCCATAGTGTGTGTGTGAGGTGAAATTTCCCCGTTGTGGGACTAATAAGTGTCACTTAATCTAATCTAAGTTTACCATGTTGGGGAAAATAAATATGTGCCATAAATTTGCAAAGAAACACCACCACCACCCCCTCTCACCCCACCCCCCCATCGGTACCATTACTAAATAAATAGTTATTGTTTATTGAAAAAGTTATTAAAATGTTCTCTGTAGAGGATGCGTTATGTCATTTTCACTTAAAAAGCCGACAAAACTTGATTTAAGCATGGCTGTACATTGTGTATACCGTGTGCGCACAATGATGGCATTACTGCCCACTACAGTATGCACTATGAGTTATGCACAAACATAGTCCTATAACAATAAGTTATAACCAGCTACAGTGTATTTGATTGTACACATATACCTATAGAGTGCCTTACAAGGACATTTAATGAAGTGTAATGATGCAGTGGATTTATACAAGAAACACTTGGATTTATACAGGAAACACTTTTTCCAAATGGATAAATAGTCAGAAGAGCAAATAGTCATAAAAGAGCAAGTTTTATTTGTTAAGCAATTCTGAAGCCTGTGTTGAAACTGAAGCCTGTTGATCCTACTAGAAAATGTGTATATAGCACAAAATTTTTCCCATTTGATAATGGCCTTTACTTATAGAATTTGTTATGATGGTTGAATTCTGTTTTCTGTTTCATTTTTGTTGGTTTTTCTAGCTTATTTCTCTGTCTTTTGCAGAAAACATAGGCTCAGTGCCTGTTCTCCAGATGCGGTACCTCTTCAGGAGGACGCTGCCGTGCTGCTCTCGAAGCCTGTCTGAACGCTCTGATCTTTTAAAAGCAAGATGTTCAGTGTCGCTCATGTCACAAAAAAATAGCATGTATGAAACAGGCCTTGATATGCATTCAGTGCTACATGTGACAGTATGTTGTGCATGTTCTGAATGTTAGGTTACATTTGGCCTTGCGGCTAGTGCTTAAGTGCACACTAATGTGACATATTTCTGAATTTATCAAAAGTGCGCAAGCACTCGTTAAGACTGAGTGTGTGAATACGTTGTTTCTTTGTGAGACACAGTTGCTGACGTTCTCGCTATTTAAGCATTAATAATGGAATTTGGCAGGCGCTCATACCATTTTAATCACGTTACAGAGGAACACTAAACTGGCCACTGAAGCCCTTGTAAGGCACTCTATATGTATGTGTGCACTGTCAAATACTCTGTAGCTGGTTACAGTGATGTTCCAGAGCTCGTCAGCTTTATTGTTACAGCACTGTGTATGTGCGTAACTCAAAGTGCGTCTGTAGTGGGCAGCAATGGCGTCATCCCTCACCTCTTGGCCCTCAGCAGGCTGCGTAACCCTGGTGGGCCGAGGGCCAGGCGACTCATGGCATCTCTGCTTTTCCTTATCATTTAATTATACAGGGTCTCTCTCTTGCTCTCTCACTCTCACCAGTTTGCCCCTTCTACATTCCAGCCATGCCTCTCGCTCTCGCCCTGCCTGGCACAGGGGTGGCCCTTTGTGTGTGTGTGTGTGTGTGTAAATGTGTGCGCGCATGTGCATGGGGTTGCTCTCACAATGGCCTTAGTGTTCCCGTCCAGCCAAATGGAGGACAGAGTGATTGGTTTAAGCTTTCAGTGGATATCTCAGTTTTAGATTGTGGTAGAGGAAATCAATTATTATCAGTTATTGGTTAACTACAGACAGACAGATTGCCAGGCTCTGTCTAGTGAATAGGAATTAAGACGGAAAACAAGCCTACAGAGCTTTAGAGTAAATGATCAAATAATAATGTCAAAGTCTCCAGGAACCAACAAGCTAACGTGGCAAAGGATCAGACTAAACAGTGAGCCTTGATAACTCCTCAGTATCGGGCAACATTAAAATGTGCTTATTAAGCTTTAACAGACCAGTTGTCTGTAATTGTTTGCACATTACTAAACAATAACTATGAAGAAATAAGCATTTTCAAGAACGTGTAATGTTATTAAACCTTAACAAACCACTAGTTGGTAATTAATAGGCTCCTTATTCACTTTCAAGCAATAACTAGGGTGAGTTGAACATTTTCATCTTTTATTTTTCATCGTAATCTTCTGCACATTTTAGCTGTTCATTATTATGCCCTTATTAAGGCATGTTAGGCCAATAACTACTAATTACATGGCCGCTTATTACTACATTATTATAATCTTTTGCACATTTTAGGTTTCCATTATTATGCCCCATTAAGGCATATCAGGCCAATTGCTGGCAATTAACATATCAAGCCAATAACTACTAATTAATTGGTTATTACTACATTATTAAGTAGACTAGAGGGAGTTGTGCAGTTTCAGTGCATTTTTATTTTTGTTTTATATAATGTATTGGTATTAAAATGCTCTTATCTTTACATAGATGTGTTCTCAAATGGGACAGAAGTAAAACAAAAAGCAGAAATAAAATGAAGAAGGTCTTTCACTTGACTTAATGAGAAAAAAGTTATTTATCCCAAGACAAGACTGAGAGATCGTTAGTTTGTGGTGTTGAGACTTATCTACTGTATAACTCCAGTACTATTGATAAGACTATATGATACACAAATTAAAACATATATTCCTGAAAAATGATTATTTCACTCTAGACTTTGAACTTTGGTCCAGCATCCATTTGTTTGTTTTCTGTGCTGTCCAATGTATTCATTAAAGTCTTCGCCAACACCAATCAAACCTTACCTCTCACTTGAAACCCAGACAACTGAGGCCTTCTTACTTTGGACATATTCTAAGAAGAACTAGTTCATTGGAAAATACCGTTATGCTTGGAAGAGCTGAAGGTAGAAGAGGAAGAGGACAATCAGCTACTAGATAGATGGATGCAATCAGAGGAATCATGAACCAGCCATTGAGAAGGCTGAAGACCCAAACAGAAGACAGGATATTCTGGAGAAACACTATCCGTACGGTCACCAGGAGTCAGAAACGATTTGACGGCACTAAATAATATTAATAATAATAATAGTTACTGTGTAATAATGCAGTAATAAGGAGTCAGTTAATTAGTAGTTATTGGCCTGGTCAGACTTTATAAGGGCATAATAATGGAGACCTAATGGACACTCTGGTATAAACTCTGGTATAAGCTCTGGAAGTTATTAGGGGAATTCCACTGACTTTCAGCACAATTGAATTGAATGGTTGAGATGTAAACAGAGTCATTCAGAGTGGTTTGATGTGAAATGATTCATTGTAGAGAAACTTACTGATTCAGATTTGTTTAAAATGGTGATGATTGTAATGCTTGTAACACAAATATAGCCAGTTTATTTACTCTTCAAAACAACTAGTGAACCTACATGTATTGTCTGAGTTTTTATATGTGATGTTATTAATGATAAAATTAGAAAAAATAAGTTTTGGGACTCTTTGCCTTGTAAAGCCTTGCACATACCTCTCTGCCATGAATAGCCTTAAAAAAATACAATTTAGGCCAAGACCTTCTCTCAAAACTATCATAAAACGGTGCGCTTTGGGAATCATGAAACATATTCATACCTATTTCATGTAAGAATCTTCTGAAATGCAGCTTTTAGAGGCATTAGACTCTTCAGACATCTGGTTCCTATCACCACCACTGTGAGCAGTTCTGACTCTTTCACTAGAACAGAGCATTTCACACCAAACCACTCTGAATGACTTTGTTTACATCTCAAGCATTCAGTAACACAGAAGTATTAAGTCTTCATTACACTCTTAAAAAAGATGGTTCTTCAAGGGTTCTTTAGTAAAGAAAATGGTTCTATAAAGGACCATGAACACCCAAAGAACACTTTGCATGCTTAAATGGTTCTTTGCATCATGAAATGGTTCTTCAGAGTTGTTGATGGTTCTATGTAAAGGGTTCTTCTGTTGTTATGATGTCAAGCTTGTAACAACAAAGAACCCTTTTTGTACTGTAGATGGTTCTCATTTTTTAAGTGTGTGTGGGCTGCAAGTGCGTATTTTTCCTACATTTTAACATGATGTTAATAACATCCTTATGGAACTTCATTTGGGCAGCCAATCAGTGTCGAAAGTTTTGGGGCTTGCAATTTTGTAGTGGTCAAAAACGTAGTGCAGAAAACCCATAGTGCACTCAAACAATCCCACAGCGCGCCACAATAAAGAGTGTACAGCCAATGTACCATATGGGATAAGGAATACCCATAATGCAGTGCAATATTTGGTTCAAGATTCATGTGCAACTTCTCTGAGTAGGATTTCCAAGCCCAGCTACAACAACAGCATTTCTACACACCTCACTTCAGACCTGCTACCATCACAAATTCTGTTCCCTATAATATTGTTCTATTTAGTGATCCAGGTTTTTGAATGTAGGGTATAGAGAATAGGGGGCCTTTTCATACATGGCATACATTTTGAAACAAGCGTGCTTATTGGCTCAAGGACTTCAGTGGTGCTGAAATTAGACATTAAATAACATGAGATTTTCAGTACTAAAGTGAGTTAATAAAGACCAGATTAAAAAGGCTATGACAAACTATAAGTACAGTGCATGTGTTTTTAATACAATACTTGCAAAAAAAATCTGGTAATTGGTAAAATGAATGAATAAACTATTAGGGCTTGAAATTGAATCATCTTATTGTTAGCTAGTGTGCCATTAATATGGCTACTTAATACTTTTTGTGGCCTTTTTTATGATACATGCTGACTATGCCCGTCATATATTCATAACATGTAACTGTGTCATACAATTCATCACAATAACAATAACCTATCATTACTTTGCCCACCCTTACTGTCTCCTACAGTGTCAGATGGGGATTTGTGACCGTACACAGTTGCTGAAAAATGAGCCCTCACCCTCACAGGTTATACTAACTGGAGCTGCTTGGTTCCCACAGGCTGCTCCATTGTGTTTCTCTAAAAGGTTAACCTCTATCTCTCAGCGCCCTGTTTAAACCAGGAGCACCGTGCAGTTAGAGCTGGGCTTGTTCGTTTAGAGCAAAGGAAACGCAGAAGTGAGCAGTTCGGCACAATTACCAGCTTTGTTCAGGTCCTGCTCAGCCGTCCTGCGTTTATCCTCCCATGTGGCCTACAAGCCATCTATCAACTTTCAGCTCTGACTGCGACTCCACACTGCGCTCTCAATGGACCTCTGTGTGCGAACAGAATAGATCCCGGGCCCTCCTCCCTCTTTTCTTTCTTTTTTCCTTCTTTCTCTCCCTCTCTCTTGTTCTCTCACTTGCCTGCACTTGTTCCATTTGCCCTCTTTTTGCTCTCTATCTCTCTGAATTCAGTTCAGTCCAATATTTGTTTTATTGACATGACAAATTTAAATATGTATGGTTAAAGCAATAGACAATCTCTCTCTCTCTCTCTCTCTCTCTCTCTCTCTCTCTCTCTCTCTCTCTCTCTCTCTCTCTCTCTCTCTCTCTCTCTCTCTCTCTCTCTCTCTCTCTCTCTCTCTCTCTCTCTCTCTCTCTCTCTCTCCCCTTCACTCTTTTTCTTTTTTGTCTCATTCTTTTTCTGTTTCTCTCCTTACACTCTTCCTCTTGCTTTCTCTCTCTCTCTCACTCCATTTGTATCGTCCTCCTCTTTTCTTTTCTCTCTTTATCTACCTCTCTTTGTCTAATCTTTCATTAACCTTCTTTCTTGTTTATCTTTTCTCTCCTTTACTCTCTCTGCTCTCTCCTTTTTCTTTGTCTGTCTTTCTTTCTGTCCACCCCCGCTCTCTTTATTTCTTTCTTTTCCTTCCCCTTTCATCTTGCTATCTCTCGTCCCTTTCTCTTTCTTCCTTTCTAAAGCCTCATTTCTCTCTCTCGCTCTCTTTCTCTCTCTCTTTTTCTCCCTCTTTCTTTCTCTCCATCTTTACTTTCTCCCTCTTCTATCTCTTATTTTCTCTTTCCTCTTTCTATCCTTTTTCCTCCCCTTTCGTTCTCTCTTTCTCTCTCCCCTTTTTTCTTTCTCCCACTGTCTCTCTCGCTCCCTCTCTCATTCCTCTCTCTTTTGCTATCTCTTTCTCTCTCTCTCCCTCTCTCCCTCTCTCTCCTGTCTTTCTCTTTCTTCTCTCCCTTTTTCTCTTCATCTATCTCATTTTCTCTTTCTCACCTTTCTCTCTCCCCCTCTTTCTCTCACTTTCTTTTTCTCTCCTCTCCCTCTCCTTCCTCTCTCTTTAACTCTCTTTGTCCATCTTTTCTTTCTTACACTCACCCCTTTTCTCTTTCCTTCTCTCTCTTACTCCCTCGCTTTATCTCTTATCTCCCACTTCTCTCTCTCTCCCTTTTTCTTTTGCTCTCCTTTTCTCTATCTGTCTAACATCTCTTGCTCTTTCGCCCTCTTTGTCTGTTCTCTATTTTCCTTTCTTTCTTCCTCTTCTCTTTTTTCCTCTCTTCCTCTGTCTCGCTGTCTTTTGCTCTGATCCCTCTCTTTTACCTCCCACTTTTCTCTCTTTCTCTCCCTTTTTCTCTTGCTCTCTCTTTCTCTTTCTTTCTAACTCCTCTATCCCTTTCTCTCTCCCTCTTTATCCTTCTCTCACTTTTCTCACTCCTTCCCCTCCCTCCCTCTCTCTTCACTCTTTCCCCACTTTTTCTTTTTCTCCTTCTTCTATCTCACTTTCTTACTCTCTATCCTCTTTCTCTCTTCCTCTCTCTCTATTTTGCTCTCTCTCCCTCCCTTGTTTATTTCTTTCTCTCTTTCCCTGCCTTCCTCCCTTCCTCTCTCTCTTTTGTCCCTTTCTCTCTCTCTCTCTCTCTTTCTCTCTCTCTCCACACATACAAAGCATGACGAGTGCAATTCCCAGTAGTGCAGCAGATGTGATGCCACAGAGAGAGGGCGGTTGAGTCTCTCTCTGTTCTCATTACAGTGAGAGAGAGAGAGAGAGAGAGAGAGAGAGGGTGAGAGCGAGAGGAGGTGGAGTTTCAAACACATCAGGTGCTCAGAGACGGAGAGAGGAGTGAGTAGACTGCTGGACATCCAACAGCACCACAGCAGAGAGCATGAATAACCATCAGAGCGTCCACAGAGGCTGCAGCAGACTCCACTGGACAAGCAGAAGAGTCAGAGAAGGTCCATTTACGGATGTGAGCATGTGATGAGAGTCCATGTCTGTGAGCTTCACTCTCAGCAGCATCCCTCGTCCATCAGTCTATCCAGCTGGGGGGAAAATGTCCAGTCTTTGAGGTACTGAAGGTCTTTCTCCTGTTCACTTTGAATGAGCGCTGATAGCAAAGAGCCTGGTCACATGACTGTTATTGTTTGTGGCACTTTCTGGTGACTGTGTGGTAAGTTTGTTGGAGGAATGAATCAGACTTTCAGATTAGATAAGTGCCGCGTTGGTCATAGGCTGAGAGACAGGCTAAATTAAACACGAACAACAGAAGTGATATTAGAGCAATGCATGGAGCTGAAGGACATTTCACTGTACGTGTGTTTCTCAGTTTAGTGGATTAGGTTTGTATAGTTTTGAAAATAAAAGTGAAAAAAGGGTCAGTAGAAGTGATGCCACAGAAGAACCATGGTAATGTATTGGATCACGTCTGCAAAAGAGATGTGAGTGTGAAACCTTTTTCATGATAGCTGTAAAGTACAACTTCTACCTTAGTAATATGAATGAAGTAAATCTCAGTGGAAAAATATATGTATCGTTGCTGTCCAAAGAAAAACAAGAATCTCCAAAATGGTAATGATAACAGGAGAGGGCAGTTTCTGGAGCATTTCTATTGGTCCATTCATCATGAAATTTTCACACAATTTAAAGAACATCTGCCATGTTCAAATGATGTAGAAAAATAAACACATGTTTTTCTTTGGATTTGGATTTTATATATATATATATATATATATATATATATATATATATATATATATATATATATATATATATATATATATAATCCTGCCTTTCACCCAATGACAGCTAGGATAGGCTTCAGCACCCCACCGTGACCCAGAAGGATAAGCAGTTTAGACGATGTATGTATGTATGAATATATATACATACATATATATATATATATATTTATATACACATACATATCACGTCACTGTTGTCAGAACAAAACCTTGTATCTCCATTTTTGTCATTTATCAGGTTTTAACATAATTTGAAAATGGCTGTTGTCCTACATTTTGAGTGAAGTTCATGATGACTGGACCAAAACAAAACAATTTGTTGCAGCAATTTATTTGCACAGACCATTTCACCGCTTATTGCTTGCCAGCACCTCAACACGAAGTCACATTTTACACACAGAGGGACATCAATTGATTGCAATAATTAAAAGTATCCAAGTCAATTTTCATTCCACTAGCAGAACGTTAAAATCCAAAGAACCTTCACTTAATGTAAAGGTTCTATACCAATTAAGGCTTTTTCTCTGGACTGTACATCCACAACCCATTTAGGAACCTTTATGTTTACAAGGGTAGTGTAGAAAAATTAATAACAAATCATTTTATGTATTACATTATAGAGGTCAACCAGATTAGAATTAATAAACATGAGTTTGATTATGCTGCAAATAAGAAAATAAGATAACATGCATCACAGTCATTTTCCTCATGACTGACCTTGTGTCACCTTCCTTCACCAGCATATATCAAACTGGTTGAAAATGCATTTCGGACTTTTAACTGACTTGAAGCTAATGTTATTTGGTTTTGTGTGACCCTAATACTCAATTATATTTATTTTATTAAAGGAAATGATAGAACATTTCACTTTGTCACTACCAAAACTATCATAACACTACAGAAGCTTTAGGAAATGTTTTGGTTGTGACGATTTAAACTAATTTTGAGTGATTTGGAGCAAATTGTTGCTTTACAGTTTATATGGGTTTTTTTTATCATTAACATAAGTATAATCTCGTTTTGTTCTCTTTTATGTTTTTATGTTGCAAAAAAGTTTGTATTAACTTAAAGTAAGCAACCTGGGTAGATTAAAATTCAGGTCGTTTAAAATTCTATTTTTTTTTTTACTCAACACCTTTTCACAGTAGTTAAAAATACAATTTCAGTCTGTTTTGGGGGTCCCTCTGTTCAGCCTTGAATTTGAATATTTTTAATTACATTAGGCATTAAAAAATACATTTTAAGGGTAATTTGAATTAAACCATTTTATTTCATAATGTTATTAAAAAAATATCTGATGAGTTGATTTTCATTCTGCTGGCAGAATGGTCACTAGGAGGCCTGCACAAAGGGGTTAATGTAATGTACTGTTAACTCGACATTTATTGTTCAATAAACTTTAAGGCAGGTTACTTCTGTAGGTTAAACTGCATCATTTTACAGTGTAGAGCACTAAAAGATAGTAAGATTGTGGGCAATACTGTAAAATGCTGTACAGTGAAAATGAATTTAGTTTCCTGGCCAGGGATTAAGCCTAGTCCTGGACAATACTGCATTCTGAATGTAGAATCTCTATATATAGTCCAGGATTAGACTTAATCAAGGAACTGGAACTTAAGGTTGCGGCACACAAGCTACTGGATTAAGATTGGAAAAAGTCAGTCCTGGGATTCAGGAACCAAAACCAGTTATCAATTAATTCTCAATTAGAGTTGTTAATTCAGTAAAATACTGATTCAAATAGAAATGACAGTATGTAATAAAAAAGAATTGAGTTAAACTTAATGCTCATGTTATGAGTTCCTCATAGAGCTGTACACTCTCAGAAATAAAGGTACTAAACTGTCACTGGGGCAGTTCCCCTCTTGTCACTGGCACCCTCAAGGGTACATCTCAGTACCTTTAGTCAGGGAACATAACTGTACCATAATCCACTGAAATTATATTTTCTAAATTGTACTGACTGCACACACCCCGTCTCGTCTCCAGACTTTCATTTTACTGATCTGTTTTAAAACATTAGATTATGAAAAGGTACAAATATGTAATTTTCACCTGGAAAAAACTTATTTAAGGTACACAACTGGACCTTAAAACCACTGCTGTATCTTTGAGGGAACATTTACATTGTTTGTACTTTGATGAATGAAAAATGTACCTGCACAGAACCTTTATTTCTAACAGTGTAGTGGAAGTGAGCTTCTTAGCACATATCAGCATCTATCAGCATCAAACTGAAGTCTGTTAGACTTCATTCTTCACTTTTTTGGGATCCTTTTGGTCTAAAATAAAATGCTAAAGCTTCAAAGTGAGAAGCGTTAGAACAGAGTTCAGTATCCGAAACAGCAGAACGGAATTAAACGGGCTCAAATAGGAATTAAAGTTGAAAGACTAAAATGAAATGGAGGTAAAATACAGGTAAAATATGGTAAAGCAGGCCTTGCCAGTCTGTCAGCCCACAAAAACAGTACTTAATTCAATTATGTGCATAGATTCCACAACAATTAATTATATCATGTTCGAGTACCAAAAGTAAGTTAACTGAAAAACAACGTTGTGTTGCTATATTTATTCATGTGGAAACGCTGTGCACCTTTGCATCAAGTCAATTAAATGCTCTGATTTTTATCAGTGTGGATGCGTTTGGGATCATTTGGCAGAACAAGAGAGGAGGGCCATGCCTGCACCTGAAGTAATGTGCAGTAAATAGTAGGCAAAGTCTGCATACACTCTGCAATGACAGCGACAGCACAGCTGCCGTAAAACTACAAACGCAAACAGAAGTAAGGAAAAGTTCAAAATGGGTGTCATAGAAATAATAAGGGCATTAAAAACATTAAATGGATTATTGATGTGAGACTATGCCTATAACAGTAAAATGACGCATGAGTTAATGTGATACTGGATGACAAATCATAAATCAAGTGACAACAAATATGTGCACATGCTGAAAAATTCAAAATTTGAAAAATTGTTAAGATTAAAAGTCATTCAGAGTAGTTAGATGTTACATTCTAGAGATGTCAGAAACGTTCACAGCAATAGGGATAGAAACTAGACACCTAAAGTGTTTAATGCCTTTAAAAGCTATGTGTTTCATGACCATTCAGCCAAAATGGTCACTAAGTACAAATTATTCGCTTTTAAGAATCAGAAAAAAACATAAGACATATTTAACAGAAAATTACACAGAAGCCTCAGCATCTGAATATAATATAAACTTTTTGGTAGTTAGTCCACCATTTGCCTTTATTACAGCTTCTGTTCTTTTCAGGAGTCTCACTTTCAGTTTTTCAAAGAAATCTGCAGGGATATTTTTCCACACCTGCAAAGTTCAGTCTTAGAAGTTGGTGGAATTTTCTGTTTCACAATCCAGATAATCCCCAACACATTCAGTGATGCTGAAGTCTGGACTCTGGGGTGGTCAGTCCATTGTTCTGAGACGACCAGCGGCTTCTCTGTTTGATTTACAGTTACAGTTCTTTTTTGCCTATTTCCTTTTCTCAGTGAGGCTTCTTGACAGCTACACATCCTTTTATACTCATAGTGCTGAGTTGTCTTCTCACAGTGGAAGGATGGACAGAAACCTGTGGATTGTTTCCGATTCCGAGCTTGATTTTCTGCTCTCTTTTAAAGATGAAGGCTTTAAGTGCTGTTTATCTGATGAGGCAGTTTTGGTGTCTACCAGGTCTTGCAGGTGGTTGTTAGGAGGCCCATTTTCTCTGTAGCTTTTAATCATTTTTTGTCTCCTGTTTTGGAAACTCCTGTTTTTTCACGTTCCCCTTTGTTATGCAAGTGGAGTTCTAATATCTAATCTCCTCAGAAATATCTTCAAAAAACATGAATGACTTGTACTAAAATGCTGTTTAGACTGGAAATTAAGTAAATGAATGGTGGCAAAAGGTGTTTTTCAGATTTACCACTTTTTTGCCATTTAAAGGTGAGCAACCACCTTATGTGTGAAAAATTACCGCCATCTAATGCCTGCATGGTTAATCATTGGTCTCCGAGGATCCACAGCTTGTCTCGTAAATGCTTCTCAGGTGAGAGGAATGGCTAATGAAGCAGGAGCTGGAAAAAGTAATGCACTGAATTTGCTAGATTCAAACGTCTACATTATTTCCACATGACTAAGATAAATAACATCAACACCTTTACTATCAAAAATAAGTAGCTCGGAACCTACTAGTCAATAACTTACTTACTGGCAATTATTGACATAATTGTGTTGGTGTAACACTTGACTCAGTGCATATTGATGGGGACATTGCTGTTGATCTACTCACAAAGCAAAATAGGCCCAAATTCACTCTGAGCTCAGAAGGCCTAACATGGGTTGCCAGTACATTGATGTAAATGGACGGCCACAGTTTTTCGATTTGAAAATGAACTTTGTGTTGCCATGTACGCAACAATGCCGTTGTTGTCCACGAAGGCAGGGGTAGGTTGCAGCCCAGAAAAAACAATGAGTGCCTTCAGGCCTTGAGGGTTTGGTTTCTGTCACTAATAGTCCAATTTGACCTCGTCAAAATGGCCTTTTTTGGTTCTTTGTCAGCCTTTTGGTGCTAATGTAAAGCCACCTCAGCATTGTGCTGTTAGTATAGTGTACGACACTGGCAGGTACCTGAAGCACCAGGCAGTCCATATCTGGTTTCAGTGTGTGGGGGTGAGGCAGGTGGTCAGATCTACACAGGATCACTTTCTATCTGAATGCATAATTTATCCTGTGAGCAGGTGACACAGTGGAGGGGGGTCACTGAGTCTCATGGTGCAGTCTCACAGTAGCATGCGCTCACTCCAAGAACAGGAGGCCATCGTTCAGACGCTGCACTGTGAGTATTTTGGCTCTTATTAACTCCTTTGGTTCTCAGGTTTATTAGATCAAGAACAATTTTTGGTTCCTTAAAGCAGTGGTTCTCAAACCGGTCCCCTAGACGGTCCACATTTTTGCTCCAACTAAGTTCGCAACACATGAAGATGTGGACCAGTTTGGGAACCACGGCCTTAAAGAACCTTTGAACAAGTGTTTCTTTACCCTTTTTGTAAAAAGAAAGATCCCATAAATTGGTGTAGAACCTTTACCTCACATGAAGGCTCTGTAAACCTTTATGAAATCAAAATTGGTTCTTCTGTGACATTGTGCAAATAACACCTTTTTAGTTATTTTCTATGGAAAATATTCATCTAATAGTTACTTTTACCTTTTACAAGTGAGGAATGGAAGCCATCTATGATTGCTGGCATTTAAGAGGTTAATTCTCTGGCTTTTGGGTGCCTATACTGAAAGAAGAACTTGTCTAGATCACTGATAAAGGGTCTGGCAACCCATGCTAGGGAACCTGTTCATTTCACAATCCACTTTTTTGTGGATCCTTTTACTTTATCTGGTTTCGTTTATTGCATTATCTCTGTGTGACAATGAATCAGTTTTTGTTCCTTGTGAAGTGACGTTTTCAGTTTGACTTGTTCTAGCACAATACACGGTACCACGCTAGGTAAAGTACAGTGTGGCCTGAATACACTCAGAATGAAACAATGTCAGAAAACTTGTGGAACAGTCACTGTATTCTAAAAACAATCTAGAACACTGCAGAAGATGCTAACGTTCTAGATTCTGGCATATAGAATCTTGTAAGCTGTGCTTTATCAACGGTTTGGCCTGTGGTAGATGCTGGGTTTGATTAACCCCCTGCAGTTTGGGTCTCCCGGGAGGATGATGATTGAATGAGCAGCAGGAAACGTTCCTTAAATAATTGGACACAGGAGGGGAATGATGACGAACACTGGAACCGGAGACTGACAAAGAAAAGACGTACAACACAATGGAACTGATTAACTAGAGCTGTAATGATTAAGGATGGGCCGATCGATATTGAAGTACTGATACTTCCAATCCTGAAGTTTCTTTTTAAGGATTGTTTTTAAGTAGTAAAGCAAATCTGTCATTTTATGGGAAGAAGTGTGCCTTTGATGCTGGAAAAATAAAAATATATAGATATACACAAAAACCAATTGTAGCCATTTTTATATATCCATATATAACAATTTTGGAGATAATTTGTTTTTGAAAAGGATAACAGCTGATAATCATTGAAAACCCATTTTTATTTCTCTAATTAAGATGGTATTAATCGTAATATTGCACTATAGCACTGATGTTTCTGGTATGTGTGGAGCCCACTCCTGACAATAAATATTGTAACAAAAGGAAAGGTCTTCAAAATGGTCTATAATGCCTTTTGGAACAAAAGCCTTTAGTTGTACAGTTGTAGCTTGGTTTTTAAAAGTACACATTCATGTGAAGAAGTTGGTACACCCCATTAAATGCTTCAGTTTTTTGACATATGTGGACATATAAGTATTTGATCATCAGCTACACAGTATATATAGATAAATGTTACATAATATGAAAAAACAAAGGAAATTTGAGTTTGCAATCATTCATTTAAAAACAAATTAACTGAGATGTCTTTTTTGAGAGAAACAATTTTATGTAGGTGTTTTCTATAACCGTCTACCAGTTTCTGATATATACTGGGAGAAATTATTGTCCATTTCTTTGCAGAATTATTTCAACTGAAAATTTTTACTTGCATGTGCAGCCTGTTTCAAATCTCCCCACATCCTTTCAATGGGATTCAGATCTGGGCTTTGGCTAGTCAATTTCACAACCCTCCATTTCTTCCTTCTGAGCCACTTCTTGGTGGATTTACTTCTATGTTGGGGATCATTATCTTTTTGGCAGGTCCACTTCTTCAGCTTCAATTTCTTTTCAGATGACGTTCTCCTCAAACTCTTTCTGGTATGAAAGAGAATTCATAGTTGATTCTATGACTGCAAGCTGCCCAGGCAGCAAAGCAACCCCAAATCACAAACCACCACCAAGCTTAACAGTTGGTATGAGGTTCTTTTGATCAAATGTTGCCTTAGGTTTTCACCAAACATGGCTTCTGGTACTGTGGCCAAACAACTCTAGCTTTGACTCATCTGTCCACAGCAAACTGTTCCACAAGTCCTGGTCCTTGCCTAGATATTGGTTATTAGTCATGCCTCAATGTTCTTTTTAGAGAGCAAAGGCTTCCTCCTGGCGCACCTCCCATGTAGGTCAAATTGTTGTCTCATTCTAATGGTGGATGCATGCACTTTGATATCCACAGTAGCAAGAGCTACTTGCAGATCCTGTGATGAAATTTTGTGGCTCTTTTTTTGTGATCAATTTTTTATTTGTTTCCTGTTAATCAAGCACAACATTACAAAACTGAAGGAAATAAAAAAAAAACAAAAAAAAAACAACCCCCTTATCCACCCCATCCCTCCCCATCCCACTGGTCCATCCATCCCTGTAGATATTGTAACTTTATTAATCCTAGCTGTTGCCAGTTCTAACATAACTATTAATTGGGAGCTTCTTATACAATGTTTCAGTGAGATGAGAATATATAGTTGATACAAGACCTCGTGGTGGTGTATTAATGACCGATCTATAAATCAGATGTGGCCCGAGGCTTGTTCCCCATGGAACTCCATATGCCCATATCCATAGGGCTGAACGTAATTGTAAATACAGAAAGAAGGAAGATCTTGGTATATGGTTGTTAATAAATTTTCAAAGCTTAGCATCCCCTGTTCTCATTGCTCTGACATAAAAGGTTTGGTACCAGATTTTATATTCCTAATGTGCCAAAGTGTGATTTGTAAATGACCTTTGTCACTATAAACAAGAAATTTTTCCAGGGCTCTAAAAATTTGTGTTTGTCATCATGGGACCAAAGTTGAGCGAACAGAATTTTATAGACAACCCAGAAAACAATACAGCTTGAAGTCTGATAGGTACATTTAACTGTTTTTCAATTTGTCATGAGAGAGTGGGTCGAACCAGACCTTTAAGGCACGGAGTTGGAAAACTTTATGGTACATTATAAAATTAGGTAAGGATAAGCCTTCTTTCATTTTAGAATAACACAGTGTGGCTAATTTCATTTTAGGTTGCCTGCCGTTCCAAATAAATTTGCGAATTGCTGCGTCAAGCTTTTCCACCAGATTACTGGGGGTGACAGAGGGATCATCACAATCAAAAAAATAATGCGTGGCTGTATATTCATTTTTATGCTCACAATTCTAGACTGTAATGAAGATGGTATGCTTGCAATTCTAGCTGTATCATTTTGAATTTCCATCAGAGTTTTACCATAATCTGTATCAAGAATACCTTGCAGAGAGGCCATTATGTCAATCCCGAGATAAGTAATCTGACTCTTTACAGGAATTACTGAGACCAATGCTGGTGATGTCTGAATTTCTTTGGCTTTCTTATTAAGAAGGAGAAGAGATGATTTAAGCCAATTAATCATATAACCTGAAAATTTTCCAAACCTAGTGAATGATGCTAGTAAATCTGGGACAGATTCAAAATTAGAAATGTACAATAAAATGTCATCAGCATAGAGAGATATTGCATGCTTGTTGGATTGAAATGTAGCAGATTTCGGTTTGCACTTTGGTGGAATGCCATCAATCCCTGGGGTTTTTCCTTTTTTTTGAGGTCATAAGTGCTATGTGTAATCCTTCGAGTGTTATCGGCTGGCCAAGTTGTTCTGATTCACTAGCTGTTAGCTTTGGAAGATCCAGCTCTTGAAGAAATACGTGACATGTATCTATATCTAAACTGGCAATAGGTTTGTAGAAGTCAGAAAAGTGTAATGTAAAAGCAGCATTTATCTCGTTGGGTTCAGAAACCAATCCCTTACATGGTGAGTAGATGGTGTCAATAGTAGCCCGATGTTCACTCTGCTTCAGCTTAAGTGTGAGTATTTTACTTAGCCTAGATCTGTTAAAATAATATTTCTGCCTTGCTCTATGTGAGATGAATTCCACCTTTCTACGTAGCAGGTCGTTTAATTCGGCTCTGGCAATTTTCCGCTCTTTTTCAACAGTTGACGAGTATTTATATTTCAGGGCTTGCTCTTGAGATTGACAAAAACATTCTAACTCCACAATTTTGGATGTTCTTGTTTTGTGTACATAGGAGGCAAATGAAGTAGCGAAATTTCTTATGAAACCTTTTGTAGCCATCATGTTTCTATATTCTGTTGGAAATTCAGAATTCTGAAGCAAAGAAAATTTTGTGGTTCTTAAAGGTCTTTTAACATCTTACAGTCTGCTCTTGGGCTAAATTTGCCCAGGCTTTAAATCTTCAAGATGATTACATCTGGACAGTGGAAGTACTAATTTCTAAAATTTTGGAAACACTTCTCAAACCCCCATCCCAGACTCATCTACAGTCATCTACAGTCATCATCATAGTCATCTACAACCTTCTTTCTGAAGGCCTCAGAGACCTCTTTTAATATAGGCATGATGATACCACACACTCCAGTAACAAAGAGTAGACCAGATATCTGTGGTTTAAATAAGACAGGTTCCTCTAAGATGTTCTCTAACAGTGTTCTAATCATTAGCACCTGATCGGGTGCACCTGATTTCAATTCGACACATTTGAAGAAGTGATATATATAAATATATATAGTATAGTATATAAATATATATATATAGTATATAAATATAGGGGAGTACTTACTTTTTCCTCATTAGGGAACTGCATTTCTGTTTATTCAGTTATATAAAGGATGACAAAAAATGTTAATTTTAGGTGTAACGTAAGTTATATCACCTTTATCTAGCAACATTGTTTAAATGAAGACCAGATATCTGTATGTCCAAATTTGCTGAAAAAAACTTCTTAAGAGGTGTACTTACTTCTTTACATGACTGTATATATATATATATATGCATATATATATATATATATATATATATATATACACACACATATATATATATACACTGGCACGGAAAGACACAAGACAGAGCGAAAGCTCTACAATCTTCTCTTATTTCCATTTTTGCAATTTCTTATTTTTATTATTTTGTAATAAGTTGAAAATGCCAGGTGCCCTTAACATTGTGTGAATACTTCATGCCGAATGGACTGATAGAAATGGTCCAAAATGAAATCTTTTACATTATCTTACAGTGCTCGTGTTTTTTCTTTCTGCAGTGCATGTTTTTTCCTGTAAAGTTACTTTTCTGAAGATACAAGATTTTGTTCCAACAGTGACGGTGTAAAGTTTTTCCCTTCTCACAAAGAAATCAGGATATTAGTGTTGATATTACTTTTTAAAGATCCTCTAGCCTGAGCTTTTCAACTTGTGATCGTGCCTTTGCTGTTCATGCTCCCAAACTCTGGAACACTTTTCCCTTGGACGTTGGACTCTCAGGCTGTCCATGTTATTAAAGAGGAATTCCCTGTCAAACTTAAATCGGAAACTCTAAGCAAAGTGTGCTGCAGTTTCTATTTAGATTGTATGGGATATTTCTGCCAGCGTTCTGTAAAGCTTGCCAGCATCTCTCCAGCATCATTGGAGAATGGGCTTATGTGTAGGTCAAGTACTGATCATGTTATCAATTCTGACATGTATTTCATGTATATCAGGTCAAGTGTGTCTTAAGCAGAGGTGGGTAGTTAGTAGTTCCATTTATTCAGTTACGTGTACTCAGCTGTGCTCAATTTTGATGAATTTGTACTTTCTTGAGTATTTTTAAATAATAATACTTTTACTTCTACTTACGTATGTTTGTTAATTTCATTATCTTCTGTTGACTCAGCATCTACAGTGCTTTGTGATTGGTCACACCTTTGATTTTTGAGCTTTATCATTTTATTTTAGACCAAAAGGATTAAGAAAGAGAAGATGGCTCTCAACAAGAGTCAGTTCCTGAGGTTTAGTAATGGGGGATAAGCCTGTCCTAGGGGAGCCCAGGGCTTGTTCCCCTTAGGAGAAAATGTTTTAATGGCCACAAAGTTTCCGTTCATCATGAACGTTTAGAGTAGCAACAGCCAGAAAATGTATCAAAAATGGCTATTTGGTCAAACTGGCACACAGTAGCTCTGCCTCTTTGTAGTTTGTATTAAGCACAGAGCCAGTATGACTTCAACACTGTATTCCTCCACTTACAGTAGGCATGGATCAAACACAGGTACTGAAGTCAAGCAATGCTATCTCCTCTCTCTGAGATAAGCTGCAAAGTCCCCAAGTACACAGATTGTAGATCAGTTCAGTCTTAGTTGGTACAATCAGAAAGAGTGTGATTTTGCTCTGTAGGCATGTTTAATAATCTAGGTGACAGAATTTCAAGGTCATAGTGACAAATATTATATTTTCTCAGTAAGTTCAAATAAATTCAGTGTGGGTATTTTCACTCTGTAACTACTAACTGTTTCACTCTGTATATTCTAGATTTTCAGTGAGGTCTAATCTTAATTTTAGTGAGCTTTTAGCCAAAATCCATTCTTCATCTTCAGCGGTTGCCGACTTACTGTACTTTACAGAGTGAGTAAAACCAGAGTCCCTCCCCTAGGTTTGATATGATTGGCTTACAATTTACAAGGTCTGATATGATTGGCTTAAAGCTTACCAGGCCTAATATGATTGGCTTAAAGCTTACAAGGTCTGATATGATTGGCTTACAATTTACAAAGTCTGATGATCAGCTTACAACTCACAAGGTCTGATATGATCATCTTACAACTTACGAGGTCTGATATGATTGGCTTACAGCTTACAAGGCCTGATATGATTGGCTTACAAGGCCTGATATGATTGGCTTACAGCTTACAAGGCCTGATATGATTGGCTTACAGCTAACAAGGCCTGATATGATTGTCTTACAACTTACAAGGTCTTATGCGATCAGCTTACAACTTATGAGGTCTGATATGATTGGCTGAGCCTGGGGTTCCACTTTTCACATTATGTTAGTAAATCTCTGGTAGCACAGCAGAGGCAGCGCCTCCCTAGGTCACGCCCTGCTGTCACAGTATATTGTGAATTTGGAGACACGATGTCACGGTAGAATAATGAAGAATCAGTGACAATAAACTACAGATAATTTGAACTAGTAATGCACATTTATTTGGGAAAGGGGGAATAATATGGGAGGCAAATCCAGCCAAAAAAGAAATTAAAATTAAAACCATAAAATGAAAATGCAAACCTCGTTTTGCCATTTCTTTTTCCAAACATCTGTGCAAATATCCTGCCAAAATTGAAAATGAAATGAAATGCCTACATTTGCAATTTCATTTTTCACATGAGCACGGGCCATTTGTGACAAAAATAAAAATAAAAATAAATGCAAAACAGATATTTGTCATTTCATTTTAGTCGTTATTCTGGTTTTTCATGGCCAAATCTAAAATGAAAAAGCTAATAGAGAAAAGAAAATCCAAGTTTCACTTTGGCTTTGGCTTTTCTTCATGAAATGCAGAATACGGGTCAAAACTAAAATCAAAATGCAGTGTTCACGTTCTTATTTCTTTTTCACAGCAGTCGGCTGCATATCTGACAAAATGAAAATGAAAATGCAAAACTGATAAATCAACAGCAAAGTGACAGTTTGTGATTCAGTTTTCGGCGCGGCGCGCTTTAAGTGTCAGAATGAAAAGGCAAATGCAAACGAACATCAGCGCCACCTGCTGGACATTTACTTTACATTTTCCACTTTTCGATTTCATTTTCAAACTGACCAACATGCAAATATATGTTAGTTAGCACTAGGCGGCGCTACGGGGTACATTTTAGGACATCCTCAGACCTCCGAGTCAGAACGGCATCATTCCTCAAGCTACTCGACTTTGAGTCTCAAGAAAAACCACCGTCATGACTCAGATCTGGTGAAACTGAACATCAGCATAAAGCCATTCTATTCCCATACAATAAAGCCCCCCTGAAACTGGCCTAGCGACACCCCTGGTTCCTGTGCTGATAGATGCTGGATGTACTAAGAATCTCCATTGCAGTTCTATAAGTAACTCAGTACACTCTTTAAAAAGATGGTTCTTCAAGGGTTCTTTAGTAAAGAAAATGGTTCTATGTAGAACCATGAACACTCAAAGAACCCTTTGCATGATTAAAGGATTCTTAGCATCATAAAAGCTTCAAATTGCTGGAAAATGTGTTGCAGATGCTTTTTGAATAAGGTTCTATATAGCACCAGAAAGGGTTCCATATTGTAACAAACCAATGAACCCTTTTTTGGCACTATATAGAACCTTTTTTGCTAAGAGCATACTTAAGCAGTTTTTGGAGTTGCTACTTTTGTAAGTCTACTCAAGTTGTTTTGTGGAAAAGTATGCTTACATCTACTTTTAGCATGGGTTCAGGCTACTCTACCCACTTCTGATATTAGGAGAATAATTAGTAATACCAAAAGACGACAGCAAAGCCCTTCAAGACAACCCTGAACACACCTGTAATTTAGTTTCACCGTTATCCTACAGGTTTTGGGGCCTGACCATTGTCTGTTTTTCTTGCAGGTACGATGGTTGGGAAGCAGAGGAAGCAGTGGAGGTCAGTGTGTAAGGGTCTGATTCTGGGGACCCTCCTGACCAGCTGCATGATTCTGCTTTACTGCCTGTCTGCTCCAGAGGTGCAGTTCAGCCTGCCAGAGTGAGTCTCGCCATAACATTCTGACCTCTGATTTCAAATTTCATAATGTCATTGTGTCAATAAATTAATAATAAATATTGCAACACGTTTTGGAAGACGACGAAAGTTAAACCGCGGAAGTTATAGTTATCAGAAGAAATAACAAAAGCAGGTTTAAATTTGACATTAATTATTTCATAGCTTATAGCTCATTGCATGATGAGGCTCTCGGTATATTTCAGAGCTGTGGTCTCCCTATAAAAACTTACATCATCTAGTCAAGGCCTGTTAGTTGGTCCAGAACAAAGAGACTGCGCCTTTGCTATGTACACTCCCAAACCCGGGAACGCTCTTCCCTTGGCCATCACTGACTCCGTGCGTGTTTTTACTGGGGAATTCCACAGATTTTTTGAAAAGTATGCATATGTCAGTAGTTCAGATGTAAACAAAGTCATTCAGAGTGATTTGATGTGAAATGCGCTATTCAAGACAAAATTTCAGTCATAATTTCCTCAGTGATGGTGATAGGAGCCAGACGTCTGAAGCCACAAAAAGCTAGAATAAAGTTATTACATGTGATGGTTGCAGATGCACTTCCTGATGCCTGAGACATAATACCTAAATAAAACTTTTACCACATACCATATTGTCCCCTTACAGCATTACATATAAAAACTCAGAAATCATGCATAGGAAACTGGTGGAATATTTTAATTCGTGTTTTTCTTTTATATTTTATTGTTGTCCTATATGCCTTATTTTTATTTATGTTATTATTGGTATTATTGTTCATTATTAGTATGTAAACTCCTTTATTTAAAAAAAAGAGAGAAAATCTAGAGATTTTTCTCGGTTTTATGCTAAGTAGTTTTCACTTCTGTGTATGATTTCTCATTTATATTTGTCATTTCCCTTTCCAGTGTTCCTGTGCCTTACTCATGCTCCCATCACCCATCTCCTGCCTACCCTGTAGCTGCTTCCAACAGTGTCCATGGACAGGAGCAACGCTGCACCCCAAAGGTGGACATCATGTTCTTAAAAACCCACAAAACAGCCAGCAGCACCATCCTCAACATCCTGTTCCGCTTTGGGGAGAAGCACCGCCTGAAATTTGCCTTCCCCAGCAGCCGGAATGACTTCTTCTACCCTTCGCCTTTCCACCGCTCGCAGGTGAAGGACTACAGGCCCGGGGTGTGCTTCAACATCATGTGCAATCACATGCGCTTGAACGAGGCCGAGGTGGCCAAGGTGCTTCCAGCTGACACCAGCTATATCACCATCCTGCGAGATCCAGCAGAGCTTTTCGAGTCTTCTTTCCATTATTTTGGCCGCCTGGTGCCTCTCACGTGGAAGATCTCTGGGGAAGATAAACTTGGAGAGTTCCTGAGAGAGCCTGAGGTTTATTACGACCCTGAGGGCTTCAACTCCTTCTACCTCAAGAACTTACTGTTCTTTGACTTTGGGCAGGATAATAATTTACCAGCGGATGACCCAAGGGTGGAAGAGGGCATCCAGGCCATTGCCCAGCGCTTTGAGCTGGTCATGCTGGTGGAGCACTTTGATGAGTCACTAATCCTCCTAAAGGACACCCTCTGCTGGGACATGGAGGACCTGCTGTTCTTCAAGCTAAACGCTCGGAAGGGCTCCACCGTCTCCAAACTGACCCCAGAGCTCAGAGCTAAAGCTTTAGAATGGAACTCTATTGACTGGAAGCTTTACCAGCACTTCAACACCACCTTCTGGCAGAAAGTGGAAGCGTATGGCCTGGAGCGCATGGCAAAGGACGTTGCTGAGCTGCAGCGCAGAAATGCAGAAATGGCCACCACCTGCATCGAGGGCGGCCACGCTGTGGACGCCGGGAGCATTCATGAGACTGCGATGCAGCCGTGGCAGCCCATAGGTGAAAAGTCCATTATGGGATACAATCTGAAAAAGAACGTGGACAAAGCTCATAGGAAACTGTGCAGAAAGATGCTGACCCCAGAGCTGCAGTACTTAACAGACTTGGGGGTCAACCTGTGGATCACGAAACTGTGGGGCCACGTGAGGGACATCCTTCACTGGTAGACAAAGCAGGATCACACTGCTCGACCACTGACCTTTACTGTAAACTTTAAAGATGACCACTGATCCCTGTGAAACAAACTGAAGCGTAATATAAGTAGTACACAGACTTTGTCAATGTCCAGCAGATTTTAATGTCATTTCAGTTGGTCAGTTTTAGATTTCATAAAGCCGCATCACAGCAGTGGACAGGATTGTGAACTGGTGCTTGAGTCAATCATAAAACCAAATCAATGACACTCATTACATGACCTCATGTTCCTATCTGATGTCTGTATGATGTTTTTTTGCCTTCTTTTTTTTGCACGCTGCCAATACCGTATCAGTAATGTTCCCTCATTGACTCTTATTGGCCGAAATGAAATCATGTGGTGGGGGGGTGGGAGTGGTGCCACAATACCAAGCATTCCTGTTTTGTTTGTCGTATCAGCAGCCACTGCTAATATGATAACATGTTCTGCCTAAAGAGCAAAGGACAACACTGCGCTGAAGCACAAGTGCACCTCAGCTCTGTGTAGACAGAATGAATAACGAGTCCATTGGTTTAAAGGAGGCAGATACCAAATGTGACATTATAGTAATACAGCAATAAAATAAACTAACATACATGCTGTTCACTGAGTCGGTCAATGTGTCACTGTTATCATCAATATTCTTTTCATTATCCAAACACTACGCTGTTTGTTATGTTATTTGAATGTTATTCTTAATGGCTGTTACAGTACTGTGCAAAAATCAGAGACCAAGTAAAAACAGCCATTAAGTACAAGTTTTTCTTTTTTTAGCATCAGGAAAAAATTCAAAATGGAAAATTAGACTGAAGCCTCAACAACTAAATATAAGATAATCCTTTATTAGTCCCACAATGGGGAAATTCACAGTGCTACAGCAGCAAAGGTATAGCAATTAACCTTGGTAATTTCTTAACACTCTTACAGTTTATTAATTATTACTGTATAGACAATATATATAATACTAAAGACTAAAAATATAAATGCTAATCTTCACAAAATTTACAATAGGTACCACTTTAGAACAAGACTACCCTTATAAAGTGTTCATGAATGGTTTAAAATGTGTTTATTAATGGTTATTACTTGATCATAAACACTTTATAAATAATTTATAAGCAGTTATGACATTAATAAAAAGGTGAGCTCATACATCTGATGAATATGAATGCATGATGAAGCCAGCAGTTTCATGGATAAAGATCAGTAAGCATCAAAATCTGAACTTTAACAGTATAAATGAATGTGGGTTCACTATTAGGCAATAAATAGCCCTGTTTATTTAAGTGTTATAACCGCTTATTGATTATTATAAGGTGTTTATGATAATTAATAACCATTAATAAACTCATTTTAACCAGTCTGGAGGGCAACAGTGATCTAATGCTTATCTAATAGTGAACCCACATTCATTTATACTGTTAAACCTCAGGTTTTAATCTTGAACTGATTTTTCCTTTGTCTTCTCCATCAATCAGCATTAAACTATCAGCTTCCTCACATATTCATACTCATCAGATATAACAGCTCACCTTTTTGTTCATGTGTTCTAACTGCTTGTTAATGATTTTGAAAGTGTTTGTCCTAAATAATAACTGTTAATAAACTTATTTTAAACCATTCATAAACCCTTTATAAAGGTAGTCTTATTCTAAAGTGGTACCTAACAATATAAGCACCATAAATAGAACAGCAAAAAAATCACTATAAGGATATTTTACACTTACTGCACATGGAATATTGCACGTGAAGTATTGCACGTGAAGTATTGATTATATTGCATGTGTGAGGTCTAATGGGGGTGGGGGTGGGGGGTTCTACTGGGAACAGTGCTGGTTGTACAGTCTAACGGCGGCAGGAAGGAAGAACCTGTGATGGCGCTCCTTCACACACTTGAGGAGAAGCAGTCTGTCACTGAAGGAGCTGCCCAGTGCTACCAGAGTCTCAGGCATGGGGTGGGAGCCGTTCTCCAGCATGGATGCAAGCTCAGCTAACATCCTCCTGTGTCCCACCATCTGCACTGGGTCTAGGGGATTTCCTAGGACAGAGCTGGCCCTCTTAATCGAAAAAGGTCCTCAGGAGTGCCCCCTGCACTCCAAATGACCTCAGTGTCATAAGCAGGTAGAGTCTGCTCTGGCCTTTCCTGTTTAGTGGGTCCACCATTTACCTTTATTACAGCTCCCAATCTTTTTGGCAGACTTGCTTTCAGTTTTTGAAAGAAATCTGCAGGCACATCTTTCCACATCTCCAAAGTTCAGTCACAGAAGTTGGTTGCACTTTCTGTAAATTTCTGATTGTTGCACAGTGCTGTATGTGCATCAAGGAGGAGGGTGTTCATTTTTCTGAGAGGATCACATGCTGTCCTGCAGCTGGAGCACATGAAGGTAAGTCCGCAGGTGACAAAGCAACGTGGTTCTAAACTGATCAGAGGATAGGTTTTAACTACCATGACATTAGATCATTCGTAGAATCTATTTATTGGTACACCCTTAAAATCACGGTTCTTCAAGGGTTCTTTAGTCAAGAAAATGGTTATATATCGAACAATGAATACTCAAAGAACCCTTTGCATGATTAAAGGGTTCTTTGCATTGTGGAAGTGTTCTTCAGATTGATGGACAATGTGTTGTTTATGGTTCTGTATAGAACCTTTTTGAAAAGGGTCCTTTTATTGTTACAAGCTTGACATCGTGACCATAGCAGAACCCTTTTTCGTGCTATATAGAACCCTTTTCACAAAGGTTCTAAGTGCAACCTTATACAACGCATGAAGAACAATTTAATGTTTAACTTGAACCATGCAAAGGGTTCTTTGAGTATTCATGGCTCTATATAGAACCATTTTTTTTAATAAAGAACCATAATTTTTAAGAGTGTAGTAGATTATTGCTATAATTATTTTAGTAGATTGTAGAGCCCCTAAGAGGCCTTCCATTTGAAAGTAGTTGGTCTTACCTCATATTTAAAGGAAATAGCAATAACTGCATAATTTAATGGCTGAGATGTTAATGAAGTCATTCAGAGTGGTTTATTGTAAAATGGTTAATTGTAGAAAAACCCTACCGACTTAAAATTCTTCTCAGTGGTGGTGATAGGAGAGTAACCCAGAGGGTTAAAATGTCTGCAATGCAAATATAATCATTTTATATATCATTCAAAATGATAAATCTGAAAAATTCTTTGGGTCTTATTTTGCCTTAGAACACCCTGCATGTATCTCTGTTATGAATAAATAAAAAAAAACTGTAATAAATCAATGTCTCAGGAATTAGGCAACATATCCGTAACCATTTCATGTAATAACTTTCTGTAAGGAGCTTTAAGGGGTGTTGAACGCTTCAGACGTCTCGTGAACAATTCTGACTCAGTCAGTTTCTCTACAGTGAACCTCACATCAAACCATTCTGATGATGATGTTTACATCTTAATGTTTTAATAAAGCAGACAGTTAGAAAAATCTGAGAATTTCTCCTTGAAAGATTTTTATGTTTAAATTCATAGAAACAAATTCAGTCACTTCAGTCACCAAGTAGCCAGTTTCCTTCAGAAAGCAACAGGTTGATTGCTTTCTGATGATTGGTTCAGACTCCACACACTGAATCTTCAAGTCAATTTTCTCACATGAAAATAAACCCCTGGGATTGTAAGCTTGTTATCTGTGATTTTATCTTTGCCTGTGTATATAGACGTTTATCACGTGCTGAACATCTTTAATTCAGTTCCGTTTAACCAATCCATTAGTGCAGAGATGGTGAATGTGTGTTTTGTCCACAGTGTAATAGCGCCATCTGCTGGATTGATGATTAAACATTACGTGAAATGTTGTCTTTGACTTCATCACTACGTTTTATCGTGATTAATCTACATAAAAAGCTGGTCATGTTTCTGTATCATACACTATCAATCAAAAAAATTTAAATTTGGAATATATTGATGTTTTATTCAGCATTTCAAGCATTTTCACAACTGCAGGAAGTTATTAAATGATGAATAGTGCACCATAATTATCTACCTATAGTCATTTCTCATCAGAATATCTCTGTCATTCCTGAATCACCCAGAGCTCCGCTCATCATTCTAAAAAGACCTCAAATTTCTTGACTTTGTGTAAAAAACCTTTTTACAAATTATTATCAAAGCTGTGCATAGTACTAGAAATAAATTAGAGTTATTTTTCCTGCAAGAAAAGTGGTTTAATATTATTGAAAAGGCAATTTCCAAACTTTGGAGTGGTAATACTTCTCTCTTGTCCTTCCAAAATGATCTTTGCTGATTTATTTATAATCAGATTGATATAGTGAAAACACTATTATGTCATTTTCTAGTCATACCAGTGTCACATCACATCTGCTCTGTCTTCTTAGTCAGTTTGTGCAAAACTTTACAGCACTAAAACACAGGCAGGTGTGTATGTTTATATATGTAAATAAATCATAAACAATTCTAAAATAACAAGATTAATTATTATCATCGTTATTATTATCGTTGGTGTTGTTGTTGTGTTGTTATCAATGCTGTTGTAGTCATTATTAAAAAAAACGGTATCAAAAAGTGCTGAGCTACGGAGCCCCGCTGGTGACATCCTGTATAAATAAAAATAATGCGTGGCCACGACTTAGTAAGGCGTGGGAATGAAAAGATTAAGTCGTGGCCACGACTTAGTAAAGCCGTGATCTCGTTCCCACGCCTTATTCATGCGTGGCCACGCATTATTTTTATTTATACAGGATGTCACCAGCGGGGCTCCGTACTGAGCCCCTAAAGTGCCTTTGTGAAAGAAATATTGCATGGACATGGCGTTCCCTCGCCAAAATGTTGCGTTGGCTTGCAAAATTCACTGCATTTGGAAGGCAATGCAAAATTATTGCGAACCAACGAAACACGTTTGCAAGTGAACGCAAATTTATACGAGGGAACGCAAAGAACCTGAGAGAAAACGGTAGGACACAAAAAGGAGTGAGCTGTTTTACACCGGACATCTTTTACCGTTGTACAGCGTGTAGACCGGAAGCGTATCCTAACAGTTGTGTTTGCTGGTTGTTTTTAGCCGTAAATAAATTGTTTATTTTCTTTTTTTGGACTCTTTACCTACAAACAACAAAATGGGCAAGAGGCAGCATCAAAAGGACAAGATGTAAGTCCAGAATAACGCTTATGTTTTCTGAATGAAGCGGGTGCGCTGGCATAAGCTAAGCTAACTGCTAATTAGGAGTGTTTACAGTCTGGACTGTTTATTAGACTCTTTATCTCAGTAATCTTTTCTAGAGGAGTGCTTTAATTTAAAGAGTTTACGGTCTGGACTGTTTATCAGACTCTTTATCTCAGTAATGTTTTCTAGATGAGTGCTTTAATTTAAAGAGTTTATGGTCTGGACTGTTTATTACACTCTATCTCAGTAATGTTTTCTAGAGGAACGCTTTAATTTAAAGAGTTTACAGTCTGGACTGTTCATTGGACTCTTTATCTCAGTAATGTTTTCTAGAGGAGCGCTTTAATTTAAAGAGTTTATGGTCTGGACTGTTCATTAGACTCTATCTCAGTAATGTTTTCTAGAGGAGCGCTTTAATTTAAAGAGTTTATGGTCTGG